TTGGATGAAAACACAAATAATTAAGATATGTATAAGCTAAAAATTATTGATAAATGTAACAAAGATGTTTTTATTTAATTGATAATAATAATAACTGTATTAGCCTAATATGAGATAATAGATATTAAGGGAAAAAGAGAGGAAATATCTGATATTGTAACTTGAGATTTATACTAAAGCCTTATGTATGTTATTGAACTATTGATTAACCCAGTCATCACGCTGCTTTTTAAATACTTAATTGTAAAATTAGAAAATTAATAAAATATAAAAATAAAATAAAAATGACATCTTCCATGTGAAGGTTTTGTATGGCTTCCTATGTCTATGAAAATGGACCACAAGACTTTCGAATCAAAGCCATGCTCCCTTTTAACTTGTGAACAATACAAGGTGTAGGCTCTGATTTCATGATTGTAATCAGCATCTTCATTGACATCTCAAATATCCCTCTCCGAATGACTACTATGGGTAATCCTGCTCTTGGAAAGTGTTGGAGAATTTCTTCTCTTGGAGAAAATTAGATACATATATCCATACATTTCCCTTCTACAAAACCCTATGTTCTAAATTTACCACTATGTAGGAGGTTGATACCTATCGTGAACATTATGAACTCTTCTAATTCAATAGTGAAACTGATCTCACAGAGGCAATGCAAAATTTTTCTGTGCACAGCAATTGCAATGGAAAAGTAGTTTAACAGTTACCTTTCAGAAAACCTTTGCTTGTGTTTTTTTTCTTTTGCCCCAAAAGTTAAGTACTGTGTCAGAATAAAGAGAAAGATTAGTTTGTCCCTTTACCTTGATTTTGATTTGCAGCTTTCCCCCAGAGTTCCAGGGAGAAGACTTTCTTATCTTTTCTTATCTGAACCTTGGAAAAACTTTAGCAAAAAAATATTACCTATCTTCCATGCATGTTCACTACTTTGCACAACTACTTATGCTTCAATACCATGTATCATTTCCTCCTGGTACTACCTCAGGTTAAACTGGCCATTAATAACAAATGCATAAATGAATGAATGAATTAGTGGCTTTACCTTACCTACATTATATTATTCAAAAAATGTATTTAATCCGTTACATAGTTTGCAAAGTTCTGGCTTAGGACGGTTAGCGGTTAAGGTATTAGCCTAGAAACCAAGAGACCGTGAGTTTGAGTCCTGACTTAGGCATGAAAACCAGCAGGTGATTTTGGGCCAGTCACTCTCTCAGCCCATCTCACCTCACAGGTTATGGTTGTGGGAAAAATAGTAGTATTATGTATGTTTATTGCCCTAGTTATTTATCAAAGTAATAGAATTAAAAAATCAAAGAACTCAATTATCATACCTCCACCTGTTGTGTGTATCTAATTAATCATAACATGTTATACAAACCAAGCCTAAGTAGGATTTATGGATCCAGTTCATAACGTATCAACATTCCTATCATCTGCTCATTTGAAACCAGTAAGAGTTTATCAGTTATGCAACATTATGTACAAGACTACTAAATCTGTGTTGCTCCCTTGAACACTATTAAATTCAACAGCATAATTAATAATATCCCTGCAGGACACAATCTTGTGAACTTTGATCTTCCACGCAGTATGAACTTTAGATTGTTTCTTCTTTAGAAGATAGCTATTCTAAATACCAGTAAAAATGAAAATCACTGGTCAAAGATTTCAGAAGAAAATGATAAGTATGTGAAAGACTTGCTTCCCCTATAGATTAACCTTTGTGTAATATAAATGTGCATAAATATTAAAATAATCTATGTATTCTTTAAGTTGCAAGTAAATCAGAAGACTCATCTCCTGGCTGAAAACCTAAAACATTTCCCTGCTTGTCAGTAACTTAATCTTGAGTCTAATGTATGAAAACCCTCTGGCAATAAAACAAGACAGACAAGCTTAAAATAAAACTATTGGCTTGGTGATTATGGCATAACAAGAAGATTAATTACCAGGATAGTTTTTATTATACAAAATACTTTACAATTCATTTTTTTAAAGATTTCAGTTAACTAAACTCAATGCTTTTTTTGTAAGAAAAAAGGTGCCGGAACTCACATCTTGTTAATCTTCTATTAAAAAATATATATATATTCAGTTCTTAACATAAATTTATTTTTTTGTATTTAAGGCAAATGTTCATAGTAAATTTTACACTAAAAATTAAAAAAAAAATTCAAATCACCAATGATTTTTTAAAATAAAGAAATTATTTACCTTTCATACGTAGTTAATCACTGTCCACACACCCACACATATCAATTGTGTAACAAAACATAACAGTCGCCGCCTGCAGTAAGCACTCAGCGCGCGACATGACCAATCACAAGCCGAGCAGTGCCACAACCCAAGCAGCACCATCACAACCAACGTGGACAAAGTACACATGCATCGAACTCGACACAAAAGCAGCCCGCATGCACGGTTTTAATGATTTTGCCGCCCACCTGCTACGCTTGACAGGGCGATTCAAGTCAATGTGGACCAAACATCAAATTTTCAAAAGTTACTTTTAAAACTTGGAAAATCTGACCAAAAATGGTGCCAGAACTCTGTTCCATTGCATTCTGTGACAAAAAAAGCACTGACTAAACTGTTTGCACGGACTCCAAAATGTGTCCCAAAGATGCTTTTTTTACGAGGCAACTGGACTTTCTTGTTTTTTTTTTGAAGACGTTTTGCTTCTCATCCAAGAAGCTGTACATTGGGGAAACAAAACAACAACTTCACAAACATATGGCATAACATAGGAGAACAAACCCAATCAGGACAAGTCAGCAGTCCATCTGCATTTAAAAGACAAAGGCCACTCTTTCAAAGACAGCAAAATCCACATTTTGGACAGAGAGATTAGATTGCTGGTTGAAAGAGGGGTCAAAGAGGCCATCTATGTCAAAACTGAACAGCCCTCTCTCAACAGAGGGGAAGGGATCTGATATCATCTATCTCCAGTCTACAACACAGTCCTTTCAATAGTTCCAAGAAGGCTCCACATCCATTTGCACTACTCAAGTGACCCTGAAGACACAGATAAGCCTCCAGGTAGCATTAACAACTTACTAAAAGAATGCAAATGAACAACTGTCTGCAGGAGTATAAATCTTTCCATTCCCCATCATCCAGTCAGAGCTGAAGAAGCTTCTTGGATGAGAAGTGAAACATCTTCAAAGAAAAACAAGGAAGTCCAGTTGTCTCATGAAAAAAAGCATATTTGGGATAACTATAACCTGGATGACTGAGAATGTCCTTTTCCTATTTATTCTGTGGATATAGCTTTCTATTTAAATATGTTCTACTTATCAAGACTGGCCATGAATTTATTAAGGTGCAGCCTGATTGCACCCCCACTTTATCAGGAAAAAATTCTTGGCCATGTGCATTAAGTCACCTGCCCTTTAGGTCAAGTGGTAGAACTTTATCTACTGTAAAATGTCTGTGAGAAATGAATTTATCAGTATGGTACCATCATAGAAAGGGCCATCCACTGAACTGATAAAGCTGAAAAACATCAAATCAGCAGAAGGGCAGGTTTGCATGACAACACACTCGTGGACCTCCTGGAGCTCAGTGTAAACTACAGTGCTGTTCCTCCTAGAATGCATTGCTGTACGGTACAGCACAATTTTGCAGGATATTGCAGAAAAAAGCAAGGCAAACGATATACCATAGCCTGCTATTGCTGGGAGAATTTCTGTTATTTTTGAGAAAGAAGGTGTTGAAGGAAAAGTCTTCATTAGGGTCCAGTCCAAGCCAGGAATAACCAACATGACAACTGCTTTAGAAAGAAGGTTGTAGTTTATTGAAGAGGACAGCTAGACAGAAAGATTGCTCTGGAAGAAAAATAAAGAGCACAAGTAGTAGGGAATGCGTTTTATATTCTCTTGGGCTTTTGTTTGGAGTTGTTTCCTGTTTAGGTTTTGTATTTCCTGTGTCATGTACTTTGACCTGAGTCTGAGTGTGCCCCTTTGGCATCTGTGGGTTAGCCCTATTACATCCTGTCTTAGAGTTTGGGTGGGGTATCTAGATTTTAGGAGTCTTTGTCTTCCTAAGCTTCTAGCTAGAGGGCTCCAACCTTCCTGAATGGATTATGACATCTGCATTTCTACAGAGCTGGATTCTGCTTGGCAAAGGGAGACTTGGGGCTATTAAGAAAAACTGGGCATGCTTTTCTGCCTCATTAAGATCCTTTGAGGAAATATAACATTCTGCCCTTTTAATATACCCTTATGGAGGGACTGACTTCCCACAAAGGCAATGCAAAGTGTATTAAGACTGGCATATTAATAAGATGGCATACCCCCTCTTTGAGGAAGCTCGACGGTTCAAAACTGAAAATTAAAATAAATTTTCCTAATGTCCTAAGTAAGAGGGAGAAAAATTCATATTTTAAATTGCATGATAATTAGTAAGACCAAAGTGGCTGTGAGAGAAGAATGTCTCCTATACATTGAATGCTTAGGAGCAGGAGTGTGTATTTTTGTTTCAGTTTCATCGAAAGTCAATGGTTTCATGGCACAATCCAAAAGCAATCTTCGACTGAACACGCATTCACGTACCGCTCAAAAACATGGTTTAAGGCAAAGGATAAACGTTGACACTGAACACTGCTCACTGCAAATGTTATCGATTACTTTTTTTAAAAAAAATGTAGATTTCACAAATCCACAAGAAATTATTTCCGGCAATCTATCACGTGTAGAAATAACATATCCCTCAGGTTACGGAGAAAAATACACAGGATTCCGAATTGCCTATTACGACTACCCCGGCGACTCTTTTTGCGCCTGCGCAGTTCCGTTTTCCTGTGACGAAGCGTTTCAGGGCCAGATACCCGCTGTCGAGTCGTGGGAGCGGTGCGCGTGCGCGGAGGTTTGGGCCGCGGGCGGAGCCGTGACCACTTTGGCAGATCCCCTTTGCCACGTACGGCAGAGGTGGTGGCGGCGGTGAGTATCGGGGACCTTAGGCCGGGTTTGGCTTCCTGCGTGGCTGAGGGAGGCGCTGGTCATGACCTTGTGCTAGAAGAGCCAAAATCGTGGCGGCCGGGGAGCCGTGGCCTTGTTTTGAATGGGCGCGGCCGAGCTGCTCTGAAGGTGTCTGTGGGGGGCGGCGGGATTGGGTAACCGGCCAGAGGGGAAGAAGAGGGAGACCCGATCGAGACTTCGCCCTTCCATTTTTCTCGTGGGAAGGAAGGAGTTAGCTGAACCCCGGTCAGTTACTGCCACTTCCTGCGTCCTCTTCACTTTCCCTTTAGCGTTTGTGGCCCAAAGCCGGGTAGCCTTTTTGGCCTGTTGCAACCAAACAGTGGAAACTTCTGGGGCACAGTGCATTATTCTGGGGTGTCAGGACAGATCTTTAGGGGAGGAAGATCTTTGCTTGGAAAGCTGCTTTCGGGGGGGGCATCCCTCCCCCCCCCGTTCGATGCTGGAAATTACAATGAGCAGTTTGTACCTCTGTAAATTAAGTTCTCTGAGGCTGGGCTGTGACAAATGTGGTTCTCTCAGTGATCCCTGATTTAAAAAGCTACAAAGGATCATTGCTTGAAAGAAGGGGATATAATGGCCAAGGTCATTCAAGCTAGATCTCCACGATATATAAAAAAGAGGTTGAGACTCTAGAATCTAGAATGCAGAGAAGAGCAACAAAGATGATGGTTTTGCTTTAAAATCTGACTTTTGAAATGAATGGATTTGTTCCACATTTATGACTTGGAAACTTGTCTCATTTGAAAATTCTCAAGAATCCAAGCTCTCGACAATTTCTTTATGTCAGGACCTCTTTATTTCCTCAATAATGTAGGTATTCTGCCTCCTATTTGATTCTAATACTTAATCACTGCTCAAAGTGGAGCATTCTACTGAGAAGTGTTCAATTTTTAAATCTTTTAAAGTTGCTTTGTGATTATGTTACTTTATTGGAATTGAAGAACTTGATGGTTTCTGGTGTAGGCTTATAAAATGCATTGGTGCTTTTTGTATGCTTAAAAATAAAACTGTAAGTTATGCTAAATATACTCAGATTGGAAGACTTTGGGGTATTTTTTATATGAAAGTATTCTTAAAATATCTTTATAGTCTGCCAGGAATGAGGCAGACTGTGTAAACATTGTGAAATATTAAAATAATATATTTAAATAAGCTCTCCTTCTTAGACCACAACTTAAGGAAGGTTTTATTAGAATAATTGCTTTGTAATGCTTCAAACTGAACCAGAGGTATATAATACAGGTAGTCCTTGACTTAGGACCACAAATGAGCCCAAACTTTCTATTGCTAAATGAGTTTTATCCCATTTTACAACTTTTCTTGCCACAGTTGTTGAATCACTGCAGTTAAGTTAGTAACATGGCTGTTAAGTGAATCTGGTTTCCCCATTGGCTTTGCTGGTCAGAAGGTCACAAAAGTTTATTACATGATCCTGGGACACTACAACTGTCATACGTATGAACCAGTTGCCAAGTATTCTGATTTTGATCATGTGACCATGAGGATGTTGCAATGGTCGTCACTTTTTTCAGTGCTGTTAAAACTTTGAACAGTCACTGAATGAATGGTTGCAAGTTAAAGGCTACCTGTAAAGCATTCCACACTTAAGCTATAATTACAGGTAGTCCTTTACTTAGAACCATTCATTTATTTACCATTCATTTACTTACATGAGCAATGAAAAATGTGACTGACAACCAGTCCTCACACTTACAGCTAATATAGCATCCCCACGGTCACATAATCAGAATTCAGGCACTTGGCAACCATCATGTATTTATAATGGCTACAGCATCCTGGAGGGTCACGTGATTGCCTTTTATGACCTTTCCAGCCAGCTCCTGGCAAGCAAAATCAGTGGGAAGAGCCAGATTTGCTTAATGACCACATGGTTCACTTGACAACTGCAGTGATTTGCTTAACATCTGTGGCAAAAAAGTCGTAAAATTGGGCACAATTCACTTAACCTTCTTGCAACAATGGAAATTCTGGTCTCAGTTGTGGTCGTAAGTCAAGGACTACCTGTAATTCCTTAACATATGCGCTGTACAATTCTTATATGTGTCGAAATAGACAGTTGTTGAGTTCAGTGAGACTTAAAGAAGTGAATGTAGAATTTTAGCCAAGATTTAGTCCCAAATTATCTGCCTTTAATGAAAATTGGACTGAAAACTTCATGTATATCCAAAACAAGTTCACTTGTAAAATTTTGGCTGTCTCTTGATTACAAATTAAACTGAAAAGATGACTTCTAGAGCGGTACAGGTAGTCCTCGACTTACAATAGTTCATTTAGTGACCGTTCGAAGTTACAATAGCACTGAAAAAAGTGACTTATGACAGATTTTCACACTTACAACTGTTGGAGTTGATCGTGTAATCAAAATTCAGGTACTTGCAACTGACTCATTTTTATGACGGTTGCCGTGCCCTGGGATCAGGTGATCACCTTTTGCAACCTTCTGACCAGCAAAGTCAATGGGGAAGCCATTATCACTTAATAATCGTGTTACTAACTAAACAACTGCAGTGATTCACTTAACAACTGTAGCAAGAAAGATTGTAAAATGAGGCAAAATTCATTTAACAACTTTTCTCAATTAGCAACAGGACTATCTGTAGTATAAAGTTCCAGAGCATTAGTTAATTTGATGCAGCAGAGATGGTAAGCTTTATGGCATCTTAAATATTGGTAGGATTCTTGTGGAATATCTTTTAGTGGTGATTCTGAAATGGATATTGGTTTTTAACATTACTGTATGCCACTATAGATTAATTCCTTTATACTTTCCTGTTCTACAATATAATCATTAAATTACAAACAAAAAGTTAAAGCAGAAGAAATGTAAACAAATAATATAGTATTTAAAAAACACTTTTGGGGGAACTTCATTTCAAAATGTTTATGTTTGGATCTTGACAATAGTAAGAATAAATTGATATTTCTATTTCTCTGATATCCAAAGTCAGAGATTGTTCTTAGGGCTGTAACATTGCATCACAGTTCTTGCTGCAACTTAAAATATGTACATTTCATTAAAAATTAGGGCTGAATTCTCAATTAGATTTAAAATTATTCTTCAGTTCATCTAAATAGATGATAGCCTCTTTCCTGTTTGCGTCAAACAATTTTGCTGAATTATGCTTGTCACTGCATGATACAATATTTATTTTGTAACGCATATTGAGCCCATCAAGCAGCTAGTCTCGTTGTTGCCAGAGGGTTTATTGTTTTGTGTACTGGGTTTTATCTTTGTAAGCCACCTGGAGTCACCGAGAGTAAATTGGGTAGCCATGTTCTTAATAAATAAATAGTAATTATTGAAACAAATTGTTTATACTTTCTCTCCCCCTTTCCTCCCTCCTGGTATATATAAGACTTTTATTTAATCAAACACTAATTCAAGATAACGCAATACAACATATTCAACAGCACTTGGATTAATTGTTCCTCATAATGTATGTTACCTATTGAATGAGATCTCTCCTTTCTCTTCTCCGACATAGGTGAAATTCATTCAGAATTTTGTTCATATGACTGGAGTTTTTAGTACTGGAAGGAAAGAAATTCTGTACATCTAATAGAGAATTAGGGAAAGTTTTTCTGTATGCTTTGGGCGGGAGGCTGTCAATATGCTGTTATACGTGTTATTTGAATTTGGTTTTGATTTGATAAACTGAAATGTGTAAAAAGCATCTCGTGGTTTTTGACACTATTATTAAATATTAAAATATAGGTTTTACATAGGAACAATCTAAAATATAGGGACTATAACTTTTTAGACATTCATTTTCGGGTATTCTTTCCAACCTTCGATCCTCCTAGCAAGATTCATTTTTTTTTGACTCTAGAATTACAGAAGTGAATGTTTTATAGTTTTGAACTACGTGTAACCTTTTGGCCACCAAGTATCATGATCACTGAGATGTGTTTGAATATTAGTAGCTTGGGTTGGTAGTTGGGCTGTTGGTTTGATCTCCGAGCAACTGAGTTATATGGTTTACAGTCCTAACTTATTCTTAATGGAATACTTAAAAGCAGGATATTTTTGCAATAATACAAATCAAGGACTAGTGCAGTGGTTCTCAACCTTTTTAATGCCGCAACCCCCAACCGGTCGTAAGTCGAGGACTACTCAATCAGTCGTAAGTCGAGGACTACTCAACTGGTGCAGCACCGTTTGCAGAATGGGACTTTTGGCGGGCTCAGCAGGGCAGAGACAGCCTGGACAATTCCTATTGGCTTTTGAAAGCCAATAGAACTAGACTCTATTCAAGAGAGTCTACTCTATTGGCTTTCAAAAGCCAATAGAATAAAAGGGAGTAGCACAGCTAAGGAAAAGGGGGAAAAATGGCGGACTGCGTTGTTTGGTGACCCCCGTGAAGTGGTCATTCGACCCCAAATGGGGTCCTGACCCACAGGTTGAGAACCACTGGACTAGTGGAATCAGTGTAGATTCAGGGTTACATCTTGAGAATGTAAACATTTATATGTAAACAATATTGGTCTCTTGAAAAATGGAAACTAAATCTAATTTAATGTTCTATGCAGGTATTGTGCACTACTGCCTATTTTGCTAATTACCACTGTATGGCGGGGCATTTGACATCCAGCTGAAAGTTAAAAAAAATATTCTTTTGGAAACCAGTGCAAAACAGGTAATTTACACATTTGATATTTTTATAGAATTTATCAAAGTATAAAGTATCATGAAGTTAGAGTGATAACTGTTTTTTATTATTTTATGATGATATGTCATTAGTAAATTGGGCTCCAACTGTTTAAAATAGCCAATTTTATCAAAAGTAATTGAAACATTGTTTTCATCACCTCCACAAAAAAATCACCCAAAATCTCATGATCCTTCATGAGAATCAACACACAAATTGTGGGATTTCACATTATGACTCCAGAAATCGTGCAAGATTTTGGCAAAAGATTTCTTAATCTTTTTAAATCTATTTTTTTAAATGGGAACTTTAAATGCTGACAATGAATATCTTGATGCCTGTGTCACTCTTTTAGTCAATAATGTATTGTGCTTATGCTATGTATGGTTGACAAAGTTGCAATTGTCCTTTATAATTTCTTACTTTTCCCTGTGTCTACATTTTTGGATTTATGTTTTAAAAGATTTGTTTATTTCTTAGCATACAGTGAGGGAAAAAATTATTTGATCCCCTGCTGATTTTGTATGTTTGCCTACTGACAAAGAAATGATCAGTCAATAATTTTAATGGTAGGTTTATTTTAACAATGAGAGACAGAACAACAAAAAAATCTAGAAAAACACATTTCAAAAAAGTTATAAATTGATTTGCATTTTAATGGGTGAAATAAGTATTTGATCCCTTATCAATCAGCAAGATTTCTGGCTCCCAGGTGTTTTTTATACAGGTAATAAACTGAGATTAGGAGCACTCTCTTAAAGCTTGTTACCTGTATAAAAGACACCTGTCCACAGAAACAATCAGATTCCAAACTCTCCACCATGGCCAAGACCAAAGAGCTGTCCAAGGATGTCAGGGACAAGATTGTAGACCTACATAAGGCTGGAATGGGCTACAAGACTATCGCCAAGCAGCTTGATGAGAAGGTTACAACAATTGGTGTGATGATTTGCAAATGGAAGAGTCAAAAAATAACTGTCAATCTACCTTGATCTGGGGCTTCATGCAAGATCTCACCTCGTGGAGTTTCAGTGATCATGAGAACGGTAAGGAATCAGCCCAGAACTACATGGGAGGATGTTGTCAATGATCTCAAGGCAGCTGGGACCATAGTCACCAAGAAAACAATTGGTAACACATTACTCCGTGAAGGACTTGAAATCGTGCAGCGCCCGCAAGGTCCCCCTGCTCAAGAAAGCACATGTACAGGCCCGTCTGAAGTTTGCCAATGAACATCTGAATGATTCAGAGGAGAACTGGGTGAAAGTGTTGGGGTCAGATGAGACCAAATCGAGCTCTTTGGCATCAACTCAACTCGCCGTGTTTGGAGGAGAAGGAATGCTGCCTATGACCCCCAAGAATACCATCCTCACCATCAAACATGGAGGTGGAAACATTATGCTTTGGGGATGTTTTTCTACTAAGGGAACAGGACAACTTCACTGCATCAAAGGGACGATGGATGGGCCATGTACTATAAAATCTTGGGTGAGAACCTTCTTCCCTCAGTCAGGGCATTGAAAATGGGTCGTGGATGGGTATTCCAGCATGACAATGAACCAAAACATACGGCCAAGGCAACAAAGGAGTGGCTCAAGAAGAAGCACATTAAGGTCCTGTAGTGGCCTAGCCAGTCTCCAGACCTTAATCCCGTAGGAAATCTGTGGAGGGAGCTGAAGGTTCGAGCTGCCAAACATCAACCTCAAAACCTCAATGACTTGGAGAGGATCTGCAAAGAGGAATGGGACAAAATCCCTCCTGAGATGTGTGCAAACCTGGTGACCAACTACAAGAAACATCTGATCTCTGTGATTACCAACAAGGGTTTGCCACCAAGTACTAAATCATGTTTTGTGAAGGGGTCAAATACTTATTTCTCTCATTAAAATGCAAATCAATTTATAACTTTTTTGAAATGCGTTTTTCTGGATTTTTTTGTTGTTATTCTGTCTCTCACTGTTAAAATAAACCTACCATTAAAATTATAGACTGATCATTTCTTTGCCAGTGGGCAAACATACAAAATCAGCAGGGGATCACATAATGTTTTCCCTCAATGTACCAAATATGTGAGTATTTTTTAAGGATGACAGTTCTTCAAAATTAAAATTACAAATTCAGTTTGAGTCACTTTGAAAGGAATCTAACTTTCCTTCAGAATTTTACAAAGCTATTGAAAAGCCAGGGCATGGGGGGGGGGGAGAGGAAACCTTTGTTCCTTTTCCCCCACCATGAGCCTATTTTGTCTTTTGATTAAATTGATAGATATTCATGTTACTAATCCATTTTTATATTTCTATAAGAAGACTTGTGGTAACTATGAACGGCCAACTGGATTTGAGTGGAAAGCTTATAATTAAAGCTCAGCTGGGTGATGATATTAGGAGAATTCCAATTCACAATGAGGATATCACCTATGATGAGTTGGTGCTCATGATGCAGAGAGTTTTCAGGGGAAAACTGCTAAGCAACGATGAAGTTACCATAAAATATAAGGATGAAGGTAGGTTTCTTTACCTTCCATTTTCTAATTGTTATTTAATAATGAAAAATCTTAATGGAAGTCTTCAGCTTTTGCTTTGGAACATGTTTTTTTCTAACACATGCAAAGCTTATGAAATTACAAAACACAGAATAATACAGTGTAATTAGATCTTTCTGGGTTACATTGAATCTTACATTGTATAGTTACTATATGATTGTATCATTAAATTGCAACAGATTTTCTGTAGGCAGTAACGTTTTGTACAATAACACTTGTATATGTATCTCCTCCTTTGTTTTATCTTCTTCTGTGTTGGGTCATTGGCCACATGTTTGAAACCAATCTAAAATGGCTGTTTGCCTTAAAATGATACTAGTGTGGGGTAACTTTTATAGTAAAATATGAAGAGTGCAAACCTAAGATTTAAGAACCAGTGACATACAAAAGGATTTATAATATGAAATTTATCCACTGGAATGGACTTGTATTGGAGAGGCAGGTGGATGAAAGAAACAGCTTGAAAAGATAACCTGTCCTTGATGAATCTGTTGGGCACTGATGAACACACCTACAGAATTCTCAATGAGAGATTTATATAGTCCTATCTTGCTACAATTAGAGGGCAGACATTTTGTGAATCCCTGGAGAAACAATAGTTAATGCAGTAAATATAAATTCTGACCTATATGTATAAAGTTTACATAATTTTCAGTTTGAATGGAAAGCCTCAGATAGTACTTCTCATGTATATATTATCCAAACTTTGTCTTTTGTTTAACACTAACCAGAAAATTTTTTCCTGTTTTTTGTTGGAACACTAATAGAGCTTACACATTTCATAAATGATTCAGAAGTGCATTACAGCTCTTGTAAATGAGGTATTTTTAGTAATTAAAACAGACAGACATTTGTTTATATGTTTCCATATGAGTATTTGAAAAAAGCAGCTGTTTCCATGGAATAATTAAAGCATTGCATTTTTAAAGTGACTAATAGAGTAGCTACATCCTTTTTCAGAATTCGCATAGAATCCTGAAAAATTATATACTTAAATAAATGGCAAAGAGATATTCTGTTTGTACTAGAGCCCAAACATTCTTTCAAAACATTTTCAACCTATTCACAGCTCGATTAAATGGCATAAGCTGAGTGGTTGCATTTTGTAATTGTTGCACCTTGCATAAGCTTAGTGGCATTTCTTGTTAATTATTGACTGGCAATAATTGCATCTTGGAGCATTATTATATGAAAAATACTACGAATGGTTATAGCACAGCTTTAAGTATTATATACCAAGGTACCTATTAGAAAATTTGCTGTGAATATTTTTAATTATCTCCGCTTGAAAATTTAGTGGTAATTTTGCACTAAAAATTAATTTCAATGATATCTATGCTATGGTAACATCCCTGCAAGCTGCCATAAGACATAGTCATTTTATGTTTGGACTACTGCAACAGTTTTACATGGGACTATCCTTGAAGAATATTCAGAAGCTATAGCTGGTGCAGGGTGCAGTGGTACTGGAAGTTTTTTGGGCCCCAAGAGTGGACTATGAAACATCACTTCTCCGCGAGCTGTACTGGGTGCGATTCAAGGTGTTGATAATCACCTTAAAGCCCCTCATGGCATGGGTTCAGGTTACTTGAGGGACCATCTCATTTCAGTGGGATTGGTCCACCTCACCCGTGCTAGCAGAGGAGGCAGGCTGCGGGTCCTATTTTTAATTTATATATCACAAAGAATATGCTATCAAAGCTGCCCTACTGTTACTTGCAGGTTATGGAGCAAAGCCTTGGAACAGGTTTTGACAGCACTTCAACTCTGCCTATACTGTCAGGTGTTATTTGATTCCTGCCCTCTCCCAACTGTTTGCTATCTTTTGGAAATAGATTTTTAAATAACTCACACTGATATGTGGGAGGTTTTTTTGGAAGTTGTATCTGATTCCTCATTCTCCTTAATTAACAGATGGAGATCTTATAACAATCTTTGATAGTTCAGATCTTTCCTTTGCAATTCAGTGCAGTAGAATCCTGAAACTGACACTATTTGGTAAGTAAAAATATTGTTTAAAATTGCTTGATACTTTTTTATTTTATTTTACTTGGTAATAATTTTCCTTAATTCCCATGAAATCATGTAACATAGATGGTACATACCATTTGTTTCGAAGAAGTTCATACAAGTTATAAGGTCTTAAGACTATTTTGTCTTGTCTTGTGAAAACTTATTAGTGTAATATCTGTTTTATAGTTAATGGGCAGCCAAGACCGCTAGAGTCAAATCAGGTAAAATACCTTCGCCGAGAACTGATAGAGCTTCGCAACAAAGTGAATCGTTTATTGGATTGCTTAGAACCTCCTGCTGAGCCAGGACTTTCTACTAGTCTGGCTGAAAATGGTAAGTTGATAACTGTTACTTAAAAATAGATTGATGTGGATGTCCCTTCTCATAAACTATGCTTGCCTAAAAATGTGCAAACACTCCAGGGTGGAAATGCTCTGTTCCCTAAGCATCCTGTTCCAGCCTCATTTGCCATTTAGTTTATTTAAAATATTTATATGGCTGCCCATTTTAAAATGAGAGCTCTGAGTGCCTCATAATCATAACAAATGAATAACAAAGTAAAAAGTAAAACCAGAAAAAGAAAAACACAGCCCCATAAACTCTCCAATGCAGCCTATAATACTCTCCTCCATTTAGTTTTATTTTATGCTGCCTTTATGATTTCTTTTATAAGTAACTCAAGATGGCACATATACCTGACTCCTCCTATTCTTACAACAGCACTGTGAGGTGGGTTGGGCTTCAGGGTAGTAAATGGCCAAGATTACTTAGGTGGCTTTCGGGCCTGAGGTGGGACTAGAACTCACAGTCTCCTGGTTTTTAGGCCAGCACATTAAGCACTGCATCAAGTGGCCTTTCCTTTCTTATCAGAAATATTCTAACTGCAAAATTGGTTTGAGTAAGGTGTTTTAGGTGAGGACTAAATGTTTTTTCCATTTGGGTTTGGAGTTTTCACCTTGAAACTTTTTGTGCCTTGCTATAATTGCTTTAAATTTGTAAAGTTTGGGCTTGGTACTTAACAGTGTTAAGTACTACTATCATTTTCGTAATCTCAGGTCTCTGAAAAGTTCCATCTCTGTTTCAGATGTTGCAGAGGGTAGGGAAGACAAGCCTACTACTGCCGATTCAACTGTCAAGCCGTCTACTCAAGTTATAGCAGCAAGTATGTCTGCTTTTGATCCATTAAAAAATCAAGATGAAATCAACAAAAATGTCTTGTCAGCATTTGGGCTGACAGATGATCAGGTGTCGGGTAAGAATATATATTTTATTGAAACTGTTGCTGAAGTTTGCTCTTTTGGAATTGGCCAGGCATACGGCAATTTTATAGATGGTATAAGTCAGACATGTCAAACACAAGGCCCGGGGGCTGGATGCGGCCCACAAAGTGGTTTCATGCAAAGCCATCCTGGAAATAGGGAACGGCCCCCGCTGCCTTGGCCCAGGCTGGCCGGGAACCAATGTACAATTTTCTGTGGCCATCTATGTTGAAACGTATTCAGTCTTAGCTCCACAAGGCCATCTGGAAACAGAGAGGAACCAGCCTCTGCTGCATTGCCCCCGCCCCCTGGGTGCATGCTGGGAAGGTGTCATCCTTTGTGAGGAATGAAGAAATGCACCATCGCCTGGAAGTGGCCAGCAAATGGCCCTGGCCTTTTTCACATATCCGGCTTGATGGACTCCGGAGGAGGGGTTTTGGCAGGCAGTGGGGTGCTCTCCTCACAGCGCCAAGAGGCTGAGCCCCCACAGGCACCCTTGACGCAAACGATGTAGAGCTAGCCATGCCCAACCAGTAGGCCACACCCATCCTGGCCACACACCCCCGCCCCCCCGAGGGCAACCGCAATGCTGATGCGGCCCTCAATGAAATTGAGTTTGACACCCCTGGTATAGGTAGCTCTCATTTAAGGGCTAGGCGCTTACCAACCATTCAGTTTAAAGACAGCTCTTGTAAAGTACTTCTGACCATCACAAAACACACACTCTCTCTCTCTCTCTCTCTCCCTCCCTCCCTGCCTCCCTCCCTCTCCTCTCCCCCCTCCCCTCCCCTCTCCTCTGTCCTCTCCTCTCTCTCATACACTCACACACACACACACACACCATGGTCATGTGAGAAGGCGTGAAGAGGAACAGAGATAAGGATTTTAGCTCCATGTGTTCGCTTAACAACTGCAACCAGGAGTGCTGGAATTGCGGTCGCTGAGTGCAGCATTCACGTGACATCTTGCTTAACAACTGCTTCATTTAATAATCAAGATTCCATCTTAATTATGGTTGTTAAGTGACAACTACCTGTACATGATGGAACTTCAAATTTGAAATTTTTGCATGAATTATTTTTACCTCTCCCAATGGAGCTGAAACTCTTTTTTCTCTTTCTTTTTTCCCCCTTTGGTGTCTGTTATCTATACTTCTTTCCAACTTGAATTCAGTACAAACCTGTAGCTCTTGAGACCACCAAGTATACATTTGAACTATCACCCAGATAGTCCTCGACTTAATCACCATTCATTTAGTGACTGTCCAATGTAGCAATGCCACTAAGAAAGTGACTTATGACTGTTTTTCACACTTAACAACTCTTGCAGCATCCCCGTGATCACATCAGAATTTAGCTGTTTTGCAACTGGCATGTATTTATGACATATGCAGTGTCCCAGGGTCATGTGAGCATCTTTTGCAAGCTTCTGACAAGAAAAGTCAAGGGGGAAGCCAGATTTCCTTAACAACTGTGTTGCTACTTAACTGCAGTGATTCACTTAACAATTGTGGCAAGAAAGATCGTAAAATGGGACAAAACTCAGCAACTGTTTCGCTTGGCAACAACTTTTGGTTTCGGTTGTGGTCATAAGTCGAGGACTACCTATGATCAGATGTTGAACTTAAACTGGAGACACCCAGGTTCAAGTTCCCACCTTGCTTACTCCGTGATTTTGAGTCCATTTTTCTCTTTCAGCCTAAATCACATCAGAAGATAGTTGTCGAAATAAAACTGAGAAGATTACAATATAAGACATCTTGAGCAGATTAAGCATGTATCCGTTCACATAGATTGAATTTTAAGCAGTGGAAAGTGACGTTTCAGTAGCCAGTCCCAATCAGTTCATAACAGCTGTTAATAACATCCTCAGGAATTACCTTGGTTTACATAAATCTGAATTTCAAAATCTGGGAGATCTGTATATTGGGGAATATATGTATACTGAATTTCTGAACAGCAACAGTGACAATATATTAATCTCACACCTGAAGATTAATAGTTAAAAAAAAACACAATAAGGAATAAAAGAAATGGAGAATCCAGTCTGTAGAGGAAAATCCCATCTTAATTTTTTTTGCATGTTATCTATTAGCACCGTGTTTTTGAAATGACAGAATTGCTATTGCATACTAGATACACATGACAATTGCAGAAATATCCATGAAGGTTAGTGGAAAGATAAAGCTGCAATATTGATTTAATGGATTGGATTCATAGCTGTTTGCTGTGTGCTGTGAAGTGGATTGGATTCAACTTAATTAGCTTGGAATAGGCTGTTAAAAATAACTTCAGTATCAATTAAATCTTTTAGTATGATTAATATCTGAATCAATATCTGATGAAGTTTAGAATCTGCTCCTTTGGATGCACTCCAGAATCTATCTGTAATGGTAATTAATTTAGCATTGTAAGGTACATTATAGAAAGTTAATGTCAGTTGGAGTTGGTATAACTCTGAATAATTGTGAAACTCATAGTTATTTTTGCCTAAGTCAGGGGTCTTCAAACTTGGCCCTTTTATGACTTGTGGACTTCAACTCCCAGAATCCCTCAGTTAGGCACATTGGCTGAGGAATTCTCGGAGTTGAAGTCCACAAGTCATAAAAGGGCCAAGTGTGAAGACAACCCCCCCCCCCCCCCCCCCCCCGCCTAAGTTAATGGTCAAAACAGCTGAGAAAATTTGGTCAGTATAAAGTCAGTAACTACTACTGTTTGCGATTCAACAAGTAATACAAGCAAACAGCAGATGGCAGCACTTTAAAGCAGATAGAAAATGGCACCACTTAAATTTAAAAATGTGGTTCAGAGCATACAGCTGTCCTGCCTTAGCTGTTGCACAGAAATTGCTAATTTGGAATCTAATAGCATATTTGCATAGTATTTGAGAGATTATTTGCATTATTTAATATATTTCTGTAAATAGTGAAATATGTATTATGTTCCCAATTTTATGACCTTTCTTGTGGCAGTCTTTAAATGAAAATCACATCATTAAGCGATCATGATTGTTAGGAAAACCAATTGTTCACGATGTAGTATTTTTTCTGAAAACGAAGTAAATGCTTGGTTTTTGGCAAAAATGTCACAAAACACATTTACATGACCTGAAACCTTGGCTATGTCTTCCAGAAACCCTCCAAAAGTAGTCACAAGGTAGTGATTTCTAAGTGAGAGAAGGAAAAGCTACATAGGAAGTAATATTTATGAGGTTATATTTATGAGCTGTGGTGGCACAGTGGTTAGAATGCAGTATTGTAGACTAATTTTGCTGACCGCCAGGAGTTCAGTCCTCATGGGCTCAAGGTTGACTCAGCCTTGAGGTCAGTAAAATGAGGACCCAGATTGTTGGGGGCAATACGCTGACTCTGAAAACTGTTTAGAGAAGTTTGTAAAGCACTTTGGAGTGCTGCATAAGTTTAAGTGCTATTGCTATTACCTATATTTAATTAATTTGATTTAAAGGTGACTAAAGTTATGTGAAATTGAATTTTATTTCATTGGTTTTATTGTGGCTCCTACCCCTTTTTTGAAGTACGAATCCAGTCATCCATTTGAAGATTAACTAGAAAGCTATGCATTTCTGACACAGGGGAATTAATTGTGTTAAAGGTATGCAGCTATCTTACTGTATGCTGTTTATTTGCATCCTGCCTTTATTATGAAAGTAAGAATATTGTATTCCAGAAGACATTGCAGATTATTGTTCATTATTTTTGTTTCAAAATATTTTCTTTTCTAGGACCACCCAGTGCCCCTATGGAAGAACGTTCAGGAACACCTGATAGCATCACTTCTGCATCCTCTGCAGCCCATCCACCATGTGTTCAACCACAGCAACCGTCATATGGAGGATCTCAGCCCCAAACTGGTCAAATAGATGGTAAGCAATTCATTCATGCTTATCCAGTGAACATATTTACCCTTTCCTTTCTCCAGCGTGATGAATGGAGAATCCACAGATGGGTTGATCTTGCCTTTCTGCCCTAGAGACTAAGTCAATCAACCTTTGCCACGCTTCTCTTCCTCTGGCTAGGAATCCCCAGTCACGACTTAGACTTAGCCCAAGAGAGATGTGGTGAAGATTGGCTCTTGTTTCTAGCAGAAAGACAAAACTGTGGATTTTCCCAGGTTGTACCCTTCCCTTCCCTTCTCTGCACTGATATCAGCGCTGCTTTTCAAACTGCTGAGTGTTAAAGCGGTTTTATAGGCTTCAGCTGAAGCCTCAAGCTATTTATAGCTTCCAGGCAGGGCAGAAGTGTAGCCGTCGCCATTTTGAGCGCTGCTTTTATTGTTACGGAGTGGGGGGGGGGACCCTCACTTCCAGCGAGGGCCATTTAGACTCAAATAGAGTCAATTTTGGCCAGAATTCATTTAGCAGTCTTATTAGTCAGCCATAAAAGCAGCTGCCGCATTTATTAATTCGGACATATTGACAGAGCAGGAGGTCGCTTACTAGCGGCCGCCATCTTGAAAGCCTTACAAACTCTCAGGACATTCAGGAGGCCAGAATTAAAGGAGCGGCATTTCGAGGGTGCTGCTTCTCCAATTCCAGGCCCCTTGGCAGCTTGCCGCATACCAAGTCTATTACAATTAGAGGCAACAACAACAGCCTCCTTCACTGTGTCTGGACGCAATTTCCAAAGATTTCAGGGTGTGGCTGAGTGCCCGCTTTAACTACTGTCATTTTCAGCGCCTCTTCCCACCACCGATTTCGCTGCTTATAAGTATGCTGGCTATCCCATTAAGTTGGTTGCGCCACCACCACTTCTAGCCACAAGTTGGCTCCTTGCTACTGGGATCACCTCTCTGTTGCAAACACATTGAGATTGCCATTTCTGTGATATCTCTTGATTTTGCAATGGCAGATAAAATCACAGAAGCTCAGATATCTCAAGGTGCCTCCAGCAGTTCCTCCAGGCACAAGAAATCCAGATCAGCCAAGCAGGAGGCTGCTAGGAAACTCAGATCCAAAGCTATCTCTGGCAAAAGGTCTCCCAAAGCTGCTGAGAAAGAAGCAAGCAGAAGGCACCAGGCATTGGAAAAACAATTCTCCAAAGCTGCAAGGCAAAAGAATGATGCAAAGGTTGGTCAGATTATTGGGTTCCATGGAAGCATCATTTTTTGGCCCTCAACAAGCTCTTCAACCTCTGCTGCTCCAAATGCCTGATCTCCAGAAGGGGAAACAGGTCAGTTCATTTTTCCCATGGCAGAACAGGTGGAGATGGTTCCCCATTCCAGTGAGGGGATTGGTCTTCATATCCCTGCTCCTCCAGGTACAGCTAGACCTCTGGGGCCAGAAGCCACATTCACTCCTACAGCGGCAGAGCTTCGCCCTCCAGAGGCTCAGGAGACAGCACTATCAAAACGAATGCAGTTTCTGATTTCTCAGGCTATTGCCCAAGGTGTAGCTTCGACCCTACACCAAAGAGATTACATCTGCAAGCAGTCCTTTCACTCAACCGACACAGGGTCGGAATTCACCCATTACTCCCATTCTTATCCTCCCAGACTAGAATGTCAATTCGACAGATTTTGTAACAGGGACAGACCCAGGCCAAACGGCCCTTTTGAGGCGCAGGAGGCCGTCATTTCAGAAGGTCCAAGTGACACCAAAGGTGCCTCTCCCATAGGGGGCAGGTTGGTTCTCTTTGCACACAAATGGGAGAATATCATTACAGATTTCTGGGTCCTCAACACCATCAGATTCAGCCTGACTCTAGAGTTCAACTCCACTCCCCCGAGGCATTTTGTCTCTTACCCATCATCCAAAAATCTGGTCAAAAGAAGCCTCATGAAAGAGGCCATTTGACATCTGGAGATCCAGGCCATAGAACCGGTACCAGCAGGACAGAAGGGACAGGGGTTTTATTATATTCTGTTCATCATTCTGAAGGCCTCTGGAGGGTGGAGGGCAATCCTAGATTTAAAGAAATTAAATATCCATTTGGCACACAAGTTCAAGACGCCAACGCTCCAATCCATATTAGCAGGCATCAGAAGGGGGGACCTCCTGACGTCCATTGACCTGACGGAGGCCTACCTACACATTCCCGTCCTTCCCGGACACCGGAAATTCCTCAGGTTCTGCTACACAGGCCACCATTTTCAGTACAGAGCTCTACCATTCGGCCTGTCATCGGCCCCCAGAGCATTCACAAAGGTCCTGGCAGTGCTGGTCGCGCATCTCAGGACCATTCCGGTGCACGTCAAGTGTTATCTGGATTACATCCTCGTTCAATCCTCCTCAGTCCAATTGGCTCAGTCAGAACTGGCATTATTCATCAAGAACCTCCAGGACCACGGGTTTTCAATAAATTTTCAGAAAAGCCAGATAGTTCCCTCCACCTGCCTCCTTCACCTGGGCACGGTGATAGATACAAGGAAGTGCGAGGTTTATCTGTCTCAGGAACGTCGGGACAGTATCCGATCCCTAGTCACCCAGATTCAAAGGGAGCGAATAGTCACCCTAGCAATCCTTTCTCAATTGCTCAGAAAGATGGTTCCTGCATAGCAGTAGTTCCTTGGGCTCGGCTTCAGAAACCTCCAATGGTTCTTGCTCACGTTCCAAAGACTAGGCACCAATTCCTCCAATCACAAGGTACGGGTCCCATCACAGACCGTGAAATCCCTCCAATGGTGTGTCTCCCCAGCGATGGCCAGGGGAACCTTATTGAAAGAGCCCAACCGACTCATCCTAACATCGGATGCCAGCTTGTTCGGCTGGGGAGCGCACCTGCAATTCCAGTTGGCCCAGGGTCAGTGGTCCTGATCAGATCTGAAGCACAACATAAACTGGTTGGAGCTCAGAGCTATACATCTGGCTCTTTCACAACACAGTGGCAAGGCAACACGTTCGAGTCCTCACAGACAACGTGGCGGCGAAAGCCCATATCAACAGGCAAGGGGGTACCCACTCCAGGTGCCTCATGGCCGAGGCTCAATTATTAGGAACTTGGGAAGAGACCAAGCTCTCGTCCCTCAAGGCGGAGCACATCTCGGGAGAGACGAACTGGCAAGCGGATTTCTTGAGCAGGGCCACAATGGACTACTCTGAGTGGCGCCTGCACCTGGATCTCTTCAGGGAGATATCAGAGAGGTTCGGTCATCCAGTGCTGGACTTGTTTGCTACCCTGGCAAATTCCCAAATCCCGAGATTCTTCTTCCGGTTCCCGTCTCCAGGAGCGGAAAGGGTAGATGCCCTACACAGCCCATGGCCCAGAGAGCTCCTATATGCATTCCCTCCTCTTCCTCTGATCCAGGCAGTTATCCAGAAGATACTGCAGGAACGGGCAGAGGTGATACTTGTTGCTCCCCACTGGCCAAGACGGCCGTAGTATGCCGACCTCGTAAGTCTCTCGACCTCTCCTCCGTGGAGGATACTCCAAGATCGAATCTCCCTCAGCCAGGGGGTTCTACAACACCCAGAGCCTCAATGGCTCCAGCTAACCACCTGGCATTTGAAAGGAGACTCCTAACAAAAGAGACCTACTCATCAGACGTGATTACCATGATTCAGGCTTCAAGAAGGCCTGCAACTAATAGAATCTATGATTACACATGGAAGAATTTCTGTAATTGGTGTGGGAGACAACAATTAGATCCAGCTACAATTCCTATTCCAAGAATTTTGGATTATTTACTGGAGGGACTTAAGAAGGGTTTAGCACCCAATACAATCCGTAGACAAGTTGCTGCCCTGTCCACGGTACTCATATATGGCAACTCAGAGCCCTTGGCTCAACACCTCATGGTGCGTTCCTTTGTTAGGGGAGCAATCAACAGCAAACCGCCCGTGGTTCACAGATATCCCTCTTGGGACCTGTCCAAAGTCTTATAGGCTCTCACTTTACATCCATTTGAGCCCGTCAGAACCTCCACTCTACAGTTCTTGACACTCAAGGTCGCCTTCCTAGTAGCCGTTACATCGGCTAGGCACATCTCGGAATTGGTAGCACTCTCAATTAGAGATGACTTATGTATTTTTCATAGTGACAGGGTGGTCCTACACTTAGACCCCTCCTTCATCCCCAAAATCAACTCATTGTTTCACAGGGTGCAGGAGATTGTGCTGCCAGATTTTTGTCCTGAGCCATCCCACGATTTGGAACATAAATGGCACACCTTGGACGTTTGTAGAGCCTTGCGTCACTATATTAAGCAAACTGCTTCTTTTCGCAAATCTGAAGCCCTATTTGTTTCATTCCACCCCTCTTCAATGGGTCAGAAGGTGACTGCCTCTACTATCGGCAGATGGATTAGGGCTTGCATAGCAGGGGCCTACCAGACCCACTCCTTGCCAGTTCCAAGATGAATCACCGCACACTCCACTCGCAGTGCAGCAACTTCAGCGGCGTGGGCGACATGGGTCAATCAAAGAGATATGCAAGGCAGTGACTAACCAATTTGTGAGGCATTATAAGTTAGATAAGTTCGCCTCAGCAGACGCTTCATTTGGCAGGAGAGTTCTCCAAAGGGTACAGGCCCAGATTTCTTCCTGCCCATAGGGACAGTGAAGCTTTAGTATGTCACATCTGTGGATTCTCCATTCGTCATGCTGGAGAAGGAACGTTGTCTTACCTGAACGTCTTTTCTCAGCATGACGATGGAGAATCCACTCCTCCCCCCTAGGGTCCATCCGGTCTCGTTTCAGGGAATTTGAGCCACCACCATCTTGAAATATCATCAACTTCTGCGCCTTTGTTGTGACTGGTGATTCCTAGCCGGAGGAAGAGAGGCGTGGCACAGGTTGATTGACTTAGTCTCTAGGGCAGAAAGGCAAGATCAACCCATCTGTGGATTCTCCATCGTCATGCTGAGAAAAGGTGTTCAGGTAAGACAATGCCCTATCTCACAATATGATACAATTTATGATATTTGCTCCTATAGTTCCACACCACTTTTTGGCTGTTTGCAGTTTTGTTTCTCAACTGTCCCAGGTCTTGCCGCCCTTACTTTCATGACTATGTGCTTCACCTTTAGATTTCTTCAGACGTTTATATCTTCTGATACATTTGACTTGCTTCTTTGGCTATATTTGTTCACATTCACTTCTGGCTATGTTTTTGTTTAGTCACTGCTTCTTCATTTTTTTCACTGTCAAAATGTAATTCGGTTTCTTGGAATTGGGAATTTTGTTGTATACCTAAGTGCTTTATATGGGCACAGATGGTTTTTAGATGTTTTAATTAATCAAATACAAGAAACATGCATAATTTCTGATTTAAAAATGTTATTTTGATTGACCTAGCACTAGGTGGTACGCTAATGCTGAGTCATAACAAAGAATTCTCTAACATGAAAAGCGTAAAGGCTATTTGAAGGATTAGCATAGTGGCTTAAAAGTGAAACATTCTTGCTAGAAGTACTAGCTAAATTTTCTAAATAAATAGTTAGAAATATTTTTTAAATATCTGGTTCATTTCATAGACATTGGATACATATGATAGAAAATCCCAATATTATTTCTGGCCGAAAGGTATGCACACACAAAACTGGCTTTCCAAAAAGCAGTGTGTGTTTATGCAGGCTCTTCTGTGATTGTTGTTATCTGTGTCTTGGTAGGTGTTATTCCCAGAGGCAGTTAGTGATAAAGCGGACTCAGAGAGAAGAAAGTGTGCTTCTTTGTTGATAAAGTAAAAGTTTTCTTCCAAAGTGTTTTGCATATAATAAATCACTATCTTTCTCTAAATCAATTTCTATTTACTGCCAAAAGGCAACTATATTCTGATAACATATTCACGTCTGTATGTTCTCATTGGGATAAATGGTTTGGAGGAGAAAATATAAAGTATATTCTTGCTACTTATGTCCCTAGAAAATAATCAGTTACAGGTAGTTCTTGATTTACAAGCACAGTAAGGACCATAATTTCTGTTGCTAAGCAAGGCTGTTAAGTGAGTTGCACCCAATTTTACAAACTTCTTTCCCATGGTTGTTAAATGAATCAATGTAGTTAAGTAAATCAGGTGGTTGTTGAGGAGTGAATCAGGCTTCCCCTATTTGGACAAAGCTGGCTGGTAAGGTACAAATGGCAATCACATGTCCCCATGACACTGTAACCATCATATATACATGTTGATTGCCAAGCACTCAGATTCTGATCATGTGATCATAGGGAAGCTGCAACAGTTGTAAATGCGAGGATCAGTTCTAAGTCAATTTTTCAGTGCCGTTGTAGCTTTGAACAATTGTTACAGGAAGCTGAGAATTATCTGTAAATTAATTCTATGTTTGTTTTTAAACTCTTATTTTAAGACACAGGTGTCAAACTCGCCACTTCACATGACGTGTCGCGATGTATCGTGGCTTTTTGCACATTTATGAAGCTGGGGTAGGTGCGGCCTCTGCATGATGCAAACCGGCAGTTTGACACCCCTGTTTTAAGAGAACAATATATGAGAAAGATAAGGCTAAGCAAGCAATATTCCAAAGTTGTAAAATTTTTAAATTTTAAATTGATAGGCCAAATGTATCAACAGTATCCACAACAGGCTGGATATCCTCAACAGCCACAAGCTCAACCTCAGCAACAATATGGAGTACAATATCAAGGTAAGCAGGTGGAAGATACTTCAGCATTGCTACATAGTTTTGTAACCTATTTGGAATACTTTTTTATAGTTTAGTTCTCAAAGTAAAAATAAAACAGGATGGGATATATTATTAACACACAAGTATTTTTAAAGCTCTTCTGAGTTAGGTACTTTTAGATACAGTTTAGAGCTGTTTTGGAGAGATAATGTATGTATTCCTAAGTAGCAACCGAATTGCTACCATTGCTCAGAGCTGATTGCTTTAATAGTTTATATATAAAATGATATATATGATGCATATTTCAGTGTTCTCATTTTTAAAAAGGATATTGTACAACTGTTGAAAAAAACCAGATGGAATGCATTATTATGAAAAATGAGTTTAACATAAAAATACAATCAGTAGAAAATGCCCAGTGGTTACGTTTTACTTGATCATTCTCCGCTCTGCAGATTGCCTCTAGAAAAAAAATCTAGAATCCTTCAGTTACAGTGAAACTAGTCAAATAATTTCAAATGCCCAATAAGTAATATGACTTCTAGAAGAAAAGTTGCATCTGAATGGTTACATTTCTCTTGAACATTTTGTTTAGGATGAATCTTTGCCAAAACAACATCTGAAGCCCAACTTCTACACACAAAATAAATGCCTCCTGAGTTTTAGCAGCTGTTAATCAATATAGTTACCAACAGTTCTTTCTGCATATGAAGTTAGTTTTGTGATGCCTTACAGAGAAGCCATTCAATTTTCTACATGATATTCATGTATGGTTTTTTAAAAAAAGTTTTAGAAGGCTTTACACTGTGTACATTACAGATGATAGTTTTTACTTCTTAGTATCATCACTATCCATAGGTCACTTAGTTAATCCAAAACTATGTTATAGTGCTCTTGATTGTTTCAAAGTAAATTTTGAGCCCAAATTCAGGTGAGTTCAAAAGTGTATTTTAGTCATTGCTTTCTTGTAAGGATCCTGTGTTTTTAATAATTATTATGTATCTGGTATTTAATGCTAACAGGATTCCAGTCATTGGAGAGGTTTCATTGCAAGTAGCTTCAGGTGTGTTTTATGCAAGAAATAAATGGAGTTCTTAGTCCCCCATCCCCATCCCCATCCAGATTTTTGTTTCACATTACCAGTGAATTTGTCTTTGAACGTTATTTGTAATATAACTGAATGCATAACATTAAAAATATATGCACTCCTATCTACATTTTTGTATTTGTGAAAATGATATCTGGAGATAATCTTGCATTCAGATGTGTATTGATTGTTTCAAACTGGGATCTACATGTACAAATACACATACTGATACTTATGGAGGTACTAAGCATTTTGAACTTTTCTAAAATTTTTGGCTTGAAACTTGGCCATTTTGAGCTCAGATGTTTTCAGCAATCTGGTTTTAGAAACAATGTTGAAACAGGCACTTTTCACTTTTTAATGGATTATTAGTGTTCTGAATGCAGAACAAAAATATGTTTCTAAAATAGCATTTTGTGGTTGGAACAAAACACTCAAGTCATTTATAGGTTTTGTTCTGATGGAGCATAATCATTGGCCACTCCTATGGAACATTTTGAGTGGGACTACTTTGTTGCAGGCTTGAAACAAAATATGTTTCCCATTTTGTCCACACTTCTTTAAAATGTGCATTTATTCTAAAGAAACCTTTTATATATCAAAGTACATGAAATAGACTATATTATGTTTATATACTATTTATATTATGCATAAATAATACAAATTCGTAGTTTCACCTTTTCTACCACCTTGTCACTTTTTTTAACAGTTTATATAGATTTTTTTTGACACGTATGTTTTGTTGAATTGTGTGATCTGTACTTTTAATGGTGCTAGATAATAAAAAACTGTATTTTGCTCACCTACACAAATCAATCTTTACAATACAGCTATGTGAAATTGTTCCTTCATGCGTACAGAATATATGTATTCAGGGCTGTAGAACTCTGAATTCATTTTTTCAACAGCTGTACTTAAATTTTATAGCATTCCAGGATATGCATATGTACACACACACACACACACACACACACACACACACACGTATTAGAAATTATTAATTTTGTATGTGGTAATAGATACAGTGGCATGCGTAAAGATGGCAGAGTATTGAAATTCCCACAATGGAGGAATGAATCATAAAATTGTTAGAATTGGCAGAAATGTGAAACTGCCCTGTTTAGTCAGGGAGAAAACAAGCACTTTTCTAAAAGGCTGAAAACCTTTTATGGGCATTTTGCTAAAAAAAAAAAAAGAAAAAAAAATGAAACAATGATTTATAGATTTTATGATAGAAAAATATGGGGTTGAAGAGATTTCTGGAAGAGATAAAAGGGACGGGAGGTGATAGGTTGTCAGTATCTGTTGAAGAAAAGATTGGAAGTTGTTATATTTTATAACTTTAGTCTTTTTTGTTTTTTTCTTTTCTTTTTTTATTTGTCTTTAACTTCATATAAAACTCAGTATAAATAAATAATGCCAATATAAAGAAGCAAGTTCTACTTTCACCTAAATCTGTTGTTTTACTTGGATCTCTTAGCAGGCTACAGCCAACAGACTGCTCCTCAGCAAGCACAGCAGTTCCAAGGGTACAACCAGCAAGCCTCCCAGGCTCCAGCTCCTGGCTTTCCTGGCCCAGCTCCACAGCTGCCAGCTCAGCCTCCTCAGCAGTATCAAACAGGCACTTATACTCCACAAAATTATACAACTCAGGCTTCCCAGTCTGCTAATTATAATGTAACTCCAGCATCGCAACCTGGAATGGCTCCTAGCCAGCCCAGCACCTTCCAGCCAAGACCTGGTTTCACCCCACCTCCTGGAACTACTATGACTCCTCCTCCAAGTGGCCCTAATCCTTATGCACGTAGTCGTCCTCCATTTGGCCAGGGCTATACTCAGCCAGGTCCTGGTTATCGATAAGGAAACTATGCTGTTAAAGAGCCCCAGGTAAATCCAAGCAGTGCTGATGCTGTTCCACTGTACAGACAAGAAGATTCTTTAATTGATATTTAAAAAAAATAGCAAAAGGCAAAATATTGTATGGTATCACCATTGCTCTTTAATTTTCTGGGATAAATGACCAAATGAATTTTGTTTCCTGCTTTAAACTGTATTGGCTTTCTAGTTTAATATTTGTCCTATTGGAAACACTACCTAAATGTATGTAAAGCAGATGACATTCTAGCTTGCCATATTAAACTGCTGGGTGAAAATCTAGCTGACTTACTTGAATTGGTTTTACTAATAAAATGAAGTACTAAATTAGATCCACTTGTTAAAAATTATATATATATATATATATATATATATATATATATATATATATATATATATATATACACATATATATATATATATATATATATATATAAATTGTAACATTCACAGTACAATTGAATAAAAACATTCAAGTCATTATTCAATCAGTTGCAGAGAAGTCTGTTTAGTAAATGTTATACCTATCTTTCTACAGAAAACTAGTTTCCAACTCCACAGATTTTGTTGAAATATTTTTCACATAAGCAACATATTCAAAGCAATTTCTGTTATTGTAACAGCTGAAAAATGCTCTAGTAAACATTGTGTGAATTTGTTATTTTTCTTGCATAAATCAATAAAAATGACAGGTATTTGAGTGATGATAATAGCTTGGCAGAAAAACTCAAGTGAATTAAGTAAATTAAATGCCTTTCATAACATATTAATAGCAATCTAGTACTCTCAGCATTCAGCGAACAGTATAATTCTTGTACTGGAAATAGAATGCTGCTGTTATGTGTGGTTTTAACATTTTGATTAACTAATAAATAGCTTATTTTAATTGATGTTTATAAGTCAAGATGATGTTACCATGGCATGGTTAGTGAATTACATCAATACTGGTAAGACAAAATCATGGGTTGTTCAGAAGGGCTTGTTGGTTTTTTGCTTAGAGCAGTGGTTCTCAACCTGTGGGTTGGGACCCCATTTGGGGTCGAACGACCATTTCACGGGGGTCGCCAAACAACGCAGTCTGCCATTTTTTTCCCCCTTTTCCTTAGCTGTGCTAGTCCCTTTTATTCTATTGGCTTTTGAAAGCCAATAGAATAGACTCTCTTGAATAGAGTCTAATTGTCCAGACTGTCTTTGCTCTGCTGCGCCCACCAAAAGTCCCATTCTGCAAACGGTGCTGCACCAGGTGAGTAGTCCTCAACTTACGACCGGTTGAGTAGTCCTCGACTTACGACCGGTTGGGGGTCGCGGCATTAAAAAGGTTGAGAACCACTGGCTTAGAGCATTATGCACATAACATTTTTTTCTTGAATTCTATTCAGATGTCCCTATTCAACATTTTCTATATCAAGCCCATAACATTGCTAGGACTACAATGGTTTATTAAAAGCTGTATTATTTTTAATCTGTTATATAAAAGTACATGAACTTAATGGAGAACAATCTTAAAATTAGATCTAAAATATTGAAGGGAAGAAAAACTACATGGTAACTAAAAAGTAGGCAACTAATTCATACTGTCTTTAGCATCTATCTTTTAGTAAACATATTTTTAAAAGTTTATTTTCACAACGCTGAATATGCTTGTCCATTACAGCATATCCCAGAATTTCAGCATAAGTCCTTGGTAAATTTCCCCCACTCTGCCCTAGAACTACTTTTTAGTATCAGTGTTTATTCCATTTTATCTTGTGCCTGTCTTCTTGCACTTTGATTTGGCATATGAGAGATCCAGATTTTGTATGCATCTAATGATTTTTACCTGCGTATTGTATTCTTTCTTTTCCACCATACCTATTTTGAATCTTAACAATCAGCTCTTCTTTCCACGAACCATAATGATTACTTAAATATATCTTGTTTAAAGAAAGTTTACTTATTGATTTATTTAAAAGATTTCTGTGGCCATGCAAATTAGAGTACAACTGTGGGAAGCTTATAACAATACCAAAAACATGACAACAATAAGAAAAAACTAAAAACTTGATTCCTCAATCATCATCCCAAGGTATCCAACAACTACCCTATGACTCCCACTTTTTGGTAAAGGGCCAAGTCTTGTTGACCTGGAGAGCTAAAAGGGTTGGGGCCTGCTAGAATACCTGGGGGAGGGTGTTCCATAAAGCAGTAACAGGTTTGGAAAATGATAAATTCATAGATCCTATTTCATAGATCCTACTACATGGCAGACGTGGAACATGCCCATCCTATTCAGTCTAGTATGACAGGCAGGTATTATCAAGTGAGAGGCAGTTCTGCAAATCAGCTAATCCTGTGCCTTTAAAACTTTAGGTAATATACCATTTTGAATTGCACTGGGAAGAAAACTGGTAGCCAGTGCAACTGGCACAATAGAATGTAATCTGAGACACCCAACATTTAAGTTTAAAATTTCTGATCTAGTTTTGAGAGAAGCTTTATGCATGTCAGCCCTCCCAGTTAAACCAGAACAGGAAACATAACCAGATCAGCTAATTCTACTTTATTGTAAGGCTACATTAACAAATATTCTAATTATAAAAATGCAAATCTGCTGCCATTTCTTTCAAAGTCTGAGAAGATCGGGAAGATGGCCCTTCTGAGTCTCATTCTTCACCCATTAAGCAGACGTACTATAATCCCCAGGCAGCATCTGTCCCGTCTCAAGATGTTTCTTACGTATCATTACATGTATTTCACACATTTTATATTGAACATGGATCAAAACAATCATCCCTAGCTTGAATGAAGCTGCTAGAAGATGCTCAGAACCACTCAGGGCATGTTGGTGTCAATTACACACTTATTTCTTAAGGGATATATACTCCTTGGTCTTAGCAAGTGCCAGTCCATAGTGTCTACCTTGTCAAGTGTCTGCTTCATATAATCAAACTGAATCAACAAGCTAATTGGATCTGGCTTCCCCACAATAAACAGTAGAACCAATCTACTCCCCCCTTTTCAGATTAAGCTCTCACTGTATAATGTTTTATTACAGTGGTTATGCTAATAATATCCTGATTATTTCTTTTTTTCCTACTTGATGCCAAAATATTATGGAATTTACAACTGGTTATCAGCTTCCAAAAATTGAACACGGGTTAACAAATTGAGTCTCAGTTCAAATAACATAAGAGACTTTGTTGCCAATAAAGAAGCCACCACAGGACTTTCAGTGGAATTTGTTCTGAGTAAAGATTTACAACTTGCACATACTGTACTCTAATAGCCCAATTTCAGAGAATTGGAATGCTTTTACCTAGTTTTAACTAGTCATGCTTTAAATTAGATGTATCATGATGCTGTCCTTGAAAGGTGTTTAGGACTTTCAGATAGCACAAAATGCAATTGCTAAATTAGTGTCCTTTATAGACTACAGTTTTCTTCATTATATTGGTTTTTGGATATGTTGTAAATAAAAGGAATTAATGATAATTAGTATCTGATATGACTTTTTGCCAAGGCAAACTGATAACAAACAAGTTTCAAAATCCCAAAAATGAACTAAAATGCTGCCCATAAGCATTCCTACAAGAATCATTTGGACACTTTTTTTGATAACTCCAAATACCTGTGTTCTGTCTCTTATAACTACACACAATTCACATAACTCCTCCAGCTTTCAGTGTACATATTCTATATACAGGCAAATTTTTTTCGAATGACACTTATTATATAATACATAATTGTCAAGCCCTTCAATTTTCTGTGGATAAGCTTGTGAAATTTTGAAACTCTTCTAAATGACCTTTGAGATGGGGTCTCAATATAGTTTATATCTTAAAAAGCTCATGAAGTAGGGTTTTATACGTTTTGATTTTGTCATCAGATAATTTAAAGCAATATTGTCCCACGTGTCTGCATTATTTCAAAATGATCTGAAAGACACTGAAAAGCCTTCTAATGGATTCTATATTTTTTTTTAAAAAAATGGGAGTATGGATTATCTTCAAAATAATTCCGACTGTCACCTTTTTTCAAAGAATAAATCTTAACATTTCAAATCAGATAACTTTAGCTTTGTGTAGGCTGAATATATCAATAATAAATACTAATGATTAAAAATATTTATTTATTAAGAGTACAATGTACCTGCAGTGTACTATTTTCTGTAAACAACCAAACCAATATTCCTTGTGTTTCTTACATTTTCATACATTAAAACTTACATCTCTTTATAATGTTTAAATGTTTAAGTCATACAAATATAGCATTTTATGTAGGGAATAGCTAAATTATTTTCAAAAACAGTCCTCATTTTCCATTTCATAAAGCAGATCGCATTACTTTTCAGTTTTATATGAAACAAAACATTTTTTAAATACATGTACTTTGGATATCTTTTGACAGTCTTCTATACAACACACTAGGCCACATTTCTCCATGTTTAATTGAAATAAAACTGTCTGATTACATTCTTGATATGATTTACACCGTCAATCTGAATATACACATTTCCCACAAAGCAGCTTCAAGAAGTAAATGATTGAATCTGCCGTATACTTAAAGAAGGAAAATCTGTTCTCTGAAATACTTAATGTAGCCTTTTTAAATGGCATGTGTACTTTGTATTCAGATATATATACCAGAGTACACAGTATTTTTGAGAAATATTCTAACATTAACAACAGCAAAAAATAGGAAGGGTTTTGAATCTTTATTTCACTGTAGCAATATATTTTCCTCCTGTAAATAGGTTGTGTGCATATGTGTATGTTTACCATGAATTAGTTCAATTTCTGGTGGGAGACAAAAATAGAACAGCCATTACAGTATTATTTATACACATACCAGTAAATTCTATCAAAACCAATAACTTTCTGACATACAACCAATTTTAATGCCATTTTATAAACGTTTGTTGCTATAATCCAATGTGTACTGGGAATACAGAATAAAAGTGTGTACCATTGAACTGAAATCTCCCTTGCATTGATTGAGGAGCTCTTGCACAATTTTAAAGATTGGTCATATATTTAGGATAGAAGAATGGTTATTGGTATGGGTTCAGTTAACATGATTCTTTTTTCCTGAATGATATTTTAATTGAAGAAATCTGAGGTGGTGTCAATTTTATCTAATGTTCGAATAAAATCTGCAACTTTTCAAATGGATTTGATTTTTTATAAAGTAGTAAAAATGTCCAGAAATTAACTGAGAGAATAATTTAAGTGAGTTTGGAAAGTAGTAGAATGTGACTATTGGCAATGTACATTAATACAATTCAGAAGATTTTTTTTTATCAGCTTTTCAGTAAAGGTGCCTCAAAATATCACAACAATAGTAAAAAATAAACTACACCTTTTACAATAAGTAGATAATATAAGAAACTATTAGGGAGCCAGCTTCCCAAGACATCACTTTATGATATTTCTTTCTGCAATATAACTGTAAATCTGAACATTTATAATTAAGCAGCCAATGCTATTGAAAGTTAACGCGGTATTCTTGCTAGATTTCAGTTTGTAATATCACAACAAACTTTTCTCTGAGCATGGAGCATCAGTTTGTTTCTTGTTCTACCATTTTCCAGGTATTGTAGTTCCACACTCATACCAATTAACATAAGTACTGTGCGTTCCAGCTCCTATTTTTCCAAAATGAACAGGCTCCTGACGAACAGCTCTAAAATAACCTAGTTGAAAAAAAAATTAAACATTTAGTAAAAATTAAAAATGGGGAAAATGACACATGTATGTGTAATTAAGTATCTACACTTCTAAAGTATTCTTGAATATATGAAGTCTAAGCAAAATTTAATTACAGGTGTATATTACATATGATCATTGTAACACATAGCTAATTGTTATGAAACCAACCTTTTAAATGGCTTCCTGTACAGTATAATTTTCAAGTTTCTACACTATTATACAGTAGCAACATTATTTTGTCAAGTATTTCTGGGAAAGTCCTAAGGGTGAATGCCCTTTTTATTTTATTTTCATCAAGATGCAAAATGTAAGTAAATACAATAGATAAACAAATAATATATATCTACACAAGTAGATCTGGAGAGACCAGAATTTAAGCCAAGCACAATAAGTTGATTAGGGGGTAATATTAAAATCAATACAAGACTCATTTTTTGCTTAGTAATAATTGAAATAGTAATAATAGTAATACTTTGCTTAGTAATAGTGGAATTGAGAATCTGTGTATGTCAATATGAATGAAGACCTCTATAGCTGTGTGTTTCTAATCTAATTTTATCTATTCTTAATAAATCACTAGAAATTAATTTGGCAAATGAAAGTTATCAAGCAGACTGAGTTGGCAAAATACAGTTTTATGTATGCTTTCCTTCTATGAGGACATTCTGCCAACGATGTTAATTTTATAATCTTTGGGATGGTCATTTCTGACATTGCTGAAATACTCATGCACATTGTGTTCAGTTCCTATTTTGCAATTGGAGAGATGAATAATCTGATGGAGCACTGTAAAGCTTTGTAGAGGAACTGCCTTTGAGGTTGGTTCAGGAATTTAGGCTTCAGAACTATCACCTGCCAAGGGTATCTACCTGTTCCACACATTCCACTAGTGAGGTCATACTTATGGTCCCTTCATTGAAACAATGTGATTGTTCGGGATCTAGGAGGCACAGCCTCTGTGGGCAGTGCCTGCCCTTTTGGACAATTTCCCCCTCTCATGCAGTTGGTATCAACTCTATAGGCAGTTAAGACCAGGTTTTTTCTTTCGAGCTTTGAAGTCATGAATTGAATCTCCAGTGAATAAATGAGAAGTTTTCAGTTCTGTTTACTATGTTGTTATTTTTTTAAGGTGTTTTAATAAGTTTAATGAGTTTGTATTAATTATAATTTTATTTTTGTATGCTGCGCAGAGCCACAGGATTTGAATTGGGTAGCCATATAAATGGATAAATAAACATGGTTATGAATGAATACTTGGTTGTCAGTATGTAATGTATCAAAGTTGACTCTTGTTCTACTTTTGTCACAAAGATGACAATTCTGTATTATATTTAAAGGTCAGAAATAAACTTAAGAGCTCATTCATTATCCTTGGTTTGGAACATACCATCTTTGGTAGGCAGTTGATCTGATGGAAGCATTTGCCCTGTCTTGCCATCAAAATATGAATCCACAAATTGACAATGATCTTCTCCATGTCCTCTCTGATCTCCTATATTATAAAATGTGCCTAGAAAATATTATAAGCACTTTTAAAATACGATTAAAATTCAATCAACCAAAGCACAAATAGGTTACAATGGTAATTGGAAGCTGAATTTCCATCACTAATGATGTAGTTGAAAGATAGCAACAGCAATAGCACTTAGAGTTATATACCATCACCACATTGTTTTTTTAGCGCCTGAATCCCAGCAGCCATAATTAACCAGGTTCCACCAATCTTTAGGCAAAGACCCTGATCTAAGTTGTTCCTGGCGTGGTCCCTCCGACATTTACACAAGTATAAACACTATGCTAAACTAGGGAAAATGATCAATACATGGATATATACTGCATATAAAGCAATGTAAGTTCTGAGGCATTCAAAAGCTTGTCTTCAGTTTGGAGAATATCAGTCTCCCAGTTGACATTAATCTGTTATATGTTTATATAACTACACTGCTCTATAATGAACATGTTAGACTCTTCAATAGCACATTCCCACAAGAATCCTATATTGTATAGAATAATATATGCTGAAACTCAATGGTTACCAGCATGAAAAGAGGATCCATGATGTTTCATTGTGCCCTCCATACTGATTATCATGATATTTCATGTTGCCTGCATACTGATGGAGCTGCCTTGGTGATGGCATGAACTTTTTGATCTCATACATCATAAACTTTCCTAGAGTAATCAGTCAAGCTTACAAATATCCAATGCTATTCTACAAGTTGCTGTGTCTGAAATCTTATATTCAGGCTGCATATAATACTGAACCTAGCGATGTCCTGTGCTGGCCACATAAATAGCCATCCTATATGCTTACTTGTTAATAGTCAATTAAGAGAGTTTTGATTTTATACCTGTAAGTGTGTCACTGAGGTAAATTTTATATCGAAGGGAGTTACACAATTGAACCCCCACAAACTTCTTGTACCAAGTCCTCTTGACATACTGTTTTCCCTTACATTCAGAATAGTCATCAGAATTAAAGCTCACTTCGGTCCAAATCGCATCTTTCCCCACTGCAAGAAAATAATAAATGAGATCTTGGTTATAATATATGCAAAATATACATCTGACATAAGTGAGTGAAAAAGCAATGTATAAGAATATTAGCATTATTATATTTTCCCCTTATCATAAATGTAAATAAAACATATACTGTAGTAAATAGCAATAACAATAGCACTTAGACTTATATACTGCTTCACAGTGCTTTACAGCACTCTCTAAGTGGTTTACAGAGACAAGGTATTGCTCCCAACAATCTGGGTCCTCATTTTATCAACCTCAAAAGGATGGAAACCAGAGTCAACCATGAGCCGGTGAGGATCAAAGGAATCGAACTCCTGGTGATGTGAGCAGAGTTAGCCTGTAATACTGCATTCTAACCACTGCACCATCATGCAAGTATACAAGTAAACACAAGTAAATACAAAATATAAGTACAAGACTAGGTGCAAAAATAACAAATAATAAGGAAATTACTAAAATAGGAAAGAACTAATACCAAGACAAAAGATTATTGTGAATTTTCATATTATTTCTTTTTATTTCTGTTTTATTATGTTATTCATGCAGTTGTTAATCATATGATTTTAATATATTTTATTGCTAACTACCCTATAGACTATTCAATGTCAAAAAGGCTCATTCCAACTTCAATGAATGAACAAGTAAGATAATCATATAGCCTGGCATCTAAAGGAAAACAAAATTGGGGCTAAATAAATATATATGAGAATAATGTTGCTTAATTTTACTATATTTGATAGCACAGTATCAGCAGTAGACTCCCTTGGGTTTATGGTTTCTATAATATCCCAGGGTTTGAAATGGATACCTAACATTAGAACCATAATTTAAAAAGCACAACAAAGAATGTTCTTCCTGTGTCAACTTAGAAAGTTGAGACTGCCCCAGGAGCTTTTGATACAGTTTTACAGAGAAATTTTTGAGTCTGTCATCTGTTCTTTGTGGTTTGGTACAGCAACTAAACAGGACAAATACAATCTCCAACAGATAGAGCTGTAGAAAGAAATAATTGCAACCAGCCTGCCTTCCACTGAAGATCTGTATATTGCATGGGTCAGAATGAGGACTAAGAAAACATCTATAGACCCTCACATCCTGGACATAAACTGTTTTACTCCTCCCCTCAGGATGCCACAACTAGACACAGGGACAGTTTTTTTCCCTTGTGCCATTCACTCTACTGAACATCTAATCCTCAGTATTGTTTTATATCTAAGTATATTTACCCATGTTGTATGGCTGTAGTATTATTATCCTGATCATCTTTTCAACTAACCCCTGTTATTGGTAATATTATGATTATTCTTACTCTTTTGCTTTGCATATACATTGAGAACTTCTACATGGAAACCAATTTCTTGGGTGTTTAATCATAATTGGCCAAATATTCTATTCTATTCTATTCTATTCTATTCTGTTCTGTTCTGTTCTGTTCTGTTCTGTTCTACTCTACTCTACTCTACCCTACCCTACCCTACTCTACTCTACTCTATTCTATTCATCATTGGTTTTGACAAAAGAAACAGTTCTCTAATAGCTGCCTGCCATATTTCCAAATGACATAGACTATAAAAAATATGCAAAATACCTTTCTCTTCTAAACCTTTTTTGTCTTATAACAGCACATTATGCAATCTCAGATATGGTCTCCAATAAGCATGCTACTTGTAAAGAAGACTTACTTGAAATAGATTCTGTCACTCTTGGGTCAGCTGTGAAGAAAATGGAAGAGAGAGCAGACAGAAAAAGAAAAACCATGTATAAAGATTAGCCTTCAAGAAACAAACCAACCTTCCCCAAACCTTCTACCTAAAATTTTATACATATCGTAAGAAAATTATAAAATAAACTTTTTAAAAAGAAAATAAATGTAATTAGCATGAACTTTTAGAAATAGAAAGTTGTTTGACCATTAGAACCAATTCTGTCTGAACACTGAATACTTGAGTTCAAACTACTGAAAGATAACATGTTAGAAAGTATTTATCTAATGTTTCTTATTTGTAAATTATTTGTAATAATTTAGGTAAGGGAACCAATCTGATAACAGTCTGGGATGCTTGTAAGGCTGTGATGCGAGGTCATTTTATATAATACAATACAATACAGCAATTAAGAGAAAGACTGGACAAAAAAATCCAAAATGTGCTACAAGAAATTAAACTGAAGGAGAAGGAACTCCAGAATTCACCAGAAGATCCTAACATATAATCAACTAAAATTATTGCAACAACAAATTTCTTTGTAGACATTTTCAGATATTGAAAAGAAACTTAAATATACAAAACAATACTTTTTTGAACATGCAAATAAACCAGGGGGATGGTTGGCATACAAACTTAGAAAACAGGCAGAAAAGAAGATGATAATCAAGCTTCAAGAGGTGAATAAGACTTATATGGATAACAAAAACATTCAAAGACTTCTTTGGAATTATTATATCAATTTATACTAAGAACAAGAAATCTCTTTAGATACTATGGAGGAGTATATAACAACTAAAAATCTTCCTAAACTACAAGCAAATTTTGAATAGTTCAATAACAACCTTTGAAATAATAGAAGCAATTAAAAGAGCAAACACTTCATGGAATTTTTAAACATATTTTAATCAGTGGTTGATATTTTATTTGTTTAAATAAATTTTACATCAACCCAATACTGGTTTTTACTAATAATTGAAATATTAATTGTTCATTATGAATTCCAGTTTAAAACAAGTATTATTGTGAAAGTTTGTTCAGATGCTATAACTTTTTTTTATCTAAACATAATTATAACTTTGTTTTGTTTTTCTCTATAAAATTGTAGAGAATTAAAGGAGAGTTATATCTAATTGAAATTCTTACCTGATTCTGTTCTAAATGGCTTTGATTCACTGCTTGGACCTTCCCCAAGAGGGTTGCTAGGTATCACAACAAATTCATAGCTAGGAAGGAAATAAGCAAAACAAAGTGCATTTATAATTTACAATGTGATATGAAATAAATAGGAAATGTGTATTTGACATGTGTAATTAAGGTAACTTTAATATTTAAAATCTCAATATGGTTTGGCAATTTTTTAAAATTTAGGCAACATACATTGTTTCAAACATGTTTAAGGAAATGATAATATCCTAAGCAGACTTTTGTCTGGATAATTGATAGACAAAAAGTTGTTAAAATTGATAGTTTAAAAACCCTTAAAACAATTTAAAAAGATTTTTTATCCTGCTTTTATTGTTATTTTTAAATAACTCAAGATAGCAAATGCACCTAATAACCCTTCTTCCTCCTTTTGCCCCATAACAATTTGTGAGTTGAATTGGGCTGAGAGAGAGTGACTGCCACAAAGTAAACCAATCAGATTTTAATTCCCAATTTTCCATCTAATTTTCTGGTTCAAAGTGAAATGTATTGTATTCTTAAACTTCTCAGTGAAATCCCAATTTAACAGGCTCAAACTGCCATGCTTCAGACACATTACAGGTAGTTCTCAAGTTATGTTGACATTGAGGTTGAGATTACCATTGCTAAATGATGCGTTTGCAAAGTGTGATATTGTATGTCTAGTTTAATGAAGAGAAGGATGAGGGGTGACATGACAGCAATGTTCCAATATCTCAGGGAATGCCACACAGTGGTGGGATTCAGCCAGTTCGCATCACTTTGGCAGAACCAGTAGCTAATTTTTTGTTGCCAAGGCCCAAAATGGACTTCTGGAAGCAGAATCCATACAGAGAACTGGTTGTTCACATATTTGAATCCCACCACTGCTGCCATATAGAAGAGGGAGTCAAGCTATTCTCCAAAGCACCTGAAGGCAGGACATGAAGCAACGGATGGAAACTAACCAAAGAGAGAAGCAACTTAGAACTAAGGAGAAATTTCCTGACAGTTAGAACAATTAATCAGTGGAACAACCTGCCTCCAGAAGTTGTGAATGCTCCAACACTGGAAGTTTTTAAGAAGAGACCGACAGCCATTTGTCTGAAATGGTATAGGGTTTCCTGCCTGAGAAGGGAGTTGGACTAGATGACCTCTAAGGTCCCTTCCAACTTTATTGTTGTTGTTGTTGTTGTTGTTGTTATTATTATTATTATTATTATTATTATTATTATTATTATTATTATTATTATTATATCACTTCATTGCTTAGTGGCTGATATCTCAGCAGTCCCAGTTAGTGTTGTAACCACAGGACCAAATAAGTTAAGAAGCAAGGACCTCACATGGAATTGATGTGGGAAGAGCTAGGAGTGCCATGTAAACAGGACAGTGGGTGAGAACCAAGGGCAGGTGTTATAGGTGGGCACTAGGAACTGTGAGACTTGTCATGGCATGGGGGCTGTGAGACTTGTCATGGCATGAGGTAGCACTCCTCAGTTGTGGCAGCTTTCAGAAGTCTTAACCCACAGCCACTGCCCTGAGGCTTCTGCTTCAGGTCCAGTGCCAGGCAGACTTCCAAGTCCCAGCAGCATTGCCCAGCTGCAAGAACCAGCTAGCCACAGCAAGGCCTGTGTTGCCTTAAATCCCCTACTTTCTGGTGCTTGTCCACATTGCTCCGTGGTGCCTGCCTGGTTTCTTGGGACTTCTGCCTTTTCCTAAAAGTCAGGTGACGTGGTGGCAGGGGGAGGCCAGCCATAAATGCCACTCCAAATTTTTATCACATGCCCTGAGGATACTGAAGTTTGACAACTGGTAATAAATCAATTTCTTCAGCGCCATTGTAACTTTGAATAGTTGCTGAACAAATGGATGCATTTGTGGGTTGGGACCCCATTTGGGGTCGAACAACCATTTCATGGGGGTCGCCAAACAACACAGTCTGCCATTTCCCCCCCCCCTTTTCCTTAGCTGTGCTACTCCCTTTTATTCTATTGGCTTTTAAAAGCCAATAGAATAGATTCTCTTGAATAGAGTCTAATTCTATTGGCTTTCAAAAGTCAATAGGAATTGTCCAGGCTGTCTCTGCCCTGCTGAGCCCACCAAAAGTCCCATTCTGCAAACGGTGCTGCACCAGTTGGGTAGTCCTCGACTTATGACCAGTTGAGTAGTCCTCGACTTACGACCAGTTGGGGGTCGCGGCATTAAAAAAGTTGAGAACCACTGGTCTAGTCTCTGGAGAAGGCTGTAATATTGCGAAAGTGGAAGGAAAGAAAAAAAAAGGACAACCGGCAGCAAAATGACTGCATACAGTTACAGTGGCAATGGGTGCACCTTGGAAAACCAGAAGAACCAAATATTCCTGGAGAAAATCTATGTGGTCACAAGGAGCTAACACTGACTTCATAGTACATATAATCAATTAAACAATCCTTAACCCTTCTCCATTTTATGCTGCTGTGCTTTAACTCTAAACTGGTTTAAGAAAAATCTGGTCTGAATATGTATGTGCGTGTGCATGTGTGTATGTGTACATGCATGCATAAACATATAAAAATAAAGTAAAATGCATATTTAAGTATTTATTTGTATCCCACCTTTATTATTTTTATATTTACATTTTACAAATATCTCAAGTTAGCGAACATATCCAATACACCTTCTTCTTCCTATTTTCTCCACTACAACCCTGTGAGTTAGATTGGACTGAGAGAGATGACTGGCCCAAGGTCAATCAGTTGGTTTTCATGGCTGTGGCAGGACTAGAACCCATGGTCTCCTGGATTCTAGCCTGCTGGATATACAAGATATACAATCTCTCTGTCTCTGTCTCTGTCTCTGTCTCTCTGCCTGCATGTGTGTGGCTGTTTGTAATCAGCTTTAAAATAAAATCCTTTTTTTCATTTTCCCATTTTTTTTCTCATGGTCATTCTAGTTATAACAATTGCTTGATTCAAAATCTGCTACATGTCAAAGCTGGGACACTCTGCCTATAGACCCTCATAAACAGTATGTCACTGACAAAGACTACATGTTATATGCTGCAGCTGCCACAGACTTACTTGAAGAACAGTTGGAAAAATGAGATGGAGGTGGTTTCTATTGTGCAGTGGGCTTCAGTAGGCAAGGAGCAGGTCAGCATAGTTATAACATTATTTATTGACTCACACTAGAACTGGAGAACTTCAGGCAATTGCCTGAAAACGTATACTTAACCAATCACAATATTTGAAAAACCCACCCAAATATGAATGTTCAAAGTTTCCCTCCAAAACAGTTGGAGTTAATAGTCAGGCTCATCTAAAGGTTAGTTTTATTTTAGCTTCACAAGCAGTTGGAGTTAAGTTAGTTTCACTTTAGCAGGGATTAACACAACTTTATATATATTCAATACATAACAGTTTCTACCTCTATATGGGAGCCAAAGTGCAGGAGTTTGGCTAGAATGAAGTGTGGTGCAGCAGATAAACGCAAGCCAACACAAAATGGAAAACATTAACAACAACAACAACAACAACAACAACAATAATAATAGTAAAGTTGGAAGGGATCTTGGAGGTCATCTAGTCCAACCCCCTGCTCGGGCAGGAAACCCTATACCATTTTGGACAAATGACTGTCCAGTCTCTTCTTAAAAACCTCCAGTGTTGGAGCATTCACAGCTTCTGGAGGCAGGTTGTTTCACTAGTTAATTGTTCTAACTGTCAGGAAGTTTCTCCTTAGTTCTAGGTTATTTTTAATGTGAAGCAGAAATGGTTGGAGGCTGCATTTGTTGGGGATAGAGATCAGCGGAAGACAATGTCCATTTCTTCCAGAAATTATTGGTGGCTTATACTTGGGACAAGGCAATCTGATACTGCAGATATGGCCAAACATTAAACAGAATAGGCATTCAGCTCTGAATATAAAAAACCTATACATTTCAGTGGCTTACAAAAATCTTTCTAAATAATATTAATAATGAATACACTTGAACATTGGCCATGAGACAGACCAGGTAATGATGTTGACTTGCTTTCTCCTACCCCTCAGGAAGGGCAGCTTATAAGGGCACTGTCTTTTACTTGGACCAATTCTCTTTGTAATGGCTGATAGTTTCTCTGTTTCCTCTTAGGGGGTGGAAAGAGAGAATGGCTGCCCCTAAAATAGCTCTGTTGAAATAATGGAGTAACAATGTGGAGAAATCTTAACCAATGGTTCCAACTAGTGAATTATTATGCTTGCTGCTAGGCCTGGAATCCATGGTAGCATAATATGTCAACAATAATGAGTTCCTATATTATCTGAATGAAACTATGCCTGAACATTCAGCCATATTGTCCAGCATGGCTTATCCTGCAAAGGGTTCATTTCAACAAAGACTCAAGAATGTCTATGTATATGTTGGATTGCAGCCAAAGTATAAAACTAGTCACGGGTAATTGGTGGTGCATGACATTTATTATTAATCCAACTATTATTTTAAGTTGGCTAACCATATCTTAGTCTTTGTGAAGATTTTATGTATTGTTTGTTAAGTGCTTCACATTCCCAGCTGAAAGCAACTGCTGAAAGATTAAGTCATCTGAGTATGAAAATCCACAACATGTGATATTGTTTTTGAATGTTTGTCAAGACAAACCTGACTAATTCCAACAGTATTTAATAATTTGAAGAAAACTGAGTGAATCAAATTATGGGCAAAATGTTTTGTATTTTCCAGGTTCTTGTACTTTGTTAAATCTTAAGATGTATTTTTCCTTACTTTTCAGTACTGAAAACATTATTTCTGGTAGCTTTCCAAGTTTGAAAGCCAAAATACACCTCACCCAAAGGGAAAAAAAGAAACAGAACAGTGATACAAATTGATTATTGGTTTCTGTTGCCATGAGAGAATGGAACACCTGCATCAGGACAGTGTCTTTAACAAGCTTATGGAATTTTGCAGCAAACCAGATGTCCAAAAAACAAAATAAAACTAAAAGCTCTACTCCAAACGCCCAAATTGAACAGCAATAAACTGCTAGAGATTTAAAGAAGTAACATACAAAATAAACGTCCCATAAACTTTAACATTTAAAGTATGGGTATACAACACTTATTTATAATGTCTATTGACAACTGATAGTACTAATCAAGGAGCTATTGGCATAGGAAAAAAAATATTTGGTGATCTTAGAAACCCAAAGTCAGAATTTGGAACATGTTTTACAACACCCAGTTTACAGTTGATGAATATTCTATCAGTGTTTTAGCTGTCAAAGAAAATAAATTATCATTAATTATCATAATATCAAGCTTAGGTATATAATCATTCTTACCCTTTATTTCCCTAAATTACTGTATTTCCTTTTGCATTTTTCTCTAAAGAATCTGCCACTTATCTTTTGGACTCATAATTATGTGCATTTTCTTGGAGAAGTTTATAACTGATTTGCTTGTTCATAACATATATATGATATATGCTTAATATGATATTTGTTCCAACATCCATATATGAAAATATGCACCTAAACAGATAAACCTCAGAGTTTAGCAAGAAGTTTCTCTAAGTACAAGGTGCAATTAAATTAGTTCCTATCCTAGCTATAGATCATATGCATCCTTCTTTAACTTTTAGCATAAACTGCTATTCACTTTTGACAAAAGTTAAGATAAAGTCATTTTTACTGTAATTTTCTCTTGTTCTCTTCCTCTAGTCTATCTGAAAAGGCTTATGATTAATGAGAATTGTATAATGTGAGAATAACTCCAATTATGTTCATATTATGCTCATATGAACAGGATATTTCAGAAGGCATATTTCAGCAGACAACTGAAAAAAGATGATTAGGTTTAGGGTCTCTCAAATGAGTCCTCTCCTGAGTTACCTTCTATTCTTTTGTCTTGCATTTTTGTTATACAGTGTAAGCTAATTGATCAATATCCTCAAATCCTGGATGCACAGGCTAGTGCAAGAGGTACTAAATTCAGATACTAACACAATCATTGTCAGTTCACTCAGACTTTCTTATTTAGGAAATTGTGTTTTAAACACATGAATCATAATATTGCCCTCATCATCTCCATAATGGATTATTGTAAAGGGACTGCCTTTCAAGATTACTCAGAAGCTTCAATTGTTATTGAATGCAGCAACCTATTTGCTTATCTAAGTTCATGGCCACTGCTGGCTGGCCATGCATATATTTACTAGTTTAATTTAAAATGCTATTTTTTATTTTGAGTCCAGGGCACTTTTGGAACTGTCCTTTCTGAGTAGATTAAGTCTAATCTGTATGAACAAGATGGAAGAAATACTGTAGATCCCCATGTCCTGATATTACAGTGGCAGGAACAAGGAAGCATTCTGTATGGCTTCCATGCCTGGTTAGAAATGCTTTTCTTCCCCAACTACAGATTGTACCTTTATGTTAGTAATGTGGGAAAACTGCTCTTTTGCTACATATTTGAAGCCTAATATATTTTTCCTGGCACAATCTCACCTGCTTTTATTATTGAAGTTAGTTACATTTTAATATATTATGTTTAGAATGCTAAATTTATTCACATTCCCAAAACTGACTGAATGGAATAATATACAATTTTTTTCAGTATATAAATAAATGCAAACTTAAATTCATTATTATAATAAAATTCCTTTTAATAACATCACCTCGTGTTAGGTTTCAGGTTTTCCACTGTAGAATGGGTTTGATTTGTGGTTATAATGGACTTATCTTTTCCAACTGTGCCTCCATTTTCTGTTGATACAACTTTATATTCTGAAAATAAGAAGTTCATGTTCAACTACTTATTATCATTTCAGTTTTGTAAAACCTTTTTATCAGGTGTCTATTTTTCTCCTTTATGCTCCCACTGTAATCAAAATATAGTTCAAAGTGGATTTATTTTAAAAATTAGGACTTTTTATCACTAATATATCAAAACCTTATTTCCAAATAATCTTATTTAATGTCTCATAATTTTTTTAAATTGCCAAGGTAGAAATAAGTGATGAAAACAGAATGTCTCAACTTACTTAGCCTACAACACTGGTTTAATTATAATCAAAATGGACATAATTGATAATATCTTCAATCAGGACTTTTGGACGAGGAATGGTAGACTGAAGATGTCTCCATGAAAGTGGAGCCAAGAACTGCAGGAAAGAACAACGACCAGTAATTAGAGTGTCTTTTCAGAATGTCTCAGGAGAAGAGGAGACAGGGGATCAGCCACATGTACTCTAAATAGTGATTCTCATGAGGAGAATGCAGGATAGTTGTCTCCCTTGGGGTTGAATACTGGGAAACAATAGGAGTAGCCATCTTGCTAGCAACCATAGTTGGTGCCTTTTAGAATTCTAAACTTGCCTTAGGCATGACAGCTAGTTGGGTGATTTTGGGCCAATCACTCTTTCTTAGCCTAACCCAACTCACAGAGTTGTGGAAAAAAATTAGGAGAAAGGAGTATGAGGTATATTTGGTTCCTTGAATTATTTATAAAAATAATAAAGGTGAGATAATATTTTTTTAAAAAAATAAAAAGACATTAAGTTCACTAACTACTTGTTTGTGAACTTTCAGATATTGCTCATTAACTATTAGAGACCTTTAGAATGACAAGTTTGAAAACACAGTTTTCCTTCAATTCTGAATGATTTTTTTTTTGACTATAGCTTATGCATTTACAAAATCTGAAGTAAACAGCAGAAAGCTAATGATCTTTCTAAAAGACATTGGGCTTTAAAATATGAGAACTGAGATCTTGAATTACAAGTAATCCTCGATTCACAATCACAATTGAGTCTGAAATTTCTGTTGCTAATTTTGCCCCATTTTACAACCTTTCTTGCCACAGTTGTTAACTGAATTATGCAGTTATTAAGTTAGTAACATAGCTGTTAAATGCATCGGGCTTCCCCATTGATTTTGCTTCTTAGAAGGTTAAAAAAGGTGATTACATGATCTCAGGACACTGAACTATAATGAATATGAACCAGTTGCTAAGCATCCAAATTTTGATCACGTGATAATGGGGATGTTGCAACGATCATATGAAAAATGGTCATAAGTTACTTTTTTCAGTGCTATTCTAACTTTGAATGATCATTAAATGAACTGTTGTAAGTCAAGGATTACCTATATTCTATTCTGAAAAAATCATTAGCTGACTGAATGCAAACACATAAAATTTATTTTTAGATATATATATAAAGTCTATGATGTGGAAACATATTCCTAATAATATATTGTGTGAACATAAGTCCCAAGTTTTATAGAGAGCAATATTTGATTGCTCTCTCATACAACTATCAAAATATCAGTTACTGTGTAACAATAGCAACATCACTAATAACTAAAGAAAACACAATAGTTCTATAATCAAGAACTGATCATGAACACCTTATTTAAAATTTTTAGTGAATTCAGAATACATAGAAGAATTACCTGACAATTCTGACATGGCTGCCATGGACAGAGAATGCCATCTGTCATGGCCCCATCAGAGCCTGGTTTGGAGGAGGAGAAGGAGGAGGAGGAAGAGGAGTTGGAACCAATGGGGTTGGCATGTCTCCCTTGGAATGTTTGGCCAGGAATTGAGGATGATGCTGTCCCAGGTCCCTCGGGCATTGGGGAGGTGGTCAAGCAGATGGAGAGCTACCTGCCCTCACAGATACAGGGAAGGATTGGCTGCAGTCAGGTAGTGGTGCTGATAGGCAGCAGCTCCTCTCTGATGAGGAACAGTTGCCTCCCCCACTCGATCCAAGGGCATGGAGAGTAGAGCAAAGGAAAGCTCAAAGGGGGGCTGTGAGGCTACTTGGGAGAAGATCACCCTGACCCTCCTCACAAGGAACACCTGGCTGGGGATGATTTAAGGAGAAGCCAGGGGGAATTTATCTTTGTTAGGAACAATTGTTTGTTTGGCTTACACTCCCCCAGCTTTGACTTATGCTCTTACCTGTGCCTTGCCTTTGCTTTGTGGCCTTTCTTTGGCCTTGTGGACTTGCCTTACCCTGCGGACAGGCCTTGCCCATCGTATCTTGATTCTGGATCTTGCCCCATGAGTTTGCATCTTCTCTTTGGACTTTGTTGCTTATTGGCCTTTGTTTGGGGGACTAAGGGTGGCTGCCTTTTGGGTAGTGTAGGGTGGAGCCGAACCAGTGTTGTAGGGGCAATTGTTATGACATTTAATTAGAGCAATGAAGGACTCTATCGATGCCTGCCTCTGCCTAGGCAACCTGGATCATAACACCATCTAAAGATCATCTGTTAATTAATTAGGGCATAATTTTTAGTTAGAATGGAAATCAGAGATCTAGAAAAATTAGGAATTTTAATAAAATAGACTGAAGAACACTAATACATCCTCAACTTTTCAAAATAGCTTGGAAGAAGTGTATATGTTAACACAATGCCCGGACAAGACAAAAATCTAGCTAACCTGTTACAGTTTCATTTTCTGGTTTTTTCCAATCCAGTACCACAAAAGATGGACATCCCTCAACAGTCACCACTGTGAGATTCGTAGGAGGTTTTTGGGGGGCACTAGTAGCCATGTCACTGTTGTCCTCCATATCAGATGGAAAGTGTTGTATAGTATCTGTGATAGAACAAGGTTCATCATCTTTTTTTTTCAGGTATTTCACATGATCACCTGAAAATATAAGCAATTAAAAGTATGTTATTTTAAATGGCAACATATTACTTCAATGACTTGTTCACAGAGAAATGCTTTCCACAAAATATTTTCATTATAAGCTTCTTAATCAGGGAAGATTAGAATCCTTTCTGCCCTCTGATGTCTACTTAGAAAAGAACATGTCATAGACTCATAATGCTTTATATCACTCTCTAAGTGGTTTACATTGTCAGCATATTACCCCAAACAATCTGGACCCTCATTTGACCTTGAAAGGATGGAATTCTGATTTAATCCTTGAGCCAATCAGAGCTGAACTCCTGGCAGTGGGCAGAATTAGCCTGCAATACTGCATTCTAACTATTGCTCCACCACAACTCTCAGCCCTGCTACTCTGAATCCTTGAGGAAGGCTGATCTATATCACAGTACAGTATTTGGCTATTCCTGTCACCATGTAATGTGGTCAGTTACATAGTTTAGTGTCCTACCTATTATATGTCTCTTGCTTGAATAGTTGCCCAGCTAAAACAAGACAGTGGAACAACAGTAGTACTGTTTATAAAGCCTTAATAAGACCAATATGGAATACAGTTTTGGTAATCACATGAGAAAAAAGAAGTTGAGATTTTGGAAGAAGTGAAAAGAGCAACGAAGATGATTAAAGGCCTGGACACTACAACATATGAAGAACAGTTGCAGAATTTGGGTTTGGCTAGTCTAGAGAAAAGAACGACTAGGGGTGACATGATAGCAATATTCCAGTATTTGCAAGGTTGCCACAAAGAGGAGGGCCTCAACTTATTTACCAAAGCACCTGTAGGCAGGACAAGAAACAATGGATGGAAACTAATCAAGGAGAGAAAGCAACTTGGAACTAAGGAGAAACTTAGTGAGGAAAATTAACCAGTGCAACAGCTTGCTGTCAGAAGTTGTGGGTGCTCCATCACTGGAGGTTTTTAAGAAGAGACTGGACAGTCACTTGTCTGAAATGGTACAGGGTTGAGCAGGGGTTGAACTAGAAGACCTCTAAGGTCCCTTCCAGCTCTATTCTGATTGAAAATAAAAGGAAAGGCTTCATAACATATCTAATAATCTTGAAATGAGAATGCATGAAAATGAATGTCAGTTCAAAAGGAAATGAAGTTTTATTAAATAAAAATATTTTAATAAAATGAAAGATAAAAATGATAGCATATATTGTTTAACAGTTTTTTTCTTATGAGATAATTTTAAACATACCTGTATACCTTGGTGTGCCTGCAATATCAGTATCTGATGTAGGGATAGAACTGAACATTGGATTATCTAAGCACAGAAAAATAGCATAACATTAATGAAAGTCCTAGTTTTCTACATTGTAAAAACATTTTCTGTTCAAAAGCTCTCATTTTAATCATACCTCAGTTTTAAAGCCTCTCCTTAGATCATGCTTGGAATCATGTTCACATTTTCTTAGGAAATGTGGCATTATAAAAAAATAATGTTTCTTTGAATTGCTGAAACTTTGATGATCTTAATCTAAGCAATCAAATTAGTAAATTAATTAGTAACTTCATGATGTTATAACTCTTTACAATTCCAAAAAGAGGACTTTTGTTTTTTCTGATTTTTGTGGAAAGGTATTTCAATAATCTAATTGTTTGGTTGCTGAAAATAAACTGATCTAATTCTTTATTTTAAATCATGCTATTTATCTTAATAGCTAAGGAAATATATAAACAAATATTCTGCTAGCAGAAAAGAATGTCAAATAAAATTAGTGTAAATTGAGTTATATGTTATATATTTATATTGGTCAATATAACAATCAGTCTGAAATCATTAGTTCAATATACAGGTCCTTTTGAAATAGCATGGAATTTTATAACATGCTTCTAGAACTGATTGAAGCAATACGAGATACCATTCAGAAATGAAGCATTCAAATTCTTTTAGCATGAATATGTTAAACTATTTTAGGTTTATAAAATTGGGTCACATTTAATATTTGTGAAAAAGTCCGTTGATGTTCTTCACAATGCTTTATGAGTTTTAAAATAAAATTAATTTTCTATTTTTACAAACAAGTGCTTGATAGACAACGTGTTGTCTGGGTCCATTAATAATTCCATGGTACATATAAGCTTCTTCAAACTAAATCCAATATTACACCATCCAATACCTCCTCTTTGCTTACGGTAATAAACATTTTTCCACATTAAGCAAATACAGTTCTTATTGTTATTAATAGATATACAGTTAAATATCAGCATTTATTACAGTTTTCTAATAATATCAATGATATCAGCTTAAAATATCTTTTCTAACCAAAACATATCTTAATTGCGTTTGCACTCAATATCCATTTATTCAGTCAGTATACTATTTTTGCTTTTTTTTCAGTTTTAATTTCCCATCAATATTCAAAATATCCCAATAATTTATAGTTTCAAAATAAGTTATATTTGGGTAACCAAAAGCTTCCCTTATTCAAACTTCTTAGCATTTTCTTATTTTCCTCTTCATGACAAAATATGATATTCTGATTACCAATCTTATCTATCCATTCTTAACCATATTCATATTTTAGGTTTATAAAATTGAGTCACATTTAATATTTGTTTTCACAGTTTGAAAAAGTCCATTGATGTTCTTCACAATGTTTTATGGTTTTAACCATCCTACATACTTTGATAAACTTGGGCGCTTTGCTGTTCCCCTCTAATGCCAAAGAATTTATGAAAATTCATTAATATTAACATAGCAAGTAAGTGCTCCAGCAGGACCTTGCACGTTATAGCCCTTGTCAGGAAAAATGACAGTTTTTATTATATTTTGTTCCTGTTCTCTGGTTAGTTATTTATTAAAATTTCAACAAAATCATATTTGTCTTGGATGTCATATTGTCTTTCTTAGGTATATCACAGGATCAAATATTTCAGGACCAACTACAAATGGTTGTAACTGCAACATTAAACCCGTTTCAGCTCCCAATTTTCCTAGACTCAACTTGTTAGGACTCCTGTTATGGCTACTCCTAAAGTTTGCAGAGGTAAAGTATGGTATTCAACAGAATAATATAAGAAAATGCGCACTGATATTTGGAATAGTATCATAACTATTGGAACTACTATTTATGTATTAAGCTATAAGACTGAAATTAATAAAAACATAAAGAAAACTTGGAACTGTGCTATTCCATTCTTACTGTAATCTGGAGACGCTGCTGCTGTAGGTAGCTTTTTAGGTGAATTTGTTTTCACAAGGGAACTTGGCCAAGTGGGTTTTGCTATAGACGTTGTGAGAATTGAAGATGCTCGTGGCATCAAGACATTTCCTATTTGGAAGAAAAGAGAATTTGAATCTAATTGGAATTTACATAGGGTTGATTGTAAAATAAACATGTCATAATGATAAAAGACATTCATTAATCAAAAGGATTATTTAAAAAAGTTCTCTTTGAATAAGTTTTTTACACAAAGAGGGGCAGATATAAGTGAATATAAGTGTTTAATGTATAGGTGTATTTATTAAGATGTTTCTAGTACTCCATATAGTGGTGGGATTCAAATATGTGAACAACCGGTTCTCTGTGTGGATGCCACTTCCGGAAGTCCATTCTGTGCCTGGGCAACAAAAAATTAATTACCGGTTCTGGCGAAGTGGTGCGAACTGGCTGAATCTCACCACTGACTCCATATCTATACAATTTGTAGTTTATTTTCTATTGATTAGCACATGGTATAGTATGCAATTAAAAGCCTAAACAAGTAAACTTAATTCAGCTGATCTATACAAAATATATTTATTCCCATTATAAAGAAAACTCTGAAAATTTTCTTCAAATGCACTTTACAGCGCACAACTCTGTATTGATATTGTTTGCCCACATTTGACTGAAATGTTCCTTCTTATCACACACTTGAATTTACCCCTTTCTGAAGGATTTAGTAATATGTAAATATTTCTGTAAAATTTCTCACTGGGTTCCTGTTTGCCCCTCTAATACAGATTTATTGTGGCTACACCCGCAATATTTCTTTTATCAAATATCAACTCCTCCATAGTACACTATTTGAATAACTACTCACAAGTGGGTTTACATATTCTACAGGAAAAAGGATGTTGGTAAAAAATGTATATGTGGGAGGGGAGAGGACAAAGAAGAATTATACATGCAGGTGATGTTTCTTCACGGCTCATCACTCCCATGAATAATATAGGATCAATAAATATTTTGCCAGGAAGCACTACAAGATGTTTGCAAAAGATTGTGATAGTTCAAATGAATGTTTGGATGACTGATCACATGACTATCAAGTGCATTTAATAAACAAAAGACTTTATTTATTTATTTATTATTTATTTGCCGCAAGGCAACACTTGTTTTCTAGTTATACTGAATATAAGTACCCCTTGAGCATATATAAAGAGAGCTGTATTCATTATGACAATAAACGTAAGAAAAAAGCCCTGTAGTTTAGGAGGATGACATACCTGAACGGCCAGGTTTACCAGTCACATTGTTGGGTGGCAATGGTTTTCTTCGTATTGGTGTAGGTCTGGCAGGAGCTAAAGGAGGTCGTGGAGAACCAGGTAATGTAGCTACTGTATAATGTTACAAGACACCAGTGTTAAGGGAGGAACCGCACAATATGTAATCAGAAAGAGAAAAATGGCTAATAGCTACACTTCTCAAGCACATTTCTAAGGCATGAGCTTTTAGTGATAAAAGCTGCAAAAGAACACAAAACATAAACAGGAAAGTGCTGAAAGGTATTATTTTTAGGCATTAAATTTCTTGCAGTAAAAATGCATGCTTCTGACATCAGACTAAGCAAGAGTACAAGCAACTAAACAAATTTGTTAGAATGTATGCTTCTTGTTCAGTTAAGAATATTACAGACTGTTGCTTTGTACTATATTAGTAGGTAACAGAATAGGTTGTCATCACAAAGGAAGTTAAGTCAAGGTGAAATACAATGCCCATTTTTTTTTCTAAAAATATGACCATTGCTTATGCTGCAAAGATCTATGGACTGGAGCAATAGTGCAGCAGTAGTGTTAGTTTGCGGAAGTGAACACAACCTGCATGCTCTCTCACAAAATCAAAACTGGGGAAAATATTACTTAGCAAACTGCTCAGTGAAGATCTTTTGTTAAAGGATGTTCATTGCATTCTTGCAGTGGCAAGTAAGGGCAAGAAGGCTCTCCTCAAGATCCTTCTCCAGGTAGCTTATCCTCCTTGAGTAAGGTGTATGGTTTGAGATAAACTGAGATAGAACTAAATAGCAGTATGAAACGCTTCATATCTGAGTAGTCAGATGCTTCAGATCTTACTATGTACATAAATATTTGTCTTTGTTATTTGTTTAAAATAACTGATAAACTGTAATATTTAATTTATAAATATTACAATTGTTTTGTTTAAATGGATATTGTAACTGCTGTAGTAAGTGTCGTTATATAAATGTAAATTAATTTCTCTGTCATTAATAAGGATAATTTTTTTAAAAAAATTAAAGCCATTGTTTCCATGCATTCCTTCCAAACTTTAATAACTAGAGTGAATTCAACAGTAGTTTTCCAAAAATAAGTGAGTCAGTCAGTCATTTTCTCCCCCCCCTCTCTCTCTCCTGTCATCTGTCATCTGTCATCTATCTAAATATCCTCCCTCTTTCACAACTAAATCAGCAGTTTGATTTTCCAGGGAGCCAAAAGCAAGACAATTAAGAGACTGTTAGCTCATTTTTTTCACCCACGGCAAGATTCAGCAAGATCCTGCTTGGAAGAAGAATTTGAATACAGCCATTTTTTTTATTATTTTATCTATTATTCTATGATTATTCATTAAATGCAATATAATGAATCTGATAAGAATGACACTGGATACAGATCAGGGAAAATATTGTATAATGCATAGTGAATACATTTTACCTGGATCTGGTTTTTTTCTTACAACTGTGGAATCTATTGGTATACTAGACTTAGTACTAGAGCTTGGATGGAGAGGCTTTGCAACATCTTCATTTGTTAATTTCTCACCTTAGAATTAAAAATAAGGATAAAAGTATTATCAGCTAATAGCCATGACAGTGATATGTTATCTCAATAATCAGAGGCAAATTGTTGAGAAAATGAGCATTATTCTACTTGTATCTTAAATGCTGGGTTCTTATAGGTCAGTGGTGGTGAACCTTTTAGAGACCGAGTGCCCAAACTGCAACCCAAATCCCACTTATGTATCGCCAGGTGCCGGGTGGGCGTGGCTATGGCGGAAATGGCAGGCTGGGTAGGCAGATTGTGAAAGGAATGGTGGGTGAAATGCTATGTAACTTTTGAGATAATTTTTGGAGAACAGAGAATTACTTATCTCACTTAGTTTAGCAATCCATTATAATGTATTTCAATCATAAGAATTCCAGAAACAAAATATAAAATTAAAAAATGAGAAAAAAATAACAGTAATGTTAAACATGTTAAGACAAAATCAATAGAAACACAATCAGAGTAAATCATATCCATAAACATATCATTTTACTATAACTGAACCTACATCATTTTCAATAATTGTAACATACAGTACCAGCATGGTGACAGAAAACAGCTGGCAGCCTTTTTTGTAATCATGGAATACTGGTCTAAAAATAGGATGAGGATTCTTTCCACCCTTCTTGTTTTGGAGGAGTTAGTAGCCCATGCAAAGATCATAATAAAAGAGGCAGCACAATAACACATTGCCTCTGCTCAGTTTCATTAATTGTACAAAAACAGATGCATTCAGTTTTGAAGATATTATCATACTTTATTTCGAAAGAGCTAAGTGAAGCAAACTAAGAAAAGATTTTCTATGCAGCACATATGTACGATTGTATCTTGCAGTATGAAGATCATATCATGTGTGGTTCTGGCTCTCAAGAACATAGCTTGAACATTTTTCACCAAGTGGAAATTTTTTGCATATATACAGTATTTATAGTCAACAACATTTGTCCTAGTTCAGCATTGTATGGCATAACTAGCAGTGTAGAAAATAGACATCTTCTAATATCTGTACACTGCTCAAAACTGTTTATACAGTTCTTGAAATGATAAGTCATGCAATGTGTTTCACTTACGGTATTTAGGTGATGTGGTTTGGAAAATATTTTAATTAATCTTTCTCTAAATTAGGCTTCACGTTGAGTAATTTAGCATAACCCTGGAATTCCAAATATGGAGTACTAACGCACTCACAGATGCTTCTGTTGGCACCCATCAGGTTCTCATCCACATTTGATCATTTTTAAAAAATTACAAAAATAAGGTGCTGGTTTCCAGCGTTATCTCATTTCTAAAAATGTGACTGAGTGTTAAACAGTTGGGAAGACCTTCAAAGAGTCCCATATGCCCTCCTCACTTCACAACTGGATTATTGCAATGCATTCTGTATGACATTGCCTTTGAAGACAACCTGGAAACTACAGCTAGTTCAAATGCAGTGATAGGCACCTCTCGGTGTGCCCATATGACAGAGCTGCTACACGGATTGCATTACAGGTAGTTCCAAATGCAGTTCAAGGGCTGATTATTTCTTATAAAGCCCTATTTGACATAAAGCCTGGATATCTGACAGAGCTCTTATCTCCAAATGTTTCTGTCCATTCAGTATATTCCAGTTAAGTGGGTGTGCCCCAGGTTCCCTCCATTAAACATGCCATCTTGTGGGACCTAAGAAGCATGCCTTCTCTGTTGCAGCCCCTATCCTCTAGCATCCCTCCAGAGATAAGAATGGTACTTTCTCTCCTAGGGCTCCAGAAAGCTTTAAAAACCTGGCTTTGGTGCCAAGCCAAGTTTGAAGTTTGTTATTTGTTTAATGGCCCTTTGCTCTTTTTTTTTTGGGTTGCTTATTAGGACAGTATGATCGGGACTGTCTGATTTAATATTTTTAGCTATTTACATGGTTTTTTTTCTAGTTTTGTATGCTGCCTATAATCCACTGGCTGGCCAATACAGTATAAATAAGTAAATAAGCTAAGAAGCTTTTTTTTTTTTTAAATAAAAATTCTGGGGACTACAACCTACATTGTTTCAATTTGTGTACATCTATTCCAAACATTCTTCAGTTTTGTAGATGGTTATGGTTCCTGGGGCAGCTATTTGGTGAAATTCCAGCTCAACAATTTTGCAAGACAATCCACAGCTTATTTTAAAATTCCAAGTACCAGTGCAAAAAAAAAAAAAAAAATGGAAATGTCTGACAATTGAAAAATGATCTAAAATGGAAAACCTTACACAGAAAAGCTTTCATTGCCAAAGATATATCACCAACTAACAACTTTCAGCTATTCTCGGAGTCTGAGGTCCCTGGCAGAGTCCATTGTTGGTGCTGCCTCAAACTTCCCTTAGTTTATTTTCTGAGAAGTTGTATTTGGTCATGGATATTTGGCACATTAAAGTGTCCAATCAAATCATCTACTGCTGCTTGAAGTGTGGACATTACAGCCAGGTAACCAATTAGACTGATTTGACAGATGAGAGTCCATGCCAAAGATACTTTGTCCAAATTCCTATTAACTTGGAATTGGCTCTCTTCGTTAATCAGAGATGTATTTTGCAACAAGAGCAAATGTCAGACTAAATGCCATAAAGGTAAATTTCTCAAGTAATAGCTGCATCATCTAGAACAGAGGTCACCAACCTTTTCATGCTGGCAGCCCAGAGAGAAAGAAAGCAGCTGGAAAATGTGTGTTCGCGCACATGAAAACAGAGCAGCGCACACCCGCACAGCACTAGTGACCCCATTTGTGCAGGCGCGCAGGCACTAGTGGTCGCTGCTAGCCCCATGTGCATGTGCAAACGGGCCATGCAAACCCGCCTCCACGCTAGCAACCCTGTTTGCACATGCGCACAGGGACTAGCCACCGCCGCTAGCCCCGCAAACAGGTCCATGGGTGCTAGTGCAAGTGGGAGTAAGTGCGTGCACTGGCCAGCCAGTAGGCCAGGCCTGGTAGTGGGCCATGGCCCATAGGTTGGGGACCTCTGATCTAGAAGAAAAAGGTCTGGATATTCCTCTAGGGCAGTGGTTCTCAACCTGTGGGTCGGGACCCCATTTGGGGTCGAATGATCATTTCACAGGGATCACCAAACAAGGCTGTCCGCCATTTTTTCCCCTTTTCTTTGGCCACGCCCCTGGCACCCGGTGATGTATAAGTGGTTGGGGGTCACTACAACATGGGGAACTGTATTATGGGTCATGGCATTAGAAAGGTTGAGAACCATTGCTCTAGGGATATATTTTTATAGAAAATGTGATAATACAGGGGAATACACCTGACTCATTCACAACAGTAGGCAAAAAAGCATAAAAATAGAGAAATAGAGTTCACTAGATAATACACAATCCAATGTTTAATTTTTCCTATTTACAATTTTAAATATAAATTAGGATGCTATACATGAATACTACATAATTTTATCTTTTTGATCAATAAACTAAGTATGATCTAGCTATCTTTTAAGGCTTGAAAAAGAGATGAAAAATAAAATTATAGTTTTGATTCTTTTTGAAGTTAGTGAACAATCTGCAAGTAATGAGATGAAAAGAAAGATTAGTTCTTAAATATATTCTAATGGTCTTTCACTTTTTTCAGCTTATTTTGTACACATTTATTCAAGTCATTGTTGGCTCCTGCAATTTTTTTGACAATTTTTGGAAGTGATTTTCCATTGCCTCCTTCCTAGGGTTGAAGGAGAATGACTGGTCCGGGACCACTCAGATGGTTTTGTGCCCAAGAACGGACTAAACTCGGACTCGGTTTCTAGTTGGATGCCTTAACCACTACACTAAATGGTGTCTCTTTTATATTAAATATATAAAATTAACTGTTCTATACAAAGGTACAATATTTGTTGCCTCTTTATTTTTAATATAAAATTTATTTTGATTTAAGGATTAGTAAGGAATGGATGGTTAATGAAAGCCTGTATCAAAATCTAGTATGAAACAGAAATAGTTTTATATTTCAGAGCAAATATAAAACAAAAAAATTGTTTTTTTTAAATCCAAACAATTTGTCTTACTTAAATCAATTTATTTTGCTGGGTCTTGACAAATATTTTCAATGAGTAAGTGAAAATTTAGAACCACTAGACTTTCTCTTGCCCTCCATCCCAAAATCTATATGGAAATAATTATGGCACATCCAAAAGTTAGGATATGTTTATGCTTCAATAATTACAGTAAGAATCTGTCATGGTTAAGGGTTAATTATGGTTCAAATTACATCTCTTTTTTATTTGCAGCTATTGCTACTTTATTAATGTGAAATAAGCATTAACAGAACATCAAATACATGTGTACTGAATGGGTTTATTTCTTGGCATTTGGTTGTAGAACTGCAACTAATTTTTTCACAATTATATTATTGTTTTCTATTTATCTGTCTACAGAGATAAGCAAAGGGCCACAAAGTATACCATTAAACAAAATAAAGATGCCACTACTAAACATTTCAACAATATAAGAAGTAATATTTAAGTGTTACCTCTTGGTTTTTTACTCCAGGATGGTCCTCCTGGTGTTCTAGTTCTAGGAGGGGCTGGTGTTGTTCTGTGGACAACTGAAAAAATGAATGCCAAATTTATTAGGAATTGACTGGAGACAATGATATATTTATTTTCACTATGTTTACTAAAGGTAAGGTTCTCCTCATTCAAGTTCATTGGTTTTAACTACTACACCAAATTAGCTCTCCAAAAGTTGCCTAGTTTGATCTAGCACTCATGATATTATTTTCTTTGGTAATGAAATGTCTGCAAGAAAACAAGCACCAACTCAACTCAAAAAGCACCAAGGACCACACTCAATCCAACTCAAAAAGCATCAAGGACCACACAGTTCAATCTTAGGCTACAAATATTCTGTTCTATTAATCTAAAATATGGTTCAGTATTTCAAGGATCAGAAAGAGTTATGTTTTTAATTCAAGGTAATAAACTGATCACCCAAATTATGATTCTGTATTGATTTTAGTAGAGTGGGTTTTCCTATTTTGGGAACTATACCTTTTTTCAAATGTGGAGTTTTGGTGACTGTCACTTTGTTGTTCAGTTTAGATGAACCTAAAACAAAATAATTAAATAGGTTAAGTGTACCCAAGTATTGTTTTTAAATGGAATATTATAATGTTCAAAAGAGAAAGTACTAACTAGACCATCAAAGCAATCTTACACTTGTTCTAGGAAGATTAAATTTTTGACATCAGGAGATTTAGAATTAATAAACTCTGATACAGAAGTCTGTTTGAGGTAATATTCTGTATAGTCAGTTTCTATACTTAGGTGGAGAATTTATGTAGTATCTTCACACACATACACACTGATTCATAAGTCTGCATGAAATGTAATGTTCATTCCAGTTAACTTCGAGGTATAAATAAATAAACCTTTCATGGTATCTTGGAACAATTGGAAACATGATTGTGAAGCTGAATTGATTCTCGATATGCTACAGTTAGGATACAGGGAACAAAAGAAATGTTACAGTCACAGTTAGATAGTTCTCTCAGCCAGATTTGGAAATAGAATATCAAGCAAGATTATTGCAAGAAAAAAAATCCTAACACACTACCATCTACTCATTGTATTAATATTCACAATTGAATGTATTCCTAGTATCCTTTTATTCTGTTCAAAGAACAGTTTATGACAATTTTGGAATGCTCTCTAGAGGTCATTCTTAATTTTCTTTTAGCACAAAATGAAGACTTGGTTATTAACTCAAATGTTTATGTCTTAATAAGAGTAGTCTTGTCTATGCTTCATTCATATTCATTTGATTTTCAGTGTGATTTTGACTATATCCCATCATAAACTTTGTATTGCCAGATGACACTGCCTTTGACCAAGTCCCCATCCTTATGCTTTTTAAAGATTTGTATGCTTTATATTGCTGTGTTGTTTTGGCTCTGTGGTATTGCTCTGGCTCCCTTTTGAGCAATTTGAATAGCTAAAACCCAAAAGTAAACAAACCAAAATATATCAGTAACTAACTGTTAATCCCAATTATTGTTAGCATCTTATCTTTCAGACTGCAAAATAAATGCAGATGTGAGGGGTAAACAGTCCTCTCCATTTCTGTTAGTAATAAGCCAAACCAAAGTTAAAAGGACACATTATATTCAGACATTCCTTATGGGAATTCTTTTTGTAGCTAAAAAGAAATTAAAGTTCCTGCGGCTAGTTCAGAAAGTCCCAAGCTTTGGTAAATGCAGTTGTTGGATTATTTGATCTCTGATTGTCTAGATGTTGTTCACCTCTAATCCTAATAAACCATGATCAATGGTCACATTGATTAGGCTTAATGGGAGTGGTATCCTAGAAAGTCTGCTGTACTTGCTTTCTAAGAGACATAATATTCTTTGGATTGCTGAGCAGTTATCTTTATAAAAATAATATATAAAGAGTCCTGCCAGCCTATCATTTATCATTATTTAGCTTGAGAAAAAGAAACATGAGAGGAATAGAAAGTTATTATTCCTTTTTCCTACATCATTTTCTTTTCCTTCCATTATGACTTGGTTGCCCTATTAAATAATAATAGACTATGGACAAATCAAAAATTAAGAAACATAATTCTTTATGCAAATAGAGAGGCCAAACTTTCCTCAGTCACTTTTTTATGAAGCCTTGTACCAAATTTAGAAGACAGCAATTGTGTGTGGTGGTGGTGGTAGTGGTGGTGTGTGTGTGTGTGTGAATGAGAGATAGATAGAGAGAGAGAGAGAGAGAGAGAGAGAGAGAGAGAGAGAGAGAGAGAGAGAGAGAAAGAGTGAAGAAAAAACACCTTGTTCATATCATATTAAAATTTAAAACCCTAATATTACCATTGATAGTGATATAAGAAAGAATTGTATAAGAAAGAATTAACTAGCAAGTAGTATACTCAATAATACTTAACATATTGGCTATTTGAAAAAACCCTTACTTTTCATATAGCTTTGTTATGAGCCATTATGGATTTAATTGAAATAAGTTTGTCGATGTATTTTAAGATATTGCATCAGTTAGATTTTGAATAGCAGTTTCAAAAAATCTCATCTACATGAATTTTATCAAAATGCAGTTACCAGGTTTAGTCTTGTTTTTTTCTTGTTTGTCTGATGGTTTTGGTTTTGAAGGAAGAAGTCGTGTTTCTTTTGGATCTGGAAAAAAGGAATGAAATATTCATTAGGAATCATGTCTTGTATTTTATTCAAATAAGAGTACATGCTTTAAAATTATTAGATTAAAAACAGTGATGACTCCACATGTTTCTTGTAGCTGACTTGAAACAGGACAATGATATATATTATAATCAGTATTAAGGAAAAATAGTCAAGCTTTGAGAAATAATAATATCTTGAATAGGAAAGATAGAAAAAAGACATTATTTACCAACGTTAGATTCTGACAGGGAGTAACAAAACAAAACATCTGTGGAAAAGCCTATACAATATAAATCAATGTATTGGAATAAAAATGATGTCAATTTTGATACTATGTTCATGTTTTGGCGGTATTTGTTCACCCAAGAGCTTCTCTACTAGTGGGAATTCACAGAGGTCCTTCTGACCTAGCATACTTGGTGTGAGTATAATCCACATGAAGTGAGCAATGAAAAGAGCAATGAAGACTCAAGTGATAAAGGAATTTAGAAGCTGTAAGCTAGCACCTTAACTTGACCCAGGAGCCTATCTGTAACAGCTCCTGTACCCAACATAAATCAACAAGAACAGTTGCATTCTTTGCCTGCTGTAGCTTCTGAGACATTTTCAAGCTAAGGATAACAGTGTAACTGGGATAAGGTAAGGGTATAATCATTATTTTTGGTCATTCTGATCCAAGTAAGATCAAACCTGGTGATCTGTAGTTAAGAATATCATAGGAAGCCAAGAAATCCAAAAAGTCTAGGACAGTGGTTCTCAACCTTTCTAATGCCGCGACCCCATAATACAGTTTCCCATGTTGTGGTGACCCCAACCACTTATACATCACCGGCTGCCAGGAGCATGGCCAAAGAAAAGGGGGAAAAATGGCGGACAGCCTTGTTTGGCGACCCCCGTGAAATGGTCGTTCGACCCCAAATGGGGTCCCGACCCACAGGTTGAGAACCACTGGTCTAGGAGATCATTCAGACCCCACTGCAAATCATTCACAAAAGAGACCATTGATTGTTATGTTAGTTATTCTGAACATGAAATGGGATTGGTAAAAGATGGTATAGAAGTATTGAAAACTACTGCAAGTTTGAGCCTGTGATTATGTTTTTAACTACAAAGATATAAATATCATTATTCCTAATAAATTTGGATGTAATAGCTGTGTGTACTTTTCAAACATGGTCAAAATACTTGTGTGTATGTGAATCTGTACATACACAAATCTTCAAGGCAACTAGTGATATATCTTGTGCCAAAGAAAAGTTCTACAAATTTAATGTGATATGAAACAAAGTAAGAGCAGAAATCTTTCATCTAGCACTATTGTTGGTAGCAATTTCAGTGAGTTTAAGTTTTTGTGGTGGATTTCTGCTCTTCTTTCAAAAAAAGTAAAGAAAAAAGTTCATGACTATATAAGCAAATTTTCTGACAAGTTTTTTCTCCTTGGGTTGAGATATTTGTGTTAAATCTGGCAATAAGATAATTTTTCGCAGAAGACAAGATTTGGAAAAAAAAAATCTCTTCTAACTAGGCTCTTGGGTGCAAGCAGGGGGAATTTTGGTTACCTTGCTCTAAAAATACAAAAACTAAAAATATGGATGATAATATGAACATATACAAATGCAACTCAGTTACCAGATTTAGTCTGTAGCATTGTTGGCATGATAATTTGATTTGCTAAGAATTAACTATTCCATGGGGGAAAATGAAATAAGAATCAAAACCTGGATTATACTGTACAGGAATACATCTGTTTATCAGCTTGCAAAAGCTGGTATGAAAGTCATGTGGACAGAAGGTTGAAAAGGAAAGGTAATGTTTTTATTGCCTTAATATTTTATCATCATCATTATCGTTATCATCATCATCTTTGCCTTTAAAGGTTTCTGAATGACAAGTATTACTCGGCTTAATATTTTCATTATGGGAGAATAAAATGCACAGAACATGTTTGCAATGTAATAGTTATGCTTCTGTAATACAATATTATTTGCATTTTAAAGACCATCTGCTCTCAATTAACTTCTGAGGTCTTTTTGCACAAATTGGTCAAGCAATGAGTGGAACCAGGACTTCTTCTTAAAGCCTCCCAATTTCCTTAAAAATACTCTGCAAACAGAGAACTTTGATACTATTTTAATTTCTACTAATTTTAAAAAATAGAAGTAGTTTTGCTACTGTTATTATTGTTTCTTTTTGAGAAAAATAACAAACTGCTTTTTAAAACTACTATAAGGGAGAAATGTTACACTACAACAGGAGTGTCAAATTGGCAGCCCATGGGCTGGATGCATCATGTGCAGCCACATCCACTCCAGCTTGGCAAAGGCAAAAAATGTTGTGATACATCACAATACATCACTGATGTGATAGAGTTTGACACCCATGAACTAGAATGACATGTTCATATAATATATTGTAAATCAAATATACTGTTTCAACATGTCTATGGAGATTCTCAGTCATCCAGGTTATAGTTATCCCAAAGATGCTTTTTCACGAGGCAACTGGACTTCCTTCTTTTTCTTTGAAGACGTTTAGTTCTCATCCAAGAAACTTCTTCAGCTCTGATTGGATGGTGGGGGAAAATGGAAAGTTTTATACTCCTTGCAGACAGCTGGTCATTTGCATTCGTCGTTAGTGCTACCTGGAGGCTTATTTGTGTCTTCAGGGTCATCTGAATAGTGCAATTAGTGCAAATATGTGTGGAGCCTTCTTGTAACTGTTGAAAGGACTGTGTTGTAGATTGGAGATAGATGATGTCGTATCCCTCCCCCTCTGTTGAGAGAGGGCTGTTCAGTTTTCACATAGATGGCCTCTTTGACTCCTCTTTCAAACCAGCGGTCCTCTCTATCCAAAATGTGGACTTTGTTGTCTTTGAAAGAGTGGCCTTTGTCTTTTAAATGCAGATGGACTGATGAATCCTGTCCCGATGGGTTTGCTGTCCAATGTTGTGCCTTATGTTTATGAAGTTGTTGTTTTGTTTCCTCAATGTACAGATCTGCACATAGCTCACTGCATTGTACTGCATATACCACAGCATTGTACTGCATATACCACATTGGTCAGTTTGTGTTTGGATGTTTTATGTGGACAAGCTTCTGCCTTAGTGTATTCTTGGGTTTGATATGTGTACATATGTTGTGTTGGCTGAAGATCCTCCTGAGCTTTTTCAATATTCCTACAACATATGGAATGACTACATTGCTTCATTTATTTAGGTCTTTTTTGAAATTTGAGAAGGCCCACTTGGAGTAGCCACAAGTTCTGAAAGGAAGCCCTTTAACTACATAACAGATTCTGAAAACATTAACCTTTCTTTGGATTTATGGGCACTAATTAGTAAGTTAATGGTAATTATCATGGATGGAGTAACAGTAGATATAACATCAATGGCAAAGAAAAACACTTTGCATATGCTAAAAGGAATCTTATTTATTATTTTTAAAGTTTCCATAGTAATTTGTCAGACTAAATAATTAGGCTGAGCTGAGCAAATTATAAAATTTAATGTTTCATTATGTAGGGATTATTTTAAAGAATGAACATACATAAATACAAATTGAAAATGTATATAAAAACATCCTAACGTATATATAGAGAGTGTCAAAAGATCCTGCAAATGAGTCCTGGGACAAACTATACACAGTGTATGAGACTATTTTAGGTAAATAATCTCTAAAATGGAAAAAGTGGTTGCAATCTAAAATTATTATATCTAACATTCTGTCCTGTCTGGATTAGCTATATACCCTGATATGTGTAATATGTGTGAAGTTTAATGGTGCAGTTTTAGTGAAAGAGACAGTGTGATGTAAAATAACAATTACATATCTACCTGGTTTTGATTGCTGTGTTTTTTGACCAGGAGGACTTTTAGGTTTGGATGGATCATGATGTTTGACATTTAGACCTGAAAAGAACCAACAAACTCGATATGAAATGATGTCATTGTGTGAGAATTATTTATTATAGTGATTCAAGAAATAGCTATTACAAAAATTAGTAAATAGAATTCACAAAAGAATTCACAAGAGAAACAAGGAAAACTAGAAGGAAATGGATAAGCGTTTTGCTGCTTTACTTATTGTTTTAAATTTATTTTCTGGATTAACAATTTCTAGTCTAGATTGCAGATCTGACACCAGACTATTTTATTTTTCTTGGAAGAAGGATGATGTCACTTGAATTCATTTTGGATCAGAATTCATTCCTATACTATTTTTTCAGTTGTGTGCAAATTCTGAGAGGATTCTTTCTAATTAAATGTGGTGGATACCAGCTAGAGTATTCCATATTAAGAGCAGAGAAAACAATATTTTTTTTCATCTAATTTGCAGGAGCTTGTCATAGAAACTCTCTTTGCAATGTATCTTTGGGTATGGCAGAGACCATGTCTGCCTATGACATAATGGCAGCAATTTTCAATTCATGCTTTCAATAGATACATTTCCAGAACTTCAGTTTCCTCAGGAAAATGGAAAATAAGAACAGTTACAATTATTTATTCCTAGCGAGATTCTATTTTGCTGCTTAATCTAATAAAAACGCTGGCATTTGCAACTCATCTAGGTCCTGTGCCTTGATCCTAAGATATCTAAGATATATTTTTTCTTTTATTTGCAGATAATTCTTTTTAGGGAATATGATTCTGTGATGATTGTTTCATTAGTTGAAAACAAATAGATAAAGCTTGAAAAAGTTTTTTTTAAATAACTAAATAATCTGAACATTTCAACTTTGTTTGAAAAATTCTTACTGGTCAGTTCAAATTATATTAGAAATCTTTTTATATTAATTTAAAGGGGAAAATGGATATTCCCATTCAAATAGAAAACATACAATAGCTAAATTGGTACTGATTTAAATATATAGAATAAAAGGTTAACATTACATCTGTTGTGCAATGTTCTCATATTAAAGGTATTCTGAGCATAACCCAAGTTCTAAAAATGCTTAAATCAGAAGAAATTCTTTAGGTTAATAGCAAAGACAACCTCTTGGCTATTTTATAAAACTGGAAATGTCTTTTACATTAGAAGTTATTAAAAAAAAACCTTGTTTAATAGCTAAAAATGTGGTTAGAAAGGAAAAATGTTATTCTGGTTGCTAAGAATGAATTCATTCTTTTCTTTTTTATTCTGCTGGCATGTCTCTTCTATATTTTAACAGATAAGAAAAGGAATACAGAGTTGCTGCTAATTCTGAGTAAGAAACTATTTTTATAGAAAAGTAAACTAATTTTGATTTTACAATGTGTTGAAATGCATCTCTCTCTCTCTTCTCTTTCTATCTCGCTCTCATTCTCACACCAATACGAACATAGACACAAAACTATTACAGGTTTTTTTCAATTTTTAATTTTAGTTATACACAAATATGTGCTTTTTTCCACATTATTTTATGTGATTATGTAAGATGGAACTCTATTAAATATATCTGAATACAAGATTCCTGAAAGTCGAAATAATGAACTACTCACTGGATTTGGTTGGGGTTATATCAGGACTGGAAGAAGTTTTTGGTCTGGTTGGAACTTGATGTGTTTCCTTAGGAGCTGTAAGAAATTATACTGAGGGGTTGTTGTTGTTTTTACTTTAATATTCCAAACTACAGAGAATTCAGACAAACAGTTCTACAATAAAATTTTATTGTATGTGTGTGTGTGTGTGTGTGTGTGTGTGTGTATATATATATATATATCTTTAAGTGCTATAAACATGAGTATTGTTATAAACATCCTGATTGAAAAAAGGTGAAATTCCAAAAACTAAAATACAATATTAATTCTCTGAACTAGATGCAATGGGATTTGAGGTCTAGACAAGAGAAACCATCTTCCAGGCTCCTTTCCATTATTTAAATAAAAACAGTAGCATGGCCAAGTAAAACAATGTGTTAATACAGCTTTGTGAGCTCTTACTCAAGGGAACCATTTCATCAAGTGACAAGTAAGATAAATAAAAACATTTGAGGTCAAATGAGGTCTACGAATGTCTGATTGCTTTTCAGATCTTACATGGTCTTCTGACTGAAAGATATACATGTAGATATGGTAGTAAATACAGATATAGTTTTGAGAGAAAACTATACCTATATTTAAAAATAATTCTCCCGAGGAGTGTCCTTCACTCCCAGTCAGTAAAAGTCAGTTTGAATCATAGATAGCCTGCTTTATTCTAGTTGTGTATTCCTGATTCTGTCACTAATGTGTGTTACAGTTTTTTATTCTGTCAACAAGAGGTTTCACATGGCTGTACATTCTAATCATTTATTACCTGAGGACACTTTTCTACCTACATCTGTGTAATTTCGACTACTTCATGGGCAACTTCCAAATGCTGACAGTCACAACCACTTGTTGCTGGCACTGCCATCTTACTGCAGCACTGGTCAAGAGCTCACTTCTAATCCTTCACCCCAACTTGTTTCATCACATTTTGACTGAGCTGTTTCTAAATAGAAATATAATACTTCTTTCAGCTGAATGTCAGGCCTGAGTTCTGAAACAGCCTGAGACACAAGTATCATTCAGAACTGAAACCTGTTAGTTAGACAACTTGACAGGGACTTAAGACAGTCACCTACACATAACCATATTTATTCTTACTTATTCACTGTATATTAAGAAGAGATATTAGTTGTTGGTTTTCTCACTGCAGGTAGAAAAATGAGAGTGGAATCAGGGATTCCATAAAAACTTCCATAACTTTTCTTGCATTGAAACAAGTATCATTTGCCAGTCTTGTAAGGCACAATTTTATGCCAGCAGACATTCCCGCAAGCTCATGAACTTGAGATTGCACTTAAACAATTGTCTTATTCCACTAGTGATAAGTATTCTATAGCTACACAATTTAATAATATGAAAAAGGCATTAATAATGAAGAACTTTAAATGAAAAGCTAATAGGATGATAAATGTGATAACATCTCACTAGACATAGAATTCTCATTATTTGAAAATTTTAATGAATGAAAATCTATAATTAAGTATATTACCTGTTGATGATTTTGCTTGTTCAGTTTTAAAAATAACCTCTTCTACATCTGCACCAATATCAATAAATAAAATAAAAAATATTTAGTATTATATTGTAAATAATTTGCAACCTAACATGAAAAATATATTTTGGTTTCATTCAGCTATAGCATTTAATGAATATGCATATTTTATTTGATCAAGTTTCAGTAATAAGCTGGAACTGGAGCATAAGTACGTCTTCTGAGTATATGAAAAATAAACATTGATTAGGCAGTTATTTTACTAATATACAGAGCATTGCACTCAGAGGCAAATAAATAATTTAGCTCTGTCTGTAACTTTTTAAACCAAATATTTATTTTCCCAGAATTGTGCTGAGAATAACCAGGCAATGCCAGAAAAACATGCAATTGCTTTAAGGGTGAACAGGGATACTCCACTCCATTCTTTTGCTTTTTTGAATATCAATCAATGTGCTGTAATATATACTGGATTGCTTCTGATGCTCTTACTATGTATTTGCATATGTACAATGATTCCTTATTGTTATGAGCATAAAATGATAGAAATGCATTTGTCCGTTTAGAAAGATTTCATGAATGATGGGGAATATACAGATTGACTTTATTAGTTAGAATATAATTCTGATTCCATTTTGTTTAACATATACTCATCCCAGAGTTAATTCCATTTACCTGAAACATTCTCAGACTGTAATATAGATGCTTGCCTTTTTTTCTACCTACAATTGTAACTTTTTGAAGCTGCACTATGTGTATATCTAGCTTAATAACTATGGGGTGCAAACACTCATTAAACAAATTAGCATTTCCATCTATCAAAAATTATTGAGAAAGTATTTTCATCACCTGATTCTTGCAGTGAGCAATCATTAACATCCTTTAGTATCTGATTTTTTTCCCTATATTATTTTCAGTGTAAAAATAAAACTACTGTACATTTCTTTAAGGGCATAGAATATTTTTCTTGCTGTTTTCAGTTAATGCTAATGAAAACATAATATGATGCAATGGCAATATATTATAACATACAATACTATTAGGAGAACATATGATGCTGATTATACAGTATAGCTTGGATGTCTTAGATTTCTTATGTATTGAATCATACTCTCAGGAAAAGAATTCCAAGCTATGGCCAAAAAAATAAAACACCAACACGATCAGTGTATTGACACAAGATAAATAGGGATTTACTATGCTAAGGCTGGAGCACTTCAGTGCTGGTCTGAGGTTTACATCCCTGGGCTGTATACACCCTTGGCCTGTATACTGACTGGCATATTTACCATGTGTGAACAAAGTGTATCTCATAGCATTTAAAAGACAAATAAAATTCTTATATAAAATAGTTTAAATCTATGTGCAGATTAAAGGATTCAATGGCTGACTGTTAATGATGACACTATTCAAACACAAAAGATCTTCCCATGTCTTTTAAGTTGCATTTGTAGTAACTGACAGGGAAGAGGTGGTGGGCTTTCTGTGGAAAGAAAACAACCAAAATCAGAAACCACCAGGACCTACTGTTCCTTCTAGAAAAGCTAACACTGCATCTTGTTCCCTGAAATACCATGTCTCCTTTTATGAATCCAAGCTGGCTACATTGATTATCAGAAGAGGCCCTTTTGAGAATCATTTCACTTTCAATAATTCACCTAGTTGGCTCTTTGGAAAGGGTGATAATATGCACACCTCAAGTTATAACGTGCATTTCCAGGAAGCACACTTGGCTTCCAATCTCCCAGGACTTAGAGAAGTCATGAAAAACCAATTTTCCCACTAAATGTTTCTTAGTTGAACTGATTTAGATTTGAATAAAATTGATATAAAATTAACTGTTTTTTATTTTTATGTTTTAAAATGTGTATTTTTATTCATGGTAAACACTGAATGTTGTATAAAAGATGGGGCTTACATTTTAATAAATAAATAGATTTTAATGCATAGAAAAGCTGGGGGGGAAATAAAATAGGCAATGTTTTATTTGGAAGTAATTATTGTGCCTGGGCAAAGATACTAAAATGAGGTTTTCTTACTAGAAATTCATTTGGCATAATTAGAATTAGAAATATTATTGTTATTCATATGAATCTAAATAACTACAAGCAAGAATATTTTTACAAAATAGGACTTTCCTAACTTCCATATTTCCAAAGAAGCTTTTACAAGTTTCTAAGAAGTCACTTATAAAGTCTGAGAATACCCTATTTGATATTCAATACATTGATAGACTTACAGTTTCAGTGATAGATTTGTGGCTCAGATTGTAAATAAAAATGCCTCCATTTCATGCTAGAACACTGTTGGTTACCAGCCATTAGAGAAGAATTCTTTGCATAATTAAATACATATATAACTCTTATCTATTTGGTGGATAGGAATGGTCTAATCCTAAAGTTCTTTTTTGTGGGGGCATCATAGCTCTATGCTATCCCTGCTTCTTTTTAACATCTACATGAAATCAAGGGGGGATGGTAAAGCATCATCAGTATTCTGATGACTCACTCAACTGTATAAATCTGTCCCCACTCAAATAAGTGAAAGTTGTTGAGATTATGTCACAGTGTCTGAAGACTATGGGTATCTGAAGGGAAAAAATAAGTTTAGTTCAGTCCTACCCGGTCTGAGTAGCTGTTGCTTTTGGATCCATGAGAAGAGTATGGGCCAGATTTCCTATTATTGATTATTACTGATTGTTGTTTTTTTTCTTGGATTACTTTCTCTTATAGGCCTTTCAGAAACAAATTTAATAAAAAAACCTCATTGCTAAAAGGACAAAACTAATAAAATTTTATTCCCAAATTATGTAGTTTTTTTTAATGCAGACATTGACACATGTAGAGAATTTAAATAACAATATAGAATTTTACCAGATTTTGGTAGTAGCAATGGGTTGATTGTTGTTTTAGTGATGGAAATATGATGCTTGGTCTTTGTATCTGCAAAAGAAAAAAATATCTTCAAAATTATTAAGATGTAAATAAGGTCAGATCGGGCATTTTAAAATTGAAGGTGAAGATGAAGGTGAAGATGAAGAAACATGCTGTGGATATGAAGTGTACAAAATCAGCCACACAAAAGGGTTGAGAAAGAGTAGGCTCAATACAATCAAATTAGTGATTGATGAACATTTCAGGAGCCAGCTTAAAAAAGAAATGGAAATTACAAACATGTGGGAGTTCACTGCGTATAATATGGCCACTTCCAGCTATATTCACATGACTGAATCACTGTGCAAGAAAAGAAAGAAAAAGCAGTACTGTGGAAAAAATAAATAGAATGGTTAAAAGTCTTCCGTGCTAAGTGACTAGCAAACCTAGAGAAAGGATGGGATTTAATGGAAAAAAAAGATGATGTTAGATGATCTTACAGAAAAGAAAATGTAATGGATTTCTGAACAAGAAAGTAAAATAAGAAAATCAATCAGTGTGCCAGGAAAATACTATTACCTACTATTGGAAGTTCATTGCTAAACGTAATAGGTTCCAAAACTGTACCAGGGAAAAAAGGGAACTATTAGAATATGGAAAACCTTTAAGAATGGCTGTAACTACAGAACTAATTTACAAACAGAAAAAAATATTGTAGATTTAAAGACAGAAATTTATACATAATCCTAGAAACTAAAATTAGAAACTGATAAAAATGAATGCATCTGAGCAAACATCTTCCAAAGTTATGTTCAATCCAGAAAATCTCTATGTCTAAGGAGCTGCCAGGAATGCATAACCTACCTATCTTCTAAGAGTCACACTGAAAACAATTTTATTGAATGTATAAACAATATGTAATTATCAGGATTAGTAAATGGAAGTTATGGCATGCTCAAGAGTTTACAAAGATAATTATAAGCCCCAGTTGAAAATAGAAAAAAATAACAAACCCAAAATAAATTCAGTAAGTCGAAATTGGACATGGTTATATCTGTGTACCCCAAGATGCCTCAGAGGTGGTTCATAATTTTAAATATTTTACAAATGTGAATCAGAAGTGTTGTATCATAAAATGCATGACCTGAAGATGAAGAAATATATTATCTCAGATGTTTTTATTTTTCTACATGGACTATCATAGGAAGATCTAGTGTATAGGCTAGATGTCTTCAGATTATGAAGTTTACCTTTATTCCCATTCTATAAAGGGAACATTCAGGGGGTTGTAGAACATTCAGTATTGGATCACAATATTTAGAATTTATATATTTTATAATTTCAAGGAAGTACTGACTTTATACTACTATTGGATAAGATTATGCGAGATAGGTTCAAGAACTTCTTGTAGTAATACGGAAAGAAGTAAATAAAATAAGTCACTCTACCATGTTTCCTGTCTCGTACTTCTGAAAGGATAGAGTCAGGTTCTTTAAATTTTGATGGAGCAGGGATTGATTCATAGGAAGCTGAAAGGAAGTCAATCTAGATTTAAACTACATTCTGACAGGGAGGTACAACTTTCAAAATAACATGTATTATTAATCATATCATATGAAAGGATTTTGAACTGAAAAAGAAAGATTCTCAAAGGGTAATGGGGATTAAATCTTGGGAAAATAAAGATCTAAGTAACATGAACAAAAGTGAATGGTCTGCTAATACTATGCATCGGTGTAGCGAAGCTCTTTATATGATCCAAAGGGATGTTTTAAAAAGTTATGTTCAATTGTATTATGAGGCAATAACAAACTGTATTTGATTTTACCTAACATATGAGAAAATATAATTACCAGGTTTGGTAATTGGGAGTTCTGTTCTGGTCAAGATTTTAGGAAGATAATTATCATCCTCAGTTGAAACTGGAAAAAAGAAACAATCCCAAAATAAGTTCACATTGTCCAGGTTGAAGGACATGGCTACACCTATATATATGTCTAAGAAGTCGTTCATATTAAAATGGAATTGTTAGGCATGATCGTACTATGAAGAAATATATTGTCTTAGATGGGTTTTAATCCTTATAAAAGATAATCAAAGGAAATTTTGGTTTCTAGGATGTGTTTTCTTCTGTTTGGAAAGTGCACTTCCATTTTACTCAATGTTATGGAACACTCATGGTTGAATAATATATGTAGAATGTATGCATGTAATGATTTCCAGAATGTCTGGATTTCATAAACCCATTGGATAAAGTTACACTAGATAAATGCAAGATCTTGTAAAGGATCAGAACATAGAACGTAAAAAAAAATCTACTATATATCATGTCTGGTATTTCAGCAATGATGTAGCCAGGAACTTTAAATTTTGGTGGAACAGGGCATAACAAACTGAAAGGAAGTTCAGTACAGAATTAGTCTGCATTCTGACAGGGAGATACAGGGTTCAAAAAACAATGTGATATTAATCTTGATGAAAGAATTTTGAACTGAGGAAGAAAGAATTATCAAAAGGTAATGAGTAATTTCAGGAAAATGAAAATCAAAGGTAGCATGAGAAGAAATATATGGTCGTCTAATACTAAGCATCTGTGTAATGACGTTCCACTTATGATCTGCGAGCATGTCTTTCAAAGTTCTGTTTGGTACAAAACCTGTTTCTAAGCAGCTGCCAGGAGTGAATTTGCTACCAACAATCACTACGCATATAATTTTATCAAACATATGAGAATACATAATTACCAGGTTTGGTAATTGGACGTTTTGTTGTGGACAAGACTTTAGGAAGATAATTATAATCTTCAGTTGAAACTGAAAAAAAAGCAAATAACCCCAAAATAAATTCACAGCGTTCATATTGAAAAATATGTTTACACCTATGTACCCCACGTTGCCTACAAGTTCTTCTATCTTGAAATAGAAATGTTGTATATGGTCCTACAGTTAACTAATATATTGTCGTAGATTAATTTTTATCATCAGTGGAAGACCATCAATTTTGGTGTGCCTGGTCTGATATTTTCAGTTTTGAATGTGTACTTCTATTCCTTTTACACAGTTTTCTACAGTATTTATGATTGAATAAATATATTTAGAACTTAGGCATTTTATAACTTCAAGGAAGTATGGATTTTATGTTCATTTCAGGAAGGAATACACTAGATAAATTCCAGAGGTAGAAAGAAGCATGTACAAAAAAAAGTTACTCTACCATGTTTCCTGTCCGGTACTTCTGGCATCATGTACTCAGGTTCTTTAAACTTTGGCAGAACCGGGCTTGGTTTATAAGAAGCTGAAAGGAAGTCCAGTCTAGAATTAAACTACATTCTGATAGGAGGGTACAGGATTAAAAATACCACGCGACACCAGTCATATCTTAAGAAAGGATTTTGAACTGAAGAAGAAAGAATTCTGAAACTGTAAATCTCAATAAAATGAATACCAAAAGTAGTATGAGAAAAAACAGATTGCCTGCTAATATTATGTATCTGTGTAGTGAAGCTCTACCTATGATACATCAGAATATCTTTTAAAGTTCTGTTCAATCCAGAAACTATTTTCTTAAGGAGCCACCTAGAGTGCAATAATCATACTGCATACATTTTTATGAAACATATGAATACACATGATTACCAGGTTTGGTAATTAGCAGTTCTGGTGTGGTCAAGATTTTAGGAAGACAATTATCATCCACAGTTGAAACTGGGAAAAAAGCAAAGAACCCAAAATAATTTCAAAAGGTTCATATTGAAGGACACGGTTTCATATATATATATATATATATATATATATATATATATATATATATATATATATATATATATATATCTGTGTGTGTGTGTGTGTGTGTGTATGTATGTATGTATGTGTGTATATATATATATGTATGTATGTATGTATGTATGTATGTATGTATATTGCAATTTGCCTAAGAGCTCTTCCATCTGAAAATGCAATTTTGAGGCATGATCCTGAAAATTGCATTTTGAAGAAATATAGAGTCTTAGAAGTATTTTAATTTTCCAGAGTTGAGCTTCAATGACAACTTTGAGTGGATGATCCATTTTCTTCTGGTTGGAAAGTGCACTTCAGTTCCACTAAGTATGGTAGAGAATTCATGACTGAATGATGTACTTAGAACTGCATATAGTAATTTCCAAAATGTCTGTATTTCGTAAACCCATTGGATAAAAGTACACTAGATAGATGCAAAAATGTATCTTGTAAATGAAAATAAAGTAGTACATAAAAAAATCACTCTACCATATTTTGTATCTGGTACTTCTGGTGTGATGTAGCTGGGTTCTTTAAATGTTGATGGAACAGGGCTTGGTTTATAAGAAACTGAAAGGAAGTTCAGTATAGAGTTAGTCTGAAATCTGAGAGGAAGATACAGGGTTCTCAATACTGTGTAATATTAGTCATTTCTGATGAAAGAATTTCGAACTGAGGAAGAAAGAATTCTCAAAGGAATATGGGTAATTTCAGGAAAATGAATATCAAAAGAAGCATGACAAAAACATATGGTTATCTAATACTATGCATTTGTGTTATGAAGCTCTAGATATGATCTGCGGACATGTCTTTCAAATTCAAATTCTGTTCAATGCAGAAACTCTGCATTTCTAAACAGCCACCGAGAGTGCATTATATATTAACAATCACTCCACATATAATTTTATCACACATAATTACCAGGTTTGGTAATTGGATGTTCTGTTGTGGTCAAGATTTTAGGAAGATAATTATCATCTTCAGTTGAAACTGGAAAAAAGCAAACAACCCCAAAATAAGCTCACAATGTCTATATTGAAGGACATGGTTACACCTATACATGTCAAACTACCTAACACCTCTTTCATGTTAAAATGGAATTGTTGGGCATGACTGGACTATGAAGTGTATTGTCTTAGATGGTTTCAATTCTCTGTACAGGATGGGCAAAGGAAATTTTGGTTTGTAGGGTGTGCTGTATTCTTGTTGGAAAGTGCAATACCATTCTACTCAGTGGGGTAGAAAATTCATGATTGAATAATATACTTATAACGTATTCAGGTAATGAGTTCCAGAGTGAATGGATTTCATAAATCCATTTCATAAAATTATACGATATAGATTCATAATTTATCTAGTTAAGGATTAGGAAATAGTACATTAAAAAAATCACTCTACCATGTTTCCTGTCTGGTACTTCAGGAAGGATATAGTCAGGTTCCTTAACTTTGGAAGGAATGGAAGTTGGTTCATAAGAAACTGAAAGGAAGTCAGATCTAGAATTAATCTACATTTTGACAGGGCAGTACATGAATTCAAAATACTGTATAATACTAATTGTAACTTATGAAAGGATTTTGAACTGAAGAAGAAAGTGTAATGGGAGTCCAACCTTGGGAAAATAAAGATCTAAAACAGCATGAAAAATAGAATCTCTGTAGCGAAAGACTGCATATAATCTGCTGGGATGTCTTTGAAAGTTCTGTCCAATCCAGAAATCCTTCTGTCTAGGTAGCCTTGGGGAATGTATTATTAGTTAGTAAACAAGCTAAACATTTTACCCAAGAAATGAGAACTGAGCTCGTAGGAAACTGAAAGGAAGACCATTTTAGAATTAATCTACTTTATGATAGGGAGAAGAAAGAATTCCCAAGGACAAAATCATAATAAAATGAACCCAAAAAGTAGCATCAGAAAAAATGTAGTCAGCTAATATTATGAATCTATGCATGAAGTTCTACAAATGATCCTTTCGAATTCTGTTCAGTGCAGAAACTCCTTGTTTCTAAATAGTTGCCTTGAGTACATTATCTATCAATAATCACTCCACATATAATTTTATCAAACATATGAGAATGTATAATTACCAGGTTTGGTAATAGGATGTTTTGTTGTAGTCAAGACTTTAGGGAGATAATTATCATCTTCAGTTGAAACTGGAAAAAAGGAAACGACTGCAAAATAAATTCACAATGGCCATATTGAAGGACATGGTTATACCTATGTACCCCAAGTTGCCTATAAGTCCTTGAAATAGAGTAGTCGTACATAGTCCTATAATTAACCAATACTGTATATTGTTGTAGATGAATTTTAATTTTTTAATGTAGCACCATCAAAGAAAATTTTGGTATGCCTGGTCTGATTTCAATAAATATTTCTATTCCTTTTTATACATGCATAATTTTATATAGTTTTCTACAGCATTAATGATGGAATGAATATATTTAGAAGTTAAGGAATTTTATGATTTCAAGGAAGTCTGGATTTTGTCTTCATTTCAGAAAGGAACAGAGTAGAATAATACTAGATGGTGGAAAGAAGCATGTAAAAAAAGTCACTCTACCATGTTTCCTGACTGGTATTTCTGGCATGATGGACTCGGTTTCTTTAAACTTTGGCAGAACCGGGCTTGGTTTATAAGAAGCTGAAAGGAAGTCCAGTCTAGAATTAAACTACATTCTGATAGGAGGGTACAGGATTAAAAATACCATGCGACACTAGTCATATCTTAAGAAAGGATTTTGAATTGAAGATGAAAGAATTTTCAAACAGTAAATCTCAACAAAATGAACACTAAAAGTACCATGACAAAAAACAGATTACCTGCTAATAATGTGCATCAGTGTAGTGAAGCTCTACTTATGATACATCAGAATGACATTCAAAGTCATTCAATCCAGAAACTATTTTCCTAAGGAGCCACCAAGGGTGCATTATCTACCAATAAGCATACTGTATATATTTTTATCAAACATATGAGAACACATGATTACCAGATTCGGTAATTAGCAGTTCTGGCGTGGTGAAGACTTTAGGAAGATAATTATCATCCTCGGTTGAAACTAGAAAAAAAGAAAACGACCGCAAAATAAGTTCACACTGTCCATATTGAAGGACATGGTTACACCTATGTACCCCAAGTTGCCTATAAGTCCTTGAAGTAGAGTAGTCGTACATCGTCCCACAATTAACTAATATATTGTTGCAGATGAATTTTAATCCTTTAATGTAACACCATAAAAGAAAAATTTGGTATGCCTGGTCTGATCTGAATAAATACTTCTACTGCTTTTTATACATGAATAATTTTATATAGTTTTCTACAGCATTAATGATGGAATGAATATATTTCAAACCTATGAATTTTATAATTTCAAGGAAGTCTGGATTTTATGTTTATTTCAGAAAAGAACAGAGTAGAATAATACTAGATAGTAGAAAGAAGCATGTTTTTTAAAAAAGTCACTCTACCATGTTTCCTGTCTGGTACTTCTGGCATGATGGACTCGGGTTCTTTAAATTTTGGCAGAACAGGTCTTGGTTTATAAGAAGCTGAAAGGAAGTCCAGTCTAAAATTAATCTACATTTGACAGGGTGATATAGGATTCAAGACACAGTATGACAGTAAACTTATGAAAAGATTTGCAACTGAAGAAGAAATAGTTCTCAAAGCCTAAGGGGACTTAAACCTTTGGAAAATATAGATCTAAAGTAGCATGAAAAAAATGAGGATGTTCCATGAATACTATGCATGTCTAAAACTCTGCATATAGTTTGGGCATGTCTTTAGGAGTTATGTTCAGTCAGAAGCTCCAGATTTCTAAGTAGCCACCAAGAGTGCATTATCTACCAACAATCACACTGTATACATTTTTGTCAAATATAAGAGAACACATAAATACCGGGTTTGGTAATTGGAAGTTCTGTTGTGGTCAAGACATTAAGAAGATAATTATCATCTTCAGTTGAAACTGGAAAAAAAGCAAACACCCCCAAAATAAGTTCACAGTGTCCATATTGAAGGACATGGTTACACCTATGTACCCCAAGTTGCCTATATGTCCTTCTATCTAGAAATAGAAATGTTGTGTATAATCCTACAAATAACTAATATACTGTCTTAGATGAATTTTAAATCTGAGTAGAGGACCATCAAAGAAAATTTTGGTGTGTCTGTCTGACGTCGTCAAGTTTGAATGTGTAATTTGGTTCCTTTTTATACAGTTTTGTACAACATTCATGATTGAATCAATTTATTTGGAACTTACACACTTTATAACTTCAAGGAAATCTGGATTTCATATTCATTTCAGAAAGGAACAGAGTAGAATAATACTAGATGGTAGAAAAAAGCATGTAAAAAAATGTCACTCTACCATGTTTCCTGTCTGGTACTTCTGGCATGATGGACTCGGGTTCTTTAAACTTTGGCGGAACCGGGCTTGGTTTATAAGAAGCTGAAAGGAAGTCCAGTCTAGAATTAAACTACATTCTGACAGGGAGGTACAGAATTAAAAATACCATGTGACACTAGTAATATCTTAAGAATGGATTTTGAATTGAAGATGAAAGAATTTTCAAACAGTAAATCTCAACAAAATGAACACTAAAAGTAGCATGACAAAAAACAGATTGCCTGCTAATAATATGCATCTGTGCAGTGAAGCTCTACCTATGATACATCAGAATGTCATTCAAAGTTCTGTTCAATCCAGAAATTATTTTCTTAAGGAGCCACTAAGAGTGCATTATCTACCAATAAGCATACTGTATATATTTTTACTAAACATATGAGAACACATGATTACCAGATTCGGTAATTATCAGTTCTGGTGTGGTCAAGACTTTAGGAAGATAATTATCATCCTCAGTTGAAACTAGAAAAAAACAAAAAAGGCAAAATAATTTCAAAAGGTTCATATTGAAGGGCATGGTTTCACATATATATTGCAATTTGCCTAAGAGCTCCTCCATCTGAAAATGCAATTTTGAGGCATGATCCTACTATGAAGCAATATAGAGTCTTAGAAGTATTTTAATTTTCCATAGTTGATCTTCAAGGACAAACTTGAGTTGACCATCTGCGTCTTCTGGTTGGAAAGTGCACTCCGATTCCACTAAATGTTGTAGAGAATTCATGATTGAATAATGTACTTAGAACTGCATATAGTAATTTCCAAAATATCTGTATTTCGTAAATCCATTGGATAAAAGTACACTAGAAAGATGCAAAAATTTATCTTGCAAACGAAAATAAAGTAGTACATAAAAAAAATCTCTCTACCATGTTTTGTGTCTGGTACTTCTGGTGGGAAGTAGCTGGGTTCTTTAAATGTTGATGGAACAGAGCTTGGTTTATAAGAAACTGAAAGGAAGTTCAGTATAGAATTAGTCTGCAATCTGACAGGGAGATACAGGGTTTTCAATATTGTGTGATATTAATCATATCTGGTAATCGTAATTTCAGGAAAATGAAATCAAAGTAGCATGACAAGAAACATATAGTATTCTAATATTATGCATCTGTTTAATGAAGCTCTAGATATGATCTGTGACATGTCTTTCAAATTCTGTTCAATGCAGAAACTCTGCATTTCTAAGCAGCTGCCAGGATTGCATTATCTACCAAAAATCACTGCACATATAATTTTATCACACATAATTACCAGGTTTGGTAATTGGACGTTCCGTTGTGGTCAAGATTTTAGGAAGATAATTATCATCTTCAGTTGAAACTGGAAAAAAGAAACAACCCCGAAATAAGTTCACAATATCCATATTGAAAGACATGGTTACACCTATACATGTCAAACTACCTAACACCTCTTTCATATTAAAATGGAATTGTTGGGCATGACTGAACTATGAAGTGTATTGTCTTAGATGGTTTCAATCCTCTGTACAGGATGGCCAAAGGAAATTTTGGTTTGTAGGGTGTGCTGTATTCTTGTTGGAAAGTGTAATACCCTTCTACTCAGTGGGGTAGAAAATTCATGATTGAATAATATAACACTGTATGCATGTCTAAAGCTCTGCATATGGTTTGGGGCATGTCTTTAGAAGTTATGTTCAATCAGAAGCTCGATGTTTCTTAATAGCCACTAGGAGTGCAATTTCTACCAACAATCATACTATATATATTTTTGTCAAACATACGAGAACACATAAATACCGGGTTTGGTAATTGGAAGTTCTGTTGTGGTCAAGACATTAGGAAGATAATTATCATCTTCAGTTGAAACTGGAAAAAAGCAAACAACCCCAAAATAAGTTCACAGTGTCCATATTAAAGCACATGGTTACACCTATGTACCCCAGGTTGCCTGTATGTCCTTCTATCTTGAAATAGAAATGTTGTATATAGTCCTACACTTAACTAATATACTGTCTTAGATGAATTTTAAATCTCAGTAGAGGACCATCAAGGAAAACTATGGTGTGTCTGGTCCGATATCTTCAAGTTTGTACAACATTCATGATTGAATGAATTTATTTGGAACTTACACATTTTATAACTTCAAGGAAATCTGGATTTCATATTCATTTCAGAGAGGAACAGAGTAGAATAATACTAGATGGTGGAAAGAAGCAGTAAAAAAAGTCACTCTACCATGTTTCCTGTCTGGTACTTCTGGCATGATGGACTCAGGTTCTTTAAACTTTGGCAGAACAGAGCTTGGTTTATAAGAAGCTGAAAGGAAGTCCAGTCTAGAATTAAATTACATTCTGACAGGGAGGTACAGGATTAAAAATACCATGTGACACTAGTGATATCTTAAGAATGGATTTTGAATGGAAGATGAAAGAATTTTCAAACAGTAAATCTTAACAAAATGAACACTAAAGTAGCATGACAAAAAACAGATTGCCTGCTAATAATGTGCATCAGTGTAGCAAACTCTACCTATGATACATCAGAATGTCATTCAAGGTTCTGTTCAATCCAGAAACTATTTTCTTAAGGAGCACTAAGAGTGCATTATCTACCAATAAGCATACTGTATATATTTTTATCAAACGTATGAGAACACATGATTAGCAGATTCGGTAATTAGCAGTTCTGGCGTGGTCAAGATTTTGGGAACATAATTTTCATCTTCAGTTGAAAATGGAAAAAAAGCAAACAACCCCAAAATAAGTTCACAGTGTCCATGTTGAAGGACATGGTCACACCTATATACGCCAAGTTGCCTACACATCCTTATGTCTTGAAATAGAAATGTACATAGTCCTACAATTAACTAATATGCTGCCTTAGATGAATTTTAAATATCAGTAGAGGACCATCAAAGAAAATGTTGGTGTATCTGGTCTGACGTCTTCAAGTTTGAATGTATACTTTGGTTCCTTTTTACACAGTTTTGTAAAACATTCATGATTGAATGAATTTATTTGGAACTTACACATCTTATAACTTCAAGGAAGTCTGGATTTCATATTCATTTCAGAAAGGAACAGAGTAGAATAATACTAGGTGGTAGAAAGAAGCATGAAAAAAAAGTCACTCTACCATGTTTCCTGTCTGGTACTTCTGGCATGATGGACTCGGGTTCTTTAAACTTTGGCGGAACCGGGCTTGGTTTATAAGAAGCTGAAAGGAAGTCCAGTCTAGAATTAATCTACATTTGACAGGGTGATATAGGATTCAAGATACAGTGTGATACTAAACCTATGAAAGGATTTTCAACTGAAAAAGAAATAATTCTCAAAGCCTAAGGGGACTTAAACCATGGGAAAATATAGATCTAAAGTAGCATGAAAAAATGTGGATGTTCCCCAAATATTATGCATGTCTAAAGCTCTGCATATTGTTTGGGGCATGTCTTTAGAAGTTATGTTCAATCAGAAGCCCGATGTTTCTAAGTAGCCACCAGGAGTGCAATTTCTACCAACAATCACACTGTATACATTTCTGTCAAATATATGAGAACACATAAATACCGGGTTTGGTAATTGGAAGTTCTGTTGTGGTCAAGACATTAGGAAGATAATTATCATCTTCAGTTGAAACTGGAAAAAAGCAAACAACCCCAAAATAAGTTCACAGTGTCCATATTGAAGGACATGGTTACACCTATGTACCCCAAGTTGCCTATATGTCCTTCTATCTTGAAATAGAAATGTTGTATATAGTCCTACACTTAACTAATATACTGTCTTAGATGAATTTTAAATCTCAGTAGAGGACCATCAAGGAAAACTTTGGTGTGTCTGGTCTGATATCTTCAAGTGGTCAAGACTTTAGGAACATAATTATCATCTTCAGTTAAAATTGGAAAAAAGCAAACAACTCCAAAATAAAATCAAAGTGTTTCACCTATATATATCAATTTGCTCTTTCATCTGAAAATGGAACTTTCAGGAGTGATCCTACTATGAAACAATATAGAGTCTTAGAAGTATTTTAATTTTCCATAGTTGAGTTTCAAGGACAATTTGGGGTGGATGTCTTACTGTCTTCTAGTTGGAAAATGCAGTTCAATTCCAGAAATATTGTAGAGAATTCATGACTGAATAATTCACAAAGCAATTTCCAAAATGTCTGGATTTCATAAACCCATTGAATAAAAATATACTGGGTAGATGCAAAAATGTATCTTGTAAATGAGAAGAAAGTAGTTCATAACAAATTCACTCTACCATGTTTTGTGTCTTGTACTTCTGGTGGGATGTAGCTGGGTTCTTGAAATGTTGATGGAACAGAGCTTTGTTTATAAGAAGCTGAAAAGAAGTTCAGTATAGAGTTATTCTGCAATCTGACAGGGAGATACAGTTCTCAATACTATGTGATATTAGTCATATCTGAGGAAAGAATTTCAACAGAGGAAAAAAGAATTCTCAAAGGGAAATGATAATGACAAGAAACATATGTTCTTCTAATACTATGTTTCTGTTTAATGACACTCTAGATATGATCTGCGTACATGTCTTTCAAATTCAGTGCAGAAACTGCATTTCTAAGTAGCTGCCAGGAGTGCATTATCTACCAACAATCACTCCACATATAAGTTTATCAAACATAATTACCAGGTTTGGTAATTGGACGTTCTGTTGTGGTCAAGATTTTAGGAAAATAATTGTCATCTTCAGTTGAAACTGGAAAAAAGAAACAACCGCAAAATAACTTCACAGTGTCCATATTGAAGGACATGGTTACATCTATACATGTCAAGCTACCTAACACCTCTTTCATATTAAAATGGAATTGTTGGGCATGACTGGACTATGAAGTGTATTGTCTTAGATGGTTTCAATTCTCTGTACAGGATGGGCAAAGGAAATTTTGGTTTGTAGGGTGTGCTGTATTCTTGTTGGAAAGTGCAATACCCTTCTACTCAGTGGGGTAGAAAATTCATGATTGAATAATATACTTATAATGTATTCAGATTACGAGCTCCAGAGTGTCTGGATTTCATAAATCCATTTCATAAGATTATATGATATAGATTCATAATTTATCTAGTTAAGAATCAGGAAATAGTACGTTAAAAAAATCACTCTACCATGTTTCCTTTCTGGTACTTCTGGCAGTATATAGTCAGGTTCCTTAACTTTGGAAGGAATGGAAGTTGGTTCATAAGAAACTGAAAGGAAGTCAGATCTAGAATTAATCTACATTTTGACAGGGCAGTACATGAATTCAAAATACTGTATGATACTAATTGTAACTTATGAAAGGATTTTGAACTGAAAAAGAAAGACTTTCCAAAGTGTAATGGGAGTCCAACCTTGGAAAAATAAAGATCTAAAACAGCATGAAAAAAAGAATCTCTGTAGCGAAAGACTGCATATAATCTGCTGGGATGTCTTTGAAAGTTCTGTCCAATCCAGAAATCCTTCTGTCTAGGTAGCCTTGGGGAATGTATTATTAGTCAGCATACAAGCTAAAAATTTTATTAAATAAATGCAAACTGAGCTTGGCTTATAAGAAAATGAAAGGAAGACCAGTGTAGAATTAATCTATATTCGGATAGGGAGAAGAAAGAATTCCCAAGGAGTAAATCATAATAAAAGTAGCATCAGAAAAAATGTAGTCTGCTAATACTATGAATCTGTGCAATAAAGCTCTGCAAATGATCCTTTCAAATTCTGTTCAGTGCAGAAACTCTTTGTTTCTAAGCAGTCACCTACCAACAATCACTTCACATATACTTTTATCAAACATATGAGAACACATAAGGTTGTGTCTGGTCTAATGTCTTCCAGTTTGAACATGCACTTTTGTTCCTTTTTATACAGTTTTGTACAACATTCATGATTGGATGAATTTATTTAGTAGTTACGCATTTTATAATTTCAAGGAAGTCTGGATTTTATATTCATTTCAGAAAGGAGCAGATTAGAATAATACTAGATGGTAGAAAGAAGCATGCAAAAAAATCACTCTACCATGTTTCCTGTCTGGTACTTCTGGCATGGTGTATTCAGGTTCTTTAAACTTTGGCGGAATCGGGCTTGATTTATAAGAAGCTGAAAGGAAGTCTAGAATTAATCTACATTCTCACAGGGAGGTACAGGATTTAAAATACCATGTGACACTAGTCATATCTTAAGAATGGATTTTGAATGGAAGATGAAAGAATTCTCAAACAGTAAATCTCATTAAAATGAGCACTAAAAGTAGCATGACAAAAAACAGATTGCCTGCTAATAATGTGTTCTACCTATGATACATCAGAATGTCATTCAAAGTTCTGTTCAATCCAGAAACTATTTTCCTAAGCAGCCACTTATCTACCAATAATCATACTGTACACATTTTTATCAAAGATATGAGAACACATGATTACCAGGTTTGGTAATTAGCAGTTCTGGCGTGGTCAAGACTTTAGGAAGATAGTTATCATCTTCAGTTGAAACTGGAAAAAAGCAAACAACCTCTTCAGTGTTGTGCATCATTCACAAATGAATAATGTACTTAGAATTTATGCATGTAATATTTTCCAGGATGTCTAGATTTTGTAAATTAATTGAAGATTACACCAGATAGAGTCAAGAATTTATTTTGCAAAGGATCAGAGAGTAGTATATAAAAAAGTCACTCTACCGTGTATCCTGTCTGGTATTTCTGGCATGGGTAATGTATAATTTCAAGAAAATGAACATCAAAGATAGCATGGGAACAAATATGTGGCCTTCTAATATTATGCATCTGTGTAATGATAAGTTACCTATGATCTGAAAGCATGTCTTTCAAAGTTCTGTTTGGGACAGAACATCCTTGTTTCTAAGCAGCCGCGAGGGGTGCAATAGCTACCAATGATCACATTGTATATATTTTTATCAAAATATAAGAACACATAATTACCAGGTTTGGTAATTGGAAATTCTGGCGTGGTCAAGACTTTAGGAAGATAATTATCATCTTCAGTTGAAACTGGAAAAAAGCAAACAATCCCAAAATAAGTTCACCGTGTCCATATTGAAGGACATGGTTACACCTATAGATGTCAAGTTGCCTAAGAGCTGTTTCATCTTAAAATACAATGGCCAGGCATATTTCTGTCTATGATGACATACATACATCATCATCATCATCATCATCATCATTATTATGGATCATCGCATAGTCAGCCAGATGTTCAGACTGGTTTTTTTCATTTTGTCTACCTATTGAGTCCTTACCAAGGACCTGGGATAGGCAGATGTGGCTGTTTGATGGTATTACAGGTATCGTTGCAAGATGGAAGCAGTTTCTAGTAAGGCCGCCTTTTGCAATTGACTAATGGCAAATTTGTCAATCTCAGGGGTTGCCATAAAGAAGAGGGAGTCAAGCTAGTTTCCAAAGCACGTGAAGGCAGGATAAGAAGCAATGGATGGAAACTAATCAAAGGTCCCTTCCAGCTATAATAACAACAACAACAACAACAACAATAATAATTTCCCATAATAATATAGCTGGAAGGGACCTTTGATTAGTTTCCATCCATTGCTTCTTATCCTGCCTTCACATGCTTTGGAAACTAGCTTGACTCCCTCTTTTTTGTGGCAACCCCTGAGATATTGGAACACTGCTATCATGTCACCCCTAGTCCTTCTCTTCATTAAACTAGACATATCCAATTCCAACAATTGTTCTTTACATCTTTTAGCCTCCAGTCCCCTAATCATCTTTGTTGCTTTTCTCCGTATTCTTTCTAAAGTCTCAACATCTTTTTTACATCGTGGTGACCAAAACAGGATGCAGTATTCCAAGTGGGGCCTTACCAAGGCATTATAAAGTGGTATTAACACTTCACATGATCTTGATTCTATCCTTCTGTTAATGCAGCCTCGCACTGTGTTGGCGCTTTTGGCAGATGCAACACACTGCTGGCTCATATTTAAGTGATTGTCTACTAGGACTCCAAGATCCCTCTCACAGTTATTACTATTGAGCAAGGTACCACCTATATTGTACCTGTGCATTTGGGTTTCCTTGCCTAAATGTAGAACCTTACTTTTTTCACCACTGAATTTCACTTTTTTAGATAGCGCCCAATGTTCAGATCTGTCAAGTCTGTATCTTAAGCCTATCTTCTGGAGTGCTGGCTATTCCTGCCAGCTTTGTGTCATCTGCAAATTTGATGAGTTCCACATCTATCCCTTCATCCAAATCATTGATGAAGATGTTGAACAGCACTTGGCCCAGAACAGAGCCCTGAGGCACCCCACTACACACTTCCCTCCATGTAGATGCAGTTCCATTGAGGACCAAATGCTAAGTATGGCTGTTCAGCCAGCTATAAATCTATCAGGTGTCTTAGTGAAGTCTGATGATATTGTCTTAGAAGGGTTTTAATTTTCTATAGATGAGGATCAATGGAAATTTTTAATTGCTTGGTGCACTGTTTTCTAGTTGGAAAGTGCTCTATCAATTCTCATTAGTGTTGCGGAACATTCATGATTGAATAATGTACTTAGAATTTATGCATGTAATAATTTCCAGAATGTCTGGATTTTGTAAACTCATTGAAATATATCACACTAGATAGATACAAGAACTTATCTTGCAAACTATCAGAAAGTAGCACGTAAGAAAAGTCACTCTACCATGAATACTATCTTGTACTTCTAGCATGAGTAATGGGTAATTTCAGGAAAATGAACATCAAAAGCAGCATGAGAAGAAATATATAGTCTTCTGGGTAATGGCATTCTACCTATGATCTGCGAGCATGTCTTTTAAAGTTCTGTTCAGTTCAGAACATCCTTGTTGCTGAGCATCTGCCAGGACTGCATTATCTATACACAATCACATTGTATACATTTTTATCAACTGCATGACATCATATAATTACCAGATTTGGTAATAGGAGGTTCTGGCGTGGTCAAGACTTTAGGCAGATAGTTATCATCCTCAGTTGAAACTAGAAAAAAGCAAACAATCTCAAAATAAGTTCACATTGTCCATGTTGAAAGACATGGTTACACCTATATAAGCCTAAGAGCTGTTTCATCTGAAAATAGAATTGTCAGGCATGGCCCTATTATGAAGAAATATATTGTCTTAGAGGATTTTCATCTTCCATATAGAAGGATCAAGGGAAATTTTGGGTTTCATGGTGAGCGTCTTCTTGTTGGAAAGTGCACTTCTATTCTATTCTGTGTTGTAGAGCATTCGTGATTCAGTAATATACTTAGAACCTAGTTATATAGTAATTTCCAGAATATCTGGTTTTGTAAACTATTTGGATAAGATTACACCAAATAGATGTATCTTGTAAAGGATCAGAAAGTAGTACATAAATAAAGTGACTCTGCCAGGTTTCCTGTCAGGTACTTCTGACATGATGTAGCCGTGTTCTTTAAATTTTAATGGAACAGAGCTTTGTTTATAAGAAGCTGAAAGGATGTCCGGTATAGAATTAGTCTGCAATCTGATAGAGTGATACAGGATTCAAAACACTGTGTTATAATAATCATATGTGATGAAAGGATTTGAATTGAAGAAGGAAAAAGTCTCAAAGGGTAGTGGGTAATTTCAGAAAATGAACATCAAAATGACAAGAAATATATGGTCTTTTACTACTATCCATGTGTGTAATGATACTCTATCTAAGATCTGCGGGCATGTCTTTCAAATTCTGTTCAGTGCAGAAATTCCATATGTCTAATTAGCTGCCAGGAGTGTATTATCTATCAATGATCACTCACACATATAATTTTATCAAATATAGGAGAACACATAATAGGTTTGGTAATTGGAAGTCCTGGCCTCACACATATAATTTTATCAAATATAGGAGAACACATAATAGGTTTGGTAATTGGAAGTCCTGGCGTGGTCAAGACTTTCGAAAGATAATTATCATCTTCAGTTGAAACTGGAAAAAAAGCAAACAATCCCAAAATAAGTTTACATTGTCCATATTGAAGGACATGGTTATACCTATGTACTCTACGTTGTCTACAAAACAAGTCCTTTTATTTTGAAATAGAGTTATCGTACATAGTCCTACAATTAACTAATATATTGTTGTAGATAAATTTTAATCCTCAGTGGAGCACCATCAAAGAAAATTTTGGTGTGCCTGGTCTGATTTGAATGTGTACTTCTATTCCTTTTGATTCAGGAATATTTTTATACAGTTTTCTACAGCATTAATGATGGAATGACTATATTTAGAACTTAGCATTTTATAATTGTTGTACATAGTCCTATAATCTTGGATGAATTTTAATTGTCAGTGGAGGACCATCAAAGAAATTTTTTGTGTGCCTGGTCTGATGTCTTCTGGTTTGAATTGTACTTCTGTTCCTTTTTATAAAGTTTTGTACAGCAATCATGATTGAATGAATTTATTTTGAGCTTATAACTTCAGGGAAATCTGGATTTCATGTTAATTTCAGAAATGAACACATTAGAATAATACTAGATGGTAAGAAGAAGCATGTAAAAAAAAAGTCACTCTACTACGTATCCTGTCTGGTACTTCCTGCATGAGTAAAGGATAATTTCAGGAAAATGACCACCAAAAGTAGCATGAGAAGTAATATGTGGTCTTGTAATAGTATGTATCTGTGTAAAGGCGCTCCACCTATGATCTGCGAGCATTTCTTTCAAAGATCTGTTCGATACAGAGCCTCTTTATTTCTAAAAAGCCACAAGGAGTGCATTAGTTACCAACGATAACAATGCATATAAATTTATCAAAAATATGAGAACACATAATTACCATGCTTGGTAATTGAAAGTTTTGTTGTGGTCAAGAGTTTAGGAAGATAATTATCATCTTCAGTTGAAACTGGAAAAAAGCAAACAATCAAAAAATAAGTTCATTGTATCCATATTGAAGGACATGGTTAAACCTACGTACCCCAGGATGCCTACAAGTCCTGTATCTTGAAATAGAATTGTTGTAAATAGTCCTACAATTAATATATTGTCGTAGATGAATTTTAATTGTCCATGGAGGACTATCAGTTTTTGTTTGCCTGGTCTGATGTGTTCAAATTTAAATGTGTACTTCTATTCCTTTTTATAAAGTTTTGTACAGCATTCATGACTGAATGAATATATTTAGAATGTATGCATTTTATATATTCAAGGAAGTCTGGAATTCATATTCATTTCAGAAAGGAATACACAAGATAAATTCCAGAGGTAGAAAGAAGCATGTAAAAAAAGTCACACTACCATGTTTCCTGTCTGGTACTTCTGGCATGCCATAGTCAGGTTCTTTAAACTTTGGGGGAATCAGGCTTGGTTTATAAGAAGCTGAAAGGAAGTCCAGTTTAAAATTAATGTATGTTTGACAGTAAAGTAGAGGATTCAAAATACTGTGTTACACTAATCATAATTTATGAAATAATTTTCAACTGAAGAAGAAAGAATTCTCAAATGGATATGGGAATTATGCCTTGGGAAAATAAGATCTAAAGTAGCATGAAATAAAATGGATATTCTCCAAATATTATGCATCTCTATAGCAAAGCTCTGCATATGATCTGTGGCTATGTCTTTCAAACTTATTTTCAATACAAAATTCCTTGTTTATAATTAGCCACTAACAGTGTATTATCTACCAACAATCACACTGTATACATTTTAAAAAAATATATGAGAACTCATAATTATCATGTTTGGTAATTGGGATTTCTGATGTGGTCAAGACTTTAGGAAGATAATCATTCTTAGCTAAAACTGGAAATAAGTACAGTACCCCATAATAATTTCACAATATCCATATTGAAGGTCATGATTTCGTCTATAGATGTCAAGTTGCCCAAAACTGTTTCATCTTAAAATAGAATGGTTGGGCATATTTCTGTCTATGAAGAAATATATTGTCTTAGAAGGGCTTTAATTCTCTATACATGAAGATCAAGGGAAATTTTGAATTGTTTGCTGCTCTGTCTTCTAGTTGGAAAGTGCTCTTCCATTCTCATTAGTGTTGCAGAGCATTCATGACTGAATAATGTACTTAGAACTTATGCATATAATAATTTCCAGAATGTCTGGATTTTGTAAACCCTTTGGAAAAGACTACACTAAATAAATGCAATAACTTATTTTGCAAAGGATCAGAAAGCAGTAAGTAAAAAAAGTCACTCTACCCTGTATCCTGTCTGGTACTTCTGGCATGGGTAATGTGCAATTTCAGGAAAATGAACATCAAAAGTAGCATTAGAAGAAATAATATATATATTTTTAATACTATGCATCTGTGTAATGACACTCAACCTATGATCTGCGAGCATGACTTTCAAAGTTCTGTTCAGTATAGAACTTCCTTGTTTCTAAGTATCTGCCAGGAGCGTATTATCTAGCAATGATCACTACATATACAGTTTTATCAAAAATATGAGAACACATAATTACCAGATTTAGTAATTGGAAGTTCTGTTATGGTCAAGACTTTAGGAAGATAATTATCATCCTCAGCTGAAACTGGAAAAAAGCCAACAAGCCTAAAATAGGTTCACATTGTCCATATTGAAGGACATGGTTACACCTATATAAGCCTAAGAGCTGTTTCATCTTAAAATGGAATTGTCAGGCATGGCCCTATTATGAAGAAATACATTGCCTTAGAAGGATTTTCATCTTCCATACAGAGGGATAAAGAGAAAGTTTGGGTTTTACGGTGCGCTGTCTACTGGATGGATAGTGCACTTCCATTCTACTCTGTGTTGTGCAGCATTTGTGAATCAGTAATATACTTAGAATCTATACCTATAGTAATTTCCAGAATATCTGAATTTTGTAAACCCTTTGGATAAGATTATACCAAATAGATGCAAGAACATATCTTGTAAAGTATCAGAAGGTAGTACATTAACAAAGTCACTCTACCAGCTTTCCTGTCTGGTTCTTCTAGCATGATGTAGCCGGGTTCTTTAAATTTTGATGGAACAGAGCTTTCTTCATAAGAAGCTGAAAGGAATCCGGTATAGAATTAATCTGCAATCTGATAGGGTGATACAGGATTCAAAACACTGTGTTATAATAATCATATGTGATGAAAGGATTTTGAACTGAAGAAGGAAGAATTCTCACAGGGTAATAGTTAATTTCAGCAAAATGAATATTAAAAATAGCATGACTACTATCCATTACTGTGTAATGAAGCTCTATATAAGATCTACAGGCATATCTTTCAAATTCTGTTCAGTGCAGAACCTCCTTGTTCCTAAGCAGCTGCCGGTTGTGCATTATCTACCAATGATCACAACGCATATAATTTTATCAAATATACGAGAACACATAAATACCAGGTTTGGTAATTGGACGTTCTGTTGTGGTCAAGACTTTAGGAAGATAATTTTCCTCTTCAGTTGAAACTGGAAAAAAGCAAATAACCCCAAAATAATTTCACAGTGTCCATCTTGAAGGACATGGTTATATCTATGTAGCTCAAGTTGCCTACAAGTCCTTTTATATTGAAATAGAATTGTCATACATAATCCTGCAATTAACTAATATATGGTGGTAGATTAATTTTAATTATCAGTGGAGGACCATCAATTTTGGTGTGCCTGGTTTGGAGTCTTCAGTTTTGAATTTGTACTTCTATTACTTTTACACATTTATGATTTAATGAATATATTTAGAACTTATACATTTTATAATTTCAAGGAAGTATGGATTTTATGTTCATTTCAGGAAGGAATACACTAGATAAATTCCAGAGGAAGAAAGAAGCATATAAAAAAAGTCACTCTACCATGTTTCCTGTCTGGTACTTCTGGCATGATGGACTCGGGTTCTTTAAACTTTGGCGGAACCGGGCTTGGTTTATAAGAAGCTGAAAGGAAGTCCAGTCTAGAATTAATCTACATTTGACAGGGAAGTACAGGATTGAAGATGCAGTGTTTTACTAGTCATAATTTATGAAAGGATTTTGAACTGAAGAAGAAATAATTCTCAAAGGCTAAGGGGCTTAAATCTTGGGAAAATAAAGATCTAAAGTAGCATGAAAGAATGTGGATGTTCCCCCAATATTATGCATGTTTAAAGCTCTGCATATGGTTTGGGGCATGTCTTTAGAAGTTATGTTCAATCAGAAACTCCATGTTTCTAAGTAGCCACCAAGAGTGCACTATCTACCAACAATCACACATATATTTTTATTAAACATATGAGAACACATAATTACCATGTTTGGTAATTTGGAGTTCTGGAGTGGTGAAGACTTTAAGAAGGCAATTATCATAGTCAGCTGAAACTGGAAAAAATAAACAACCCCCCAATAAGTTCACACTATCTATGTTGAAGGACATGGTTATAAGCCTAAGAACTGTTTCTTCTTAAAATGGAATTGTCAGGCATATTTCTTTCTATGAAGAAATATATTGTTTTAGAGGGATTTTTATCTTCCATAGAAAGGAATCAAGAGAAATTTTGGATTTTAACGCTTCGCTGTCTTCTGATTGGAAAGTGCACTTCTATTCTATTCTGTGCTCTAGAGCATTCATGAGTCAATAATATACTTAGAAGTTATACATATAATAATTTCCAGAATATCTGGATTTTGTAAATTATTTGAATTACACCAAATAGATGCAATAAGTTATTTTGTAAAGTATAAAAAATATTATGTAAAAAAAGTCACTCTACCAGGTTTCTTGTCTGGTACTTCTGGCAAGATGTAGCCGGATTCTTTAAATTTTGATGGAACAGGACTTGATTCATAAGAAACTGAAAGGAAGTCCGATATAGAGTTAGTCTGCAATCTGATAGGGAGGTAGAGGATTCAAAAGACTGTGTGATATACAATGAAAGGATTTTGAACTGAGAAATATATTCTCAAAGGGTAATTGGTAATTTCAGGAAAATGAACATTAAAATTAGCATGAGAAGAAATATTTAGAGTTTTACTACTATCCATCTGTGTAATGAAACTCTACATATGATCTTTCTAATTTTGTTCAGTGCATAAACTTCTTGTTTCTGAACAGTCACCAGGACTGCATTATTTATCAACAATCACACACATTTTTAGCAACCATATCACGACACATAATTACCAGATTTGGTAATAGGAAGTTCTGGTGTGGTCAAGACTTTAGGAAGATAATGATCATCCTCAGTTGAAACTAGAAAAAAGCCAACAACCCCAAAATAAGTTCACATTATCCATGTTGAAGGACATGGTTACATCTATATAAGCCTAAGAGCTGTTTCATCTTAAAATGGAATTTTCAGTGATGTCCCTACTATGAAGAAATATGTTGTCTTAGAAGAATTTTTATCTTCCATATAAAGAGATCAAGAGAAATCTTGAGTTTTAGGTTGCACTGTCTTCTGGTTATAAACTACATTTCCATTCAATAATATACTTAGAACTTGTGCAAATAGTAATTTCCAGAAAACCAGGATTTTGTAAACCCGTTGGATAAGATTACACTAGATAGATACAAGAACACATCTTGTAATAGATCAGAAAGTAGTACGTAAAAAAAGTAACACTACCATGTTTCCTGTCTGGTACTTCTGGCATGATGTATACAGGTTCTTTAAACCTTGGTGGAACTGGGCTTGGTTTATAAGAAGCTGCAAGGAAGTCCGGTATAGAATTAATATACATTTGACAGGGAACTACAGGATTCAAAATACCATGTTATACTAATTATAAGTTATGAAAGGATTTTGAACTGAAGAAGTAAGTATTCTCAAAGAGTAAAGGGAGTTATACCTTGAGAAAATGAATATTAAAAGTCATATGATACAATAAGGATGGTCTCTTAATACTACCTATCTGTGTAATGAAACTCTACATATCATCCACGAGTATTTCTTTCAAAGTTCTGGATAGTGCTGAAACTCCTTGTGTCTACATAGCTATGGGGAATTCATTATCAGGTAGCAAAAAAAAAAAAAACATACAAAAAAAAAACCAAAAACCTATATACAATGTTACCAAACCCATGATTACCAGGTTTGGTAATTGGGGGTTCTGGTGTAGTCAAAACTTTAGGAAGGTAATTATCATCTTCAGCTGAAGCTGAAAAAAGCAAACAATCCCAAAACAATGCCTTCAGTATGGCAATGCCTATATTAAAGAATATGGTTAGGGTTAGGGTTATGTACCCCATGTTTCTTACAAGGGATTCTGTGTTAAAATGGAATCATTATGCATGGTTCTCTTATGAAGTAATATATTGTCTTAGATTAATTTTAATCCTCAATAGAGTACTATTAAAAAAATTGGTGTGCATGGTGTGATGTTTTCATATTTGAATGTGTATTTTTATTCCTTTTTATGCAGTTTTGTATGCATTCATGATTGAATGAATATATTTAGAGTTTATGTATCTTATAACAGATGTCTCCAACTCCAGGTCCATGGACCAGCACCGGTCCACGGCATGTCAGAAACCGGGGCGTGCAAACAAGCGAAGCTCCATTCACTGGATGCAGGCAGCACATAAAACAACACTTCCTTTGGTCTGTGGAAAAACCTCTCTCCATGGAACTGGTCCCTAGTGCCCAAAAGGTTGGGGGCCTCTGTCTTATAATTTCAAAGAAGCCTAGATTTCAAGTTCATTTTACAAAGGAATATGCTAAACAAATTCCAGAAGTAAGAAGAAGCGTGTAAAAAAGTCACTATATTATAATAATAATAATAATAATAATAATAATAATAATAATAATAATAGTAATAGTAATAGTAATAATAATAATAATAAAGTTGGAAGGGACCTTGGAGGTCATCTAGTTCAACTCCCTGCTCAGGCAGGAAACCCTATACCATTTCAGACAAATGGCTGTCCAGTCTCTTCTTAAAGACTTCCAGTGTTGGAGCATTCACCGTTTCTGTTAATTATTCTAACTATCAGGAAGTTTCTTCTTAGTTCTAGGTTGCTTCTCACGTTGATTAGTTTCCATCCGTTGCTTCTTGTTCTGCCTTCAGGTGCTTTGGAAAATAGCTTGACTCCCTCTTCTTTGTGGCAGCCCCTGAGATATTGGAACACTGCTATCTTGTCCCCCCTTGTCCTTCTCTTCCATTAAACTAGATATACCCAATTCCAGCAGCCGTTCCTTATATGCTTTAGCCTCCAGTCCCCAAATCATCTTTGTTGCTCTTCTTTGTACTCTTTCTAGAGTCTCAACATCTTTTTTACATCGTGGTGACCAAAACTGGATGCAGTATTCCAAGTGTGGCCTTATCAAGGCATTGAAGAGTGGTATTAATACTTCATGTGATCTTGATTCTATCCCTCTGTTAATGCAACCTAGCACTGTGTTGGCCTTTTTGGCAGCTGCAGCACACTGCTGGCTCATATTTAAGTGATTGTCCACTAGGACTCCAAGGTCCCTCTCACAGTTACTACTATTGAGCAAGGTACTCCCTATACTATACCTGTACATTTGGTTTTTCTTGCCTAAATGTAGAACCTTGCTATCATATTTCCTATTTGGTACTTCTAGCATTATATATTCAGGTTCTTTAAATTTTGATGGAATTGGGCTTGGTTCATAAGAAACTAAAAGGAAGTCCACTGTAGAATGAATCTACATTCATACAGGGAGGTACATAATTGAAATGACTATCTGATAGTAATCATATCTTATGAAAGGATTGTGAATTGAAGAATAAAGAATTCTGAGAAAGTTATGGGTATGTATGTGTGAAACCTCATGAAAAAAGATATATTTATAATTGGGGTCTTCCAATATCGTGATTATATGTAGTAAAGCTCTGCATATGATCAACAAGCATGTCTGTCAAAAAAATTTTCAGTCTTGAAACTACTTGTTTCTAAATAGCTATGAAGAATGCATTATCTAACTAACAATCCCAATGTATAAGATTTTATCAAATATAGGAACACGTAATTACCAGGTTTGGTAATTGGGAATTCTGGCATAGTCAAGAATTTAGGAAGATAATTATCACCCTCAGTTGAAACTGGAAAAAAAACGAACAACCCCAAAAATATGGATTTCATATTCATGTTGTATAAACATACAGAAGACATATTCAAGTAGTTATCTTGTAAAGTAGTAGGAAGAAATATTTTAAAATCACTATACCAAGTTTCCTGTCTGGTTCTTCTGGCTTAGTATAGTCGAATTCTTTAGACTTTGATGGAACAGGGTTTATTTCTTTTGAAGCTGAAAAGAAATCCAGTTGACAATTAATTAATACAGTATCTTGAAAGGACAGTAAATTGACTCTCCATTTGGTGGGATCATATTAATATCTTATCAAATGCTTTCAAACTACTTCTTAAATAACCATAGTTTGAACCTGTAAGGGAATTACCTTCTGAAATACTCTCCAGAAAGAAAAAGTCAGTTAAGTGAAAGAACAGTATTGAATATAATTTTTAAAAAGAGACATTTGAATTGTTTAGTATGAGCTACATATTATTATTTCAAGGACAATTAATTTGTTTAAGTTCTGAATTTGTTGAGGACAATGATCTTTTGATGTCTAACATGTTTATATTGTGTGAATTTATAAACAAATTTTCCTGCATTGGCTCTCAAAATCTGAAGTTCACAACTTACTCTGACATTGTAATTAATTATATTAACTTTGTTTTCATTCAACATGGAAAAAATAAATCCCTTTCTTTTTTAATCAGGTTTTGCTTGTTTAAATATTGCCTTGCGTGTGTTTTATTGCTGGACATGATAAAGAAAACTTGATTCAAAGGTATATGCATATAAATACATTAATGGCACATCAATGCACTCACAATTAATCACATGACATAAAATTTCAGGAAAAATTGAAAAACGCATTATTATTATTGAGCATTATTATGCTCAATAAATTTGAGTTTTGATATGGATAATTTAGAAGGGAAACTTTCTTTAGCGTAAGCTTGAAAAAAACAAAGTATATTCGGACTGAATGGTATATTTACATCCAATCTCTCAAAACTAGATCATATGCTTTCAGTTATTGAATGTGATCATGGCTGTTATTTATTAAGATGTATTGCATAAAATATTTATTTTGCAATATGTTGCATAAGAACGAATTTGCAAAAATCTGAATGAGGCTGGAATAAGCAAAAGGTTAAGACTCTTGATATTGTATTTCATTAATGGTTGTCCAGAATTTTATAAAATTTTAATGAAGTCTGATTCTCATATCCGGGTCTTTGAAACAGTATATAATTCAAGTTCAAGAGAATATTTCATATATAATGTTATAAATTTAAAAGAATAGATTGGTGCAAAACGAGCTAAATAGTCAATTATAAATTGATCATGGAAATTCCTTTATTTTGCATATTATTATTTTTCTGTAGTAAAGCTGACTACCACAACTTTACCACTTAATTGTAACATGTAAGGCAATCCTATAAAACATTAATTCCATTTTCATATAAAGTGATAAATAATCTACCCTCTCTAAAAATGGAAAGTTTAATTATTTTATAATTCCGCATATTATAGTTAGAACAAGCTAGGCATGTATTGAGGAAACCTTGCTTCAAATCAGTAGATTTTGAATTCCAGAAACTCTCACGTTGCTAGCTGTTATTAATGTACTTTGTACAATAAAATCACCCAAAGTTTTATGAGATATCTAAAGACATAATTACCAGGTTTAGTAAATGAGATTCTGATGTTATGGATAGCTTAGAACAAAATTGTCTGCTATGGTAAAAGCTGGGGGGGGGGGGGGACACAAATAATTGAAGCCTCAAATTTGTCTTGAAATGTTAGTGATATGATGTACATGTTTTTTAAAACATAGCTCTTACAGTGAAGTTGGATTCAGTAAGGTGTAGAGGATCCTGACTACAAATGTATGTCTGATTGATAATACTGATGTTTTAGGGTAATGTTTAATAGGTGAAGTGCAAAACTTTTTATCTCAAAATGTTTTTGTTTATATGAATTAACATAGTCATTCTCAAATATTAGTACTTTCTTGAAAACATAATCTCAAACTTTTAGAAATTGAATTTTGTTTGAATAATCAATTGAGTTACTTATTTGCAACATTCTACCCTAGTTAAGGAAGGCTATTGTATTCTGAAGCATTTTTCTGTACTGAGATTAACAGTAAATGATAGTTATTTAAGAAAATAAAAATAATCTAGCAGGTCATTTTGGAACTATTAAATTATGATTTACCAGGTTTGGTTGGTAGAGTCTTTGAAAATATAAAATTGATGAAGAGATTATAGTAAGTATTGGAAGGTAGATGCTAATTAGAAACATCTAATGAATTATTCACAGATTTATTGTAAAGTTTTGTCTAATAACACATTCAACTTTTTTCTAGTTATCTGATTTCAATTATTCCCTTCTCAGTTGTAGTTGGGTAACTGGTTTCAATGCAATGATGGCCCAATTAGAGGCAAATTTTACAACAGATTAAGAGTTCCAAGTGCACATTATGCCTTCGTGTAGTTTTCTTCTTACTTTACTAAGTCTACTCATTCAGGAGGTTAACAATAAGCCTAATTCTGTCAGACATGAATCATGGTCTCTATTACTTTCATCCTGTCACATCATATCACATTTGATATTTTTAGTTTAGAAGTTCACAATTTTACCTAGTTTTGGTACAATTCAATAGAATGCAACAGTTTATATTCATATTTTATAAACTTTAGGGAATCAAATACCTCTTTTAATCATTATATAAGGAATACACAGTATTTAAATAACTAATAAAATGTTAATGATAAATAAATGCATGAATAAAACATATGATTAATTTAAAAAAATGGATGCACATGAATATGAGAAGAAAGTAATATAGGAATTAAGTATTCTTGAAGTAAAAGATGTTACCCATTGTTGCCACTGGATGTCCATCAGTGACAGATATCTTTGTTGCATCAGGAAGTGGAATCAATTTGTTGGTAACTGCTGGAGTATAAAAGATACCATACTGAAACAGACGAAAGAAATCTAAGGGTTCAGTATTTTAAGTCTGGTATTCTTCATGGGATATTTTAATGGCATATTATTTGTGAAAGACAACTAAAATATCATCAGCTAATTAGTATTGTATATGGTTCTGGATTTCATATAAGTTGAAAGTTGCTCAAGAATCAATACATTGAAAAGGTAGTATTTAGCATATTCATTTATTTACTCAATGCAATTACTATCTTAATCCAGAATTCTAGATGGTGCACAGTAATATTACCATATAACTTATAACATACAGCAAATAATAAATAACATTCAGCACACAACATATAACACATATCATATAATATCACAAATACATGACATGACATAACCAATTTCCACACCCATGTCTTCACAATAATCATTCCCCAAAGGTCTTCCCAAAAAACCTAAATGCTACAAGGGTCTTGAAGGTCATTACAGTGGAATGTTATTGTATTTTATTATAATTAAATATTACAATTTGTGGGTGGTCTTAAAGAAAAACATCATGTAGAGTAAATTATAATAATCCAGTTACAATATGACAAAAGCATGAAAGACTATCCTCAGGGACATCATCTTCCATGTAAGGCCATAATTGGCACAACAGCTGAAGCTGGGTAAAGGTCCTCCTGACCTAATTTTCATCTGCTCTTTGAACAGGACCACTGAGTCTAGAAGGAGCCTGAAGTAGAGGATCTGCTCTCTTTGGAGAGAGAGATACAATTGGCAATAATCTGGATCAGGCTTCCAAATAGCTGCTTTATCTTGCTTTAATGAAATAGAAACCAATTTTATATCAGTGTTGGGTCTGTCGAGGAATGGACAGATCAGAGACTCTTTCAAAGCTGATGGGATCTCTCTTCAGAGACATTGACTACTATCTGCATCAAATTTCCCATTTCCTTCTTGGCCACTCTATCCAATCATTATGTGACAGAGCTAATATTATAGAGCAGGGGTCCCCAACCCCCGGGCTGCAGCCCACTACTGGACAATGGCCTATTTGGAAATGGGCTGTGTGAGCTGAATGTGCATGCACCTTAGCCTTCCACTTGTGCAGCCAGTTCCCCTCTCCCCCCACCAGCCAGGCCGCCAAGCTTCAAAGATTGGGGACCACTGTTATAGAGAATTCTGAACTTTCTTTAAATATTAAAAACTTAACCTTAAATGTTATAATGATTAAATAATTTATTACAGTATACATTTGTTGAGCAAGTTGAAAAAAATAAGGTAGTATTTTTTAAAAAGCAAAATACTGAAATTTACTCTCTAGAATAATCAAGTGCATGCATAACTGCTGACATTTTCTTTGGTTTAGGTCAGTGGTTCTCAACCTTTTTTTTCTGGCGACCCTGGTCATAAGGACGCGCTGCGCATGCATGCTGCAACGCGCATGCGTGGCGGTGCCCCCATGTGTGGTGTGCACACGCGGCGGCGCCCCCATGCGTGGCACGCATGCGTGGTGGCATCCCCATGCGTGGCGGCCCCCATGTGCGGTGCACATGCGCGGCGCGCATGCGCGGTGCCGCCAGCTGAGAAAAAATGGCAGATCGCATTGTTTGGCGACCCCCGTGAAATGGTCGTTCGACCCCAAATGGGGTCGCGACCCACAGGTTGAGAACCGCTGGTTTAGGTGGTTTTATTTGTTAGATTCTTTATCCTCCCTTTCTTCTAGGAGCCCAGTCTTCATTTTATCACCACCACAACAACCCAATTAGATAGATTAGTCTGAGAGAGAATATGGCTAGACTAGGTGACTAAATTATAACGAAAATATATTTTATAAATGAAACAATAGAACCTATTCTTGAAAATCAAATACAGGCAATATTAGAAAACTGAACTTGTACAAGTGCATATCTTTAAAACAGCTGAGGCCAAAATTGCTATGATCTTTTAAAAACAAATTTCAAACATTTTTGAAGAAGGAAATAAACCAACTTTGTAGGATGCTACTTAAAATAGAAAAAAAAACGAATGAGAATTGTTAAAAACAGGTAATCCTCATCTTATGACCACAATTGTGCCAAAATTTATGTTGCTAAGTGAGAAATTTGTTAAGTGAGTTTTTCCCATATTACAACTTTTCTTGCCACATTTGCTAAGCGAATCACTGCAGTTGTTAAATTAGTAACATGGTTGTTAAATGAATCTGGTTTCCCCATTGACTTTGCTTGTCAGAAAGTTGCAAAAGTGATCACAGGACACTTTAGCCATCCTAAATGTGAGTCAGATGTCAAGCATCCGCTTATAAATCATGTGGCCATGGGATGCTTCAACAGTCATAAGTATGAAAAATGGTCATACTTATAAGTCACTTTTTCAGTGCATTTAACTTTAAACGGTCACTAGTGAACTGTTATAAGTCGAGGACTATCTGTATAAATGATTAAAGAAAATAAATACAAAGGAATTGTGTACTAGCATACTGTCCAATTGTTTTTTATTTACTGAAGTTAATGTTTCAAATTAAATATGCCAGATAGCTGCTATTTTAAGGATCACATTTTGGGGGATATATCAAGTATCACAAATTCCATTTTTCTCATCACAACCAAAGATTAAACCCATGGCATATCTTTAGAAGAAATCTATCTCCTTATTAATATGTTCAGGTTTTCATGTTGATCTCATAAATTCTATATATCCAATTCTAATACTGTTAAAAATAGGTTTTAGAGCAAAATTCACATCAATTGCTTCTCATTTACCTGGATTATCTTTATATAAGGATACTTGAGGCATTATGTTGTATGGAAGATAATTGTAACAAACTGTGGACAGATGTATAATTCCTCATTTTCTGTCTATTTGTTAGGTATCTATTACAAAATTTCTCATAAAGTCTATCAGATTTCACGGTACCAATTATCTATTTGGGAGAGAAGTAGAGCCTATATCCAGACTTGCTTTTTTATTTTCTTCTGCAAATATAAATTAATTGTAGCAAAGTTCTCAATGTTCTTCCTGAAAAGAATTATGTGTATATGGGATCTTAGGGTTTTGGACTCAAGAATGAACAACTCTCTCCAATCACGTAAACAATTCTAGTTTTGTTTCAGATTTATCTTCACATATTTCTATCCTGATAGAAACATGTTGAGGATAGCTTTTATATGCATAGGTAATCCTGTCCCTTGTTCCAATATTGAAAATGGTATGCAGCTTGTGCTATTTCAAGCAATGACTTAATTCATATTTAAGAGGTAATGTCCATCTTCAGCTAGAGAGATAACAGAGAGGTAACTTTCTAGTTAAAGTTCTTGGAGGAGGATATTAGAGACACTGAATTAAAGGAAATTGATGAGTGACTGAAACAGAAGTTTTTGATATTCAGTTCCTAGAACTTATTAAATGAACAATTCACTTATGATTTAACATACCTTGCATATACAGATATTAATATTAATACCAGAATATTTTTAGTTAATGAAAATAGACTTGATGAAGCCACTACAAATTTGATTAATTTTTATTATGTTTATGAGTATTTTTAAATGTTTTCAGAATTGTAACCTTATTATAATCTACTGATATTTGTGATTGATGTTTAACCAAATTATTGTCCAATTATATTAATTTATTTCTGTGCTTTAGTTCATAAAATGATAGCACAAAAGATGTTATATGCTAATGAAAACTTACTGGATTTCTAGACAAATCAAAAGAACCTTTATAATTAGTATATTTTATTTCATGTTGCAAAGTTATATAATAAAAACAACATGAGATGTTCTGTTATGAAATATTTGTCCAAAACAATAAAAAGGAAAGCTTGATCCACGCTGTGGAACAAAACAGTTATAGGAAACTACATAGCAATTACCCAGTGTAATCTTTGGCTCTTCCAGATGGGGAAGGAGTTGGGGCTTGGAAACAGGGAATTTTTGCCCCCTGGGAACTGAAGGATAAAAAGGAGAAATGATAGGGTTTTTTTTAAAAAAAAGCACTGGCACTCAGAAATGCTTCATTAGAGCACTTTTGAACTGGATGAGAATTCTTCCATAACAGAATTTTGTGCACATCTAAATCCAAAATTGCATAAAATCATCCCATATGGTTAATAAATAGGAATGTATATGTTAGTTTTATTTGTTTTTTTAAGTTTTGGCTTCCCTCTTTTTCCATTTGGCAGATTCTAAACAACTGTTCCAACAAAGGGACACGAGATTGCTGTTTGAATAAAGTAATTAATGCAATGCAATCTTACTAAATTGTTTAGAAACAAGTTTAATTGATTTTAAAGAGCTTTACTTTACAGGTATATATGTATAACATTTGGCTCACTGGTTTAGCCTTAATTGATTTTTGGAACCTGATCAATACCTAAAAGTATGTACACTATCCATTCTGATATTTTTAGAAAGAAAAAAGCCAATCAAACTAGTTGTATTTACTTGTTTGTGCTACATTTTTGTTTTTAAACTAGTTCATTTATTTCTTTTAATATACTGCTGTGATTTTATAGAAGTTATTTTGTGCAAATAAAATATTTCTTTAAATAATAATACATTTGCTTTAAATTACAGTAGTCTAATCATTTACTTTCACAGCAATACAATTACCTCAAATAATTATTTTTTTCATATATATATGTTATTTTTTCATATATATATGTTATATATATATGTTATTTTTTCATATATATATGTTATATATATACACAGTAAAAAACAAATAAACATGAACACCAGGATAATATCAAACTAGAAATTGTTTAATAAAATGTTGAGCTTTCATCGGCCAGCACTACCGACATCATCAGAGCATAAGAGCAAGTCAATTGGAGTCCCCTTTTTATGATACCAGTCAGTTTTGCACACGGCTCCTGGACCTGGTCATCGGTCCAGCCAACGTCCTTAATTGTTTTACTCCTAGGAGGCACGCATTAGCTGTTCCCTTGGTGTTTTTCAAGGTTGCTATTCCATTATCCACTTTCCTTCCTCCAATCCCTCCCCTTGTACATACACCGCTGTCTGTTATCCCACCACTGATTTCTAAAGCTGCTGTTCTCCCTTCCCCCTTCTTTTTGCCGATCGCTTTCTTTGTGTGTGTCCAATTATCTGCTTCCACCCCATTGAGTCTCGGGCTTGCTGCTCTCTCCTCCCCCTTTTTTTCCCCGATCATTTTCCTCATGTATCTGCGGTCATTCGCTGTATCTCCATTAGTTTTTAAAGTCGCTGCTCTCTCCTTCCCCCTTTCTCTCGGTATTTGCTTTGTTTGTATACCTCCAACTATCACATTGTGCTAAACGTTCTGGCTCATTCCCTCTCCTCACCCCCATCCCAGAGTGTATCCGTTCTTTCCCTATAGGGCTATCAGCAGGCTGTTTATCTAACCCGGTCCTCTTGCTCTTTCACCCTGTTGTTCCTGCGCGTATGCGGGCATTTCCAGAATAATCTGCCGAGTGTATTTGAATGTCTGTCCCGGGGGCTTCCGGCAGATACGTTCTTGTATTCGCTCCTCTACTGGGGAGTGTTGTCCCACTCTGGGGGTACTCCAGGGTATTTTGGGGACCTCTGTCCCGCTGTTCACTCCGATTTCCTTTCTCTTGCCTATTGTTCCTAGTCCTCGCACCTGCACCGCCAAACCATCTGCAAGATGCACATTGAATTCTGCTCCCCCATTTAATAACTCTCTTGCTTTTTTTGCTCATGTGCAAGCTCCCAAAGGTCGTTCGCAGGTACCCATTGCAGGGTTGTCAGTGAGCTGTGGCACTATTTTCATCCCATCCTCTCCTAACTTCATGGGGTGGTTTAAGTTGAGTATACCTAAGACATTTACGGGGTACATTTTTTGTCCCCCTTTCTCTATTCCCCTTATGGTATACACTGTTGATCTGTTGTTACTTCAACAGGTTGTTCTCTCTATTGCCATATTTCTCTGGCCTTGTGATGGGTGAGTGGATTGCTTTCGTTGGGATTCATGGCGTCATTTATCCCATGCTCTCAGCGTTTGGTGTGCTGGGCAGAGTTCTACGTGGCGGTTTATGGAGTTCTCGTCGGAGAGCCAAGCTCAGCATTTTATTAAACGATTTCTAGTTTGATATTATCCTGGTGTTTGTATTTATTTGTTTTTTTACTGCATGGCTTTACCCAGAATTCAAATTTTTAACATAATATATATATAGCAAATGAAAGAATATTTTTCTTAGGCAAGTCTATTTTTGTTGATTTCCATTTTGATGCTAAAACATGAATAACTTATTTTGATCTTATTAAATGTAATAGTAAAGTATTATGTTAAATTGGATGGGCTTCTATTAAAAGGGCATGGCCTATTTCACATATTTTTACACAATAAAAATAGGGCCCAGTTTGCTGTTATGAATTTTCTACTGTGTCCCCAAAAAATAACTAGCACAGTGAATTTGGTCAGTATCAATCAACTCTTTAAACATATGAGTCTGATGGCAAATGATTATTTTTTTTCTTTCTTATGATAATGAAAAGAGGAAAGACTTCTTTTTCTGCCCCCTAAATTCCAAACATTGATTAAGAGCTAAATAACCAACCTGATATTTTTGTTCTTGAGGCCCAATCCAGTATTTAAATCCACACTCAGAATCACAGGTCCTGAGTGGCTATTCAATCTAATAAATATAAATATGTAAAACTACATTTCTATAAGCTTTGTCTTTACCAAAGTTCAAATAGAAAGGGTGGAATTGTTAGCACCAAATTGAGATATCTTGAAAGTTTTAGTTTTACTATTGGGCTATGAAGCATTTCTATGAAAAAAAGAAAGTGGGGAAAAAAAGACAAAATACCCTATCTATTTTATTTGTCTCAGTAGAAGCTAGCATACACTCATTATCAGTGGTGGGATTTAAATAATTTAACAAACGGTTCTCTGTCCTATGACTGTTTTAAGTATAAAAAAAATGATATACCGAAAGGCATTTAATACTTAAATAAGAACAATAAAAGAGACACAGAAAACTAGATTATATTATAAGAGTTTTAAAATATTAATGAAAAAAATATTAAATAATACCTGACAAAAACAATCAATTAATGTATATGACAAACCTGTTTGTCACAAGAAAGTTGTGAGCATTCTTTCATAGCTTCCGAAATGGGCGATAAGATAACTCTTAAAATCTATATTTCTATTGGTTCATTGGTTCATTGTGTCCTACCATGGCCAGACAAAGAGACTACCCAGCAATATTATGCACATAGTCCACTTATTTAATATTTTAAAACATATGCAAATTACAGTTTCCTGCAATTTTATGGAAACATAATTCATCTTTACCCATTGTTGTTCTTGGCAATTCTGGGGTTTTAAAAATGCTAGATGCAGTGGTTTTCTCTTGTGATTCTTTTTCTGCTAATGAAAAAAATAGAAAAACATCATTTGGGAATTAGACACTTTCACATAAAACATTATTCTAATATTTTTGATAGAAGCTGATCTTTGTTTCAGTTTTGGCTACTTGGCATCTGCTATAAAAGCAACTTATCTCTTCACTTTCCACTTCTTCTGCAACGCCCCCTGGTCTGCATTTCATCATCAGAGGCCTTCAGGAAATGCCTCTGAAGCTGAGAATGGAAGTCCGGATTATCCCCAACCATCACCTTGCCCTCAGAGGCCTTCCAGAAGGCATCTGCAGCCAAGAACCGAGCTACAGATTCAATCCGTAGCTCGGTTCTCAGCTGCAGAGTCTTTTCCCGAGGGACTCTGACCATGAAATGCTGGCTGGAGGGCATGCACACATCAATCTGGAGTTCCATTCTCAGCTGCAAAGGCATTTCCTTCGGTTGCAGAAGAAGTGGGCCAGCTGGGCAGGGCTGTGGTGCCACCGCCACAAGGTGAGACCATGGAAAAGACACCCCCCAAAAATAAACCAGGTGCCTCTTTTGGAAGCAAAAAAAAAAAAAAAAGACCGATAAGACAGTCTTATTTTCGGGGAAACACGTAACCATATTGCAAATATATGCTGGATCATGGAAAAATCTCAGAAATATCAAAAGCATATCTACATGTGTAAGAAAGTTGATTATGTTGATCCTAACAAATTGTGGAGAGCCTTAGAAGACCTGGGAATGCCAACACATCTGCTCAAGTTGTGCAGTCACTGTATACAAATCAGAAAGGCACTATGCGAACAATATATGAGGGCACTGTTTAGTTCAAAACAGAGAAAGAAGTGTGGTAAGGTTCCATTCTTTCACCTTTTTTTCCAAACACATGGCAAAGCAATCATGTGAAAGCTGGATCTTGAAGAATCAAAAAAATACAGTAAATATTAGAGGAAAGAACATCAACAATTTTCAATATGTTGATGACAAAAGTCTCCTCTCAGAAACCAAAGAAGGCTGGAAACATGATCGAAAAGATTAAAGACACAGAGAGAGAGATTTGGCCTTTTCCTAAAGATCAAAAAGACCAAGCATAGGAGTAGAAAAGTCAAAATAACAATTGATAGGTAAGAGATCAAATGACTACAAAAAATCACTTTCCTAGTATTGCAGATTGATCAAAGCAATGAATGCAGTTCAGAAATAAAGGGTCAAATTGCACTGGGTCACACAGCAATGATGAACGTGAATAAACACAAACCAAAAGCAGGAACATCAGTCTGGCAATTAAATACAAATTATGCCTTGCTGTTGTTTTTCCAATAGTTACCTACGACTGCAAAAATTGAATCATGAAAAAACTAGACAAGAGGAAAATCGACTTGTTTTAGGTGTGGTGTTGGAGAAGGCTCTTGTACATTCCTTGGACAGCAAGGGTGACAAATAAGTAAGTATTACAGCTAATAAAACTAGACATATTGCTGGATGGAAAAATCATAAAATTCTGTCATATTTATTTAAGCCATATCATGCAATTGAACTCACTGGAAAAGGCAGCTATGCTTCCAATGATCAGTGGTAAAAGGAAATTAGGCTGCCAAAGACACAATGGCTTGACTCCATCAAAGCTGATACCAGCCAGAGCAAAATCAACTGAAAGCCATATACAATTGGAAAAAATGTAAAGAAAGCTGACTCATAGAATCACAGGGAATCAGACACTATTGAGCAGATAGTATTATCATCACACAATCTATTACATGCCACTCTAAGTTCTTTATCTGAATGTATCCAAAGGTAAACACCAATGTTATAATGCTTGTCTATAAATTATTTCAATATCTAGATAGCCGACTAGGAGAATGAGAATGGAAATCTCATATGATTTAAAGTTAATTAAAACAGTTGTTCTGACTGTTCATGTTGATAAATACCACATTTAGCAGAATATAATTTTATTCCTTTTGCTATGATCTTTTTAAAAAAGGTGAAATATTTTTTCTAAAATCATGAGCTAGATCTATATTTTGACAGATACAATGTTAAATCAACTAATGCTTTTTACTTGTTTTCTTACAAATACTCATGAAGCTGTGAAAGGACAGTTCTTCATTTTTCATAATTCAGATCAATGAATGCATTCTGTTTTAAACAAATGTGTTTTCTCTAATGGTTAATACTGTATCTGTAAACTGATAAATACATTTGAATGTTCCTTCTGTATGCATTCAGGTTTTTATTGTGCAATCATCTTGTTTCATTCATGGAATTTGTAAGATCATCCAGAAGTCATTGTTTTCTGTTGTAGCCCTTTCTCACTTTCTCCAACTTTCTTCCTACCACAAAATCACATGTGGGAAGGATGCTCAGAACAGCTTTTCAAGGCCTTTTTATTGATTTTACTGGAGTCTACTCTTTCTGAAAACATTATTGTTTATTATTTGCCATTGTGAAAAAGGAAGGTTTGTTACAAATTTCATAGGAAAAATATGGTTGAAAACATTTTAATCTCATAACATTTAAACCAAAACAAGCATAGTTACAAATGGAAAATTGTGAGCATCCTTGACCAAAGAATGCTAGAGAATTCTGGGAACCTTGGTATTCAGACAAATCAGCCATCAATAGACACATAGAGATAAACCACAATTATATATCGTTCAAAAGCAATAATAAAAAAGCTAAGAAGGAAACAAAAAGGCCAGAACACATATTCTCCAATAGCCAGTAGCCAATTAAGCAGGTATTAACATTGAACAATCATGTAGAAATCCTAATCAAGGTATTATCAAAGAGAAAATGACTCCCACCAACACTGGCAGGGCAAGCTACTTTATATACGAAGAACGGCTGCAGGATTTCGGTTTGGCTAGTCTAAAGAAAAGAAGAAATAGAGCAGACATGATAGCAGTATTCCAGTATTTGAGGGGCTGCCACAAAGAAGAGGGTGTCACATTATTCTCCAAAGCACCAGAAGGCAGGACATGAAACAATGGTTGGAAACTGATCAAAGAGAGAAGCAACCTGGAATTAAGCAACACTGGAATCAACCAGTGGAACAGCTTGCCTCCAGAAATCATGAGCGCTCCATCACGGGAGATTTTTAAGAGGGGCTGGACAGTCACTTGTCTGTGAGATGGTATAGGTTTTCCTGCTTGAGCAGGTGGCTGGACTAGAAGACCTCCAATGTCCCTTTCAACTCTACTCTACTTACTCCACTCTACTCTATACTCAACTCTACTCTAATTCTGGTACCTAGTTGGGTAATGAAAAGTGTGCAAGCAAACATCCAAGGCCAGACATCACCAAGGATTCCACAGCTATAACCCTGGGCTACATATATTCTGTTCTATTGAAAAATATAGTTAAAACTATATAACTTGTCAATAGATTTTTGTTACCTGGAGATGCTTTTAATTTTTCAGTGATCCTAGATATTTTAGGTATGTTTTGCTTCAGAGATGGTAGAGTAGAGACTAAGAAAAAATAAAATAATTCAAACACTATACAGGAAAAATAAATTTCATTCCTGATACTGAAAGCAAATATTACCCATTTATCCTATTTATTTATTTGTAATATCTGAATTGAAAGTAAAATCATCATGCACATACAAATATGTCTATATCTACACACAGTCAGTTTTATATACAAATGCACACACACACATACAAACACACACATACATACATATCCTATAAGACAGAGGTTTGATAATTTACCAAAGAGCCAGTCAATCAAAACTTTTTTGCATAATACCAAACTGACATTTAGGCTTTTCCTTTTCAACATAAGCACAAAAAGAAAGGATAAACCCACATGCTTTCTTCAAGTAATTGTACAAGATGTAAAAATGCAATATGGCTTGAAATTCCTTTTCATATACAAGATAAAATCAACATAAAATAATTTATATTTCTCAAATACTGAAAATAAAAATTATTCAAAGTTAGTATACTAATTATGAGGTTACATATAATGACTTTTTGCAAAAATATAAATTCATATTATAGTGATTCATAAACAAATTAATATACATAAATACATGCTTAAAGGTGTTTAATGACCAGGTTTCTCATGCCATTTTTCTGGGGTGCAGAAACCTTCCATTTCAATGTAATAAATGGGATTTCATGTGGTGCTGAAAAGAGGATCAGCTTTATATTTAAAATTGTTCATGATTTATAAACATCTCACACAAAAACGCACATGCAAGGATCTCGTAATGATGAAGAAATTCAGTTTGAAATGGACCAACAATAAGCTGATGAAAATGATAGAGATGTAATAGATGTTTTACAGTACTCAATTGAAAATCTCAATGTTCCCACAAGTGAGTAATCAGAAGGCAATCTACTCACACAGACGTTTCTAGATAAAAATGATAAATAATAATAAAAAAGAAATTCATGCATATCTAAAGTACAAAATTCAACAATGCACCACAATTTTCAAAGCATTTTGAGAGGATTTAAAGAAGAAGAAATTAGAGAAAGGTTAGTATGGAAGGAATAGTTATTGTATTCTCGAACAAATTAATTCATACGGAATGAAAATGTTTCTGATGAAATAGAAAACTCGGTATAATCATTTCCAGTGAAAAAAAATAACTTTACCCAGAGTTGCCCTTGGCCAGTCAAGAGTTTTAGATGTTTTGTATGGGAAAGATTCCAAAGTGGGTTCATCTGTTACTGCTAGGGGAAAAAAATGAAAGTATAAAAGATGGTGAGAGAAAAGCAATCTTAAAAAAAAACAAGGTTTTCCCTGTGGAAAAATATTTTTGGTTATAGAGGTTGAAGTGTTTTCATAGTTAATCTTTATTGCTTTTAATTCACCAATTTATTAGTTGTTATAAATGAAGCACTCAGTTTAAATTTGACACTGGTAAGAATTCTGTTCATGAAAATGTAGCTGAATTTGAACAAATGATGGTCTACTGACTGCTTTTATCAGAATCAATGCCACACATTACATTTTAGAGATTTCTAACCATTCTACTCAATCATATGGTTGGAAGGAATTTTAAAGGCCCTCTACTCCCATCTTTGCTCTGTGCAGGATTTCTGACACAAGGTCATCCATTTTTTTCTGAACATCTCTAGTAAAGTTATGTTATGTAAATATAGTGGCACAGAATTATAGGATTGTAATGAAGAGACCAAACATTTGCTCATAGAAGGTCTAAAATACAATTATATGTATTAATTACAAAATCTCAGTTTTTGCAGAGAATCAAAAAAGGATAACTTCCTTTTGAAAAATAAGCGCAACCTCCTTCATTTGTTGAAAAGAATATTTGGGAACTTTCTTTTTTCTTCCAACTAAGACTGATATATTTCTATTTCTCAGTGTTTTCAAAAGTCTGGAGTATCTTCTACCACAGAATAGATTGGTAAATTGAAAAATATCAGGGACAGTTTTTAGTTCACCAAATCTTCTAACCTAACCACCTCTTTTAAAGGTTTTGAAAAAGAGGCAAGAAATCTTTTCATTCAGCTAAGAAACTCTTCTCATTTTCAGAATGCAATTATTTGGATTCTCCCATATTATGCATTTCAGCAAAACAATGTGATTCTCAATTGCTTTTCATTATCAATGCCTTATCTATTTGTAAAAAAGAAAAAAAAAGAAAACTAGGAGTTATTCAGGGGTGGAATAGCAGATGTCTCTACTGAAACCTAAAAATAAAACTAAATATGTTTAACAATTATAACAAAATTTAAATGAGTCAGTGGTATATTTTAATGATGAAAAGAGAGAAGCAAGTTATTCCCAAGTATCTAATATGTAGGCAGCTTACTTTTTGTATTTAGCTCTGGTGTTAAAACCAAAATATCTACTATTAAGCCATAAGTAAATACAGGCTGGAATCCAATTAATATGTTCTAGGAGATTGAAGTACTGGGTGAAATTTTTGATTTATCTTGAACCACAAACTCTTTCACTTTCAAAATCAGATTGTGATTGGCTAGCAGGAAATGTAATTCAAGACATTTCTTTGGGAATCAGTTATAGTTTTTGACTTCTAACCCAGCCTATACGGGTGGTCAAATTATATGACCTCCAAAGTTGCAGGGAAATGCTGATGGGTACATTACATCCTCTGGACTAGGTTTTCATGTTTGTCATTTATGGGCCTTAGAACTTGCCTCTGCCTGGAAAAGGGCAGGATACCAATATTTTGGCTCAATGCCTTTTAAGGAAAATAATACATACTTATTAAAGTAACTTTTCATGTTTGAGAAAAAATAATGTGTTTTTATTTTCTATAGCTTCCATTTTATTGCATTGGCACAATTAAAGTGAAAGTCACTGATAAAAGCTTTTAATTTGGCCAAAGTTGTTATTAATTTCTATAATTAATCAATTTTTTCTAAATCTTAAAATATATTGACTAAATTTTAGCATCCCAGTCAAATTTTTAATTATTAATGTGCTCCAAAGCCATGTAAGCATTTTCACATTTTTTCCAATTGATTTTTCTATTTCACGTAAATGTTTTGGGATCAGTGGTGGCCTTATTACAATCAATACTTAGGGTAGAAGTAATACATACAAAATCTGCACTATAAAATCATGCAAAAAAAAGGACAACAAAAACTTTCTTTGTTATCTTCAAACTAAAAAGTTCAATTTGAGGACAATGTGGGAAATAATGTATTAATGGAATGCATAACTAGTGCTTAGAACCAGAGGAGAAAAACATCCTATAAATAGGTTTCAGTGCTTGAAACTGAAGGAAAAAAATGGGCAGCCGAGGTGGCGCAGCAGTTAGAGTGCAGTACTGCAGGCCACTTTAGCTGATTGTGTTCAGCAGGTCAGCGGTTCAAATCTCACCGGCTCAAGGTTGACTCAGCCTTCCATCCTTCCGGGGTAGGTAAAATGAGGACCCAGATTGTTGGGGGCAATGTAAATATATATATACATTGCTTACTGGTGTACACCGCTTAGAGAGTGCTTGCACTTAAAGTGGTATATAAATCTCATAAATAAATAAATTATTAAAATTTAAATGGCAAGCAACATCTATCTCAATAATAGATTATATTTCTGAACAGTTAAGTTTTGAGTTTCATCAACAAAGTTTTATGTCAAAATTAGTGATAATACTTGTCTATGCTGCACTGATCAGAAAGCACCTGGAATGCAATTTCTAGTTGCCACAATACAAAGATAATGCTAAGGAATTATAAAGAGTACCAAGAAGAGAGAAAACTTGGTTAAGGGACTTGGTCAAATTCTACAAAGAGTGGTTAAATGAACTTGATATGTTTAGCCTATAGAAGAAAAGGCTAAGAGGAGGCATGACAGCAATCTTCCAGTACATGATACAATGCTACAGGACAGAAGGTGTGGCTTACTCTCCATAGTGCCTGAAGGTAAGACAAGAACCAGATCCTAAATTGAGAAAAGAAGTTTTCCAACTATGAGAGCTCTTAAGCATACGAACAACCTCCTGAAATTGTGGATGCTCCATCAGTGGAAGTTTTCAAGAAAATATTGGACGGATATTTGTCTGGGATAGTATGTGGATTCCTTCACTGGGCAAGACATTAGACTAGTAGTTCTCCAAGATCCCTTCCAGCCTTGCGATTCATATTTTTCATATGCATCTTTTTGTCCCTCTTATTTCTTATATTGTGAGTGCCAAATCCAGTCTAAATATCTGACTAACTGTGTGTGACCAACCATAATAATAACACTCTATAATATTATAATATTATTTGGAAGAAAAAGTGTCAAAAATAGGGAAATCTTAAAAAAAGTTAGATGAACTAAAATGTTTCCTGATGTATGCACAAAACATATTTGATTTATGCTGCTAATTAATCCGTTTACAAACATGCTAACTTAGAAAAATGTTTTTTTTGCCAACAGAAAGGACATAACCTAAGAGTTTTTATTAGCAAAAAATTGCATGAATCATAGTTTTTGGCTGAAGGAATTGCATTTATCCTATTTGCAGATAGATTCAGATTATACATTTAGAATTATTTGTGTGGTGATAAATATAATACCCATTTTAACAAATAAGCCTTTTACAGAAACTTTAAACTCATAAGTAGGCCACCCAAATAGTTTCCTATAGAAAAAACAAACATTTTTATAACATTTTTATTTCATACAACTAAAACACTTAAATATATTGTTTGGACATATTTATTGAAGTGTCCCAAGAAAATTTACTTGAAATAAATAACAAACTAAGCAGTAAAATCTGACAGGCTTTCTTTGTAATATCAATTCGTTAATGGATCAAAAGGAGTTAAGGAAAATTGAGAGAAAAGAACACCTTTAAATCTTTAAATTTATGATGACAATTTTTAAAATGTTTTTATCCAATAAAAATAGCCTTATGGTTAGCTATCCATAAGTCAACTAGAGATTCTTGTGGAATAAATTTTTTATCTTTGACAATATTGTTCAGCTGACAGTGTCTGAAACATATATTATCTGAGTTTAAAAGATCCTCTCTCTATCAATGTTCTCATAAAACTTGACCTTTCTGACGTTGCTGTTTGTGTAGGAGAAAAAGTAAAGTTTTTAGTTTAATATTCATGTTGTTCAAAACTAACATCACAGCCCTCATCCTTTTAGAGGAGGCCCATTTATAATAAGACCAATATATTATTAAAATACATTTAATAAATTACAACACACTCTCTTTTACAAAAACCCCCTCACATTATACAATGTCTTAATCCTGTCTAATATATTCAGTCACAAATACCTTTCCAAAAAGACCTTCTCTAAGAAGGCCTCTTTTGTGTCAGCTCCAACTTCCTGCTGCTTAAACCTAAATACGAATTTTGTGTCTCATGCAAAATAATACACCATAATGTGAATTTTTCCTTTTGTCACAACATGATGTAGAAACTCTCCCATTATGATTTAGTATTATGTGTGTGAACTATGCCATTATGGCTTGATTAACAAAACACAATTCAAAGACAGGGTATTTTTGTATATCCACATACTCTGAATATTGTCTTGGAATCAAATAGGATAGCTTTGTTATATTTAGGAATATATTTCATTTCCGTACCTGATGAGTGGGGCATTTTCATTTCTACTCCCCAATTTTTCAGACACAATTTGAAAATGATCCACAATAGTCTTTACAAGCTTGAACATAGTGAATGAGGAGGTTTTACTGTAATTTTAGCTATACTGGAACTGAATCAGAAATAGAGTCATCATAATGGAAGTGCCTTTAGCTAAATATTCTTTGAACATATACAAAACAGCTTTATTTCTAAATTTCATTATTTGAATATAATGTTGGAGAAAAATTATTACCTGCTTTTGTCTGTATAGTCTTTAGAACAGGTGTTTCGGATTCTGAAGGAACTGGCTGCATTTTCTTTAAAACTAAAGTAAAAGAAATGGTCATTTTTTAACAAAAATATTGGCACAAATTTATATTGCAAAATTATGACTGTTCTGCAGTAAGTCTTCAGGGACATAATTTAATGCCAATTGAAGGATTTATGATATAAGAACTAAATCTATTCTTAAGATTAAAGAAAAATTTAAATATTAAATATAAGATGGGGTTCTAGGACTTTAATCCAAGAATGCTAATCCTTTTGAAGAATTTTAAAGCAAAACTATAATTAAAATAATATTTAAAAAATCATCTTTACCCGATGATTCTGTGGGCATGTGAGGTGTAGGAGATGGTCTTGCTTTTGGAATTCCTAGAAACTTGCGCAGATCTAAATATTAAAAGACAAAAAGAAAAAAAAAAGAAATGCCACTATATGATTTTATAAATCTTAAAAAATACTTATGATATAATGACATAATATAGTGGACATAATCTTATATTTTACACACTCTCTACTTATATAATGAGGATATAAACATTTTTACTAAATTAGACCAAGGGAAACAGACTTATGATCCCAATTAGGACCAGAATTTCCATCGCTAAGTGATGCGGTTGTAAAGCAAAAGGCCATGTGATTGCATCTTGCTTAGTGACTGCAATCCCGGAAGTCCCAGTTGTCCTTGTTAACCAAGAATTATACTTGTTAAGTGAGTATCAATCCCAGTTCAAACCATTCCAGCTTAGTGTCTCAATAAAGTAAGCAATTGCCTATAACTCCCTCACCGTATCTGTCTCAACTCATTGAGGAATGCTGAAACATCGATAACTTGAGGCATGGGTCATACCGTAAGTCCCTTTGTATAGTAACTTTGAGCATTCACTATACAAACAATTATAAGTTGAGGACTATCTGTCTAAGCATCTGTACAGGATGCTAGAGAGGGTAATATGCATGGTTAGGCAAAGACACCAATGGCTAATAAAAATAAATATGAGACTGGACGTAAAGGACCCTGTTGCTCACCAACTTGTAAAAGCTTGTATTTTGAGAATTTTAACATTTTGTTTTGTTAAAATGCAATTGAAAAATATATTGACTACAATCCAATACAGTAATTCATCATGGTGAAGATTTATTTCAGTAAGATTAATCATATTTAATGTCTGTTGGATTGTGGCCATTCCTTTATGAAAATAAAGCCAATCCTTTTTATAACCAAACTGCATGATGAGTAAAATTACCATAAATAGAAAACAAAAGTAAACTCTGCTAGTGGTTTTTCAATGGCATTCTTAAAGCCACAACATTGCACACTGTTAATTAGTTTAATAGCAAAGATGGCTTAGGAAAACCAAGAAGTTTTTTTTTTAAGTGAGATAAATGAAGTACTAGTAGTATTAGTTGTAAAGAATGAAAGGCAAAAGATTCAATTCCAAGCTAGGTTAATTTTCATGGTGATACTTTTAACTAATGTTTTTTTAAAAAAAGTTATCATGAAACATGAATTCTGGAGGGATATATGGTATAGTGAAGATATCTTCACAAAATCAGAGCCAACAATGATGACTAGTAACAAGATAGATAGACTCAGTTACAATGGTGAAGAGTGCATTGCTAAAATACCTAAAAGATCAGATTAGGGGTAGATGGTGAGGAAAAAATTCTATCTACAGTATGTAGTTTCTAGGAATAAAAAAAGACTATATCAATAATCAAAAATCAAAAGATATATTAATGCAAGGTATTTAATTGATTTAAATATCATGTTTGTATTATACATATTAGAACTATTCAGTAGCTTTGCAATGATAATTGCGTAAACAAAGTATTACCCAATGTGACAGGTGGCATTTCAGTCATGGGAGCTTTGCTAGGTGTTGAAGATTCCAGTTCACTTTCAGTGTGAGCTAAAATGAATCCAAAGTAATACCTTTTCTTTAGTTAGGAATTATACTGTGACTACATATATGGCATACTATACTTCAAACAAAGCAGGGATTCACACAGTACTTTGTGTTTTCATTTCATTGCTCCAAATGCTATGTTGCAATTGATAAAGGAAATGGAAATATTTCAGTGAGCAATTAATAAAGAAACATTAGATGACAGAATATTTTTCAAAATCTTACTATTGAAATATCCCTGAAAAAGACACAGGAAATATGTTTTCCTAGGGAATAAGTCGCTTTGAATAAAATGTGTTTTACCTTTCAATAAACAAACATTGGATTGCACTACTGGGAAGTGTTACACACTCCTCTGTTAAAGATAAGTTTCCTTATTATATTTTGTTCTTCAAAATTAAAGTGAAACATCATTAATCTTGGAAAATCTATTTCACCTGCTACTATCATCACTCCTTTTTCTAATTCAAAAATTCTTTTCCTTTGCTCTTTTTATTCTTTAAATTTCTGAAGAAATGGAATAGTCACTTTTTTGTTAAATAACTTTTTTTGATATAAGCAGGTTCACTTAATATCTAAATTCATCTATATTCATAACTCTGTTCATTAACAGGAGACATTTCCTTTTGCCAAGTCCTTCCATCAACACCCCCAAACTCTCTTCCTTAACTACCATCTTCTCTTTGGAGTATAAACTGGGAAGGGCTTTGATTAGCAGTCTTTATAATTGTTTGAACTATATTTGAATACATGTAAAATATTCATAAACTTATTATATGATTCATTTCTGGGCTTTGAAGATTTAATTTCATTTCCGAAGCTTTAAAAAAATGTAAGGCTATTTTTATAAGAACTATTTTTTTCATTAGCCATTCACAACCAGATGTTTTCCTGATATGCCAGAACTACAGGCCTTAGAGCCAATAGAACTATTGTCCATGAACTACAGATACTTCCAGCTTATATAAAGTGAACCAGACTGAAAAACCTTTCCTTACTTTCTGTCAACGTAGCACCTGCAGTTATGTTCTTAAAATACCAAAAATTAAAACTGAATAATGTTATACAATGTACTGTTTTTATGTGCCATTACTTTTCTATGCAGCTATTTTGGGCACAATCTTACAATTATTCAAAAAGTTGACCAATGCTTTAATTAGAAATTCATTTCTGAATAGTACTTCATAGCCTGAAAAAAAAAAAGCAGTGCATCATTGTGGCACAGTTTCAGTTTAGTACATGTTAATTTTTAATTCCAAACAGCAAAATAAAGCATGGAAATAATATGTTACCTTGACTGACTGTAGAATCTTTTGAGACACCAGCAGCTGTAGATTTACTCTTTTCCAAATCTTGTTCAACCATAGTTTTATGAAGAAGGAGAAAGGGAGAGAGAGACACAGAGAGAAAAACTATTAGTGTAAATCAAGTTTAGCCTTATCGGTAAGCTAAATTATGGTTTAAACCAGTGGTTCTCAACCTTTTTATACGGCGACCCCGGACATAAGCAGGCGGCGTGCATGCGTGGTGCCGCCCCCTGCGTGGCGCGCATGCGTGGTGCCGCCCCCTGCATGGCGCGCATGCGTGGTGCCGCCCCCATGCACGGTGCGCAGGCGTGGTGCCGCCCCCATGCGCCGCCCCCTGCACGGCACGCATGCGCAGCGCCACCCCCTGCGCCAGTTGACAAAAAAAATGGCAGATAGCGTTGTTTGGCGACCCCCGTGAAATGGTCGATCGACCCCAAATGGGGTCGCTACCCACAGGTTGAGAACCGCTGGTTTAAACCTAAGAAAGACATGCTCCTCTTAATAAAATACATTAGACTATATTTGGGCTTGGAAGCTAAGCTAGTTAGTACTTGGATAGAATATTACCAACATATTCCCTAGTTTGTAAACTAGATTAAGAAACTGAATAACATTTCAAAAGTCTTTATAATTGTTTGAACTATATTTGAATACATGTAAAATATTCATAAACTTATTATATGATTCATTTCTGGGCTTTGAAGATTTAATTTCATTTCCGAAGCTTTAAAAAAATGTAAGACTATTTTTATAAGAACTATTTTTTTCATTAGCCATTCACAACCAGATGTTTTCCTGATATGCCAGAACTACAGGCCTTAGAGCCAATAGAACTATTGTCCATGAACTACAGATACTTCCAGCTTATATAAAGTGAACCAGACTGAAAAACCTTTCCTTACTTTCTGTCAACGTAGCACCTGCAGTTATGTTCTTAAAATACCAAAAATTAAAACTGAATAATGTTATACAATGTACTGTTTTTATGTGCCATTACTTTTCTATGCAGCTATTTTGGGCACAATCTTACAATTATTCAAAAAGTTGACCAATGCTTTAATTAGAAATTCATTTCTGAATAGTACTTCATAGTCTGAAAAAAAAAAAAGCAGTGCATCATTGTGGCACAGTTTCAGTTCAGTACATGTTAATTTTTAATTCCAAACAGCAAAATAAAGCATGGAAATAATATTTTACCTTGACTGACTGTAGAATCTTTTGAGACACCAGCAGCTGTAGATTTACTCTTTTCCAAATCTTGTTCAACCATAGTTTTATGAAGAAGGAGAAAGGGAGAGAGAGACACAGAGAGAAAAACTATTAGTGTAAATCAAGTTTAGCCTTATCGGTAAGCTAAATTATGGTTTAAACCAGTGGTTCTCAACCTTTTTATACGGCGACCCCGGACATAAGCAGGCGGCGTGCATGCGTGGTGCCGCCCCCTGCGTGGCGCACATGCGTGGTGCCGCCCCCTGCATGGCGCGCATGCGTGGTGCCGCCCCCATGCACGGTGCGCATGCGTGGTGCCGCCCCCATGCGCCGCCCCCTGCACGGCACGCATGCGCAGCGCCACCCCCTGCGCCAGTTGACAAAAAAAATGGCAGATAGCGTTGTTTGGCGACCCCCGTGAAATGGTCGATCGACCCCAAATGGGGTCGCTACCCACAGGTTGAGAACCGCTGGTTTAAACCTAAGAAAGACATGCTCCTCTTAATAAAATACATTAGACTATATTTGGGCTTGGAAGCTAAGCTAGTTAGTACTTGGATAGAATATTACCAACATATTCCCTAGTTTGTAAACTAGATTAAGAAACTGAATAACATTTCAAAAGCACTGATAAACTATTTTATTGCTGTTGCTAAGAAATGAACACTTATGTCCCATGTAGCTATCAAATGTTAAGTTCGATTCCAAGGTGTTTTTTCTATATGATTAAGGTTGCAGCTAACAAGTCAGTCCTACTCTCTGAAATCAAATAATTCTGAATTCTTGAAAATGGAGCACAAAAAGCCTAAAATAGCAGTCTTATTTATTTGTAAAGTTTGTGGCACTATAAAAATGAGAAAAATGAACTGCTAAAATAAGAAACTAAATTCTAAACCTGCACTCTGATAGCAAGTCAGGTGTGATATAAAATACTATATGTGACTTTAAAAGCACACACGTACAATATATTACAAGCCCATACTCTTCAAGCATTCTGATAAATAATGTATAAAGGACAGACTGTGACTATAGTACCTTCACACTTAATAAAAAAGCAAAAATGACTCATCCTCTGCAAGAACCAAAAGCTCTAACACTCATTAAGGGATTTTTACTAAACCAGGAGATTCAAGTGCAAATTGATATTTGGCCTAGATTTGATAGTTCACCTCATTTTCCCTCTTACAACCCCATTCTAAACTAGAAATCTGCATTAGAAAAATAGTTGTTTGTTCAAATGGCAGCTTTATTTTTTCCAATGCAAAATTTACTGGAATTGGGTCTGAAGTGAGCTTGATCTCATATAAACATCCAGTCAGGTTCTGAAAGAATATTTACTCAAAGGGAAACTATATGATTAAGGTCATTAAGGCCTTCAAAAAAGAAGTAATCAAATAAGTTACAAGGCCCACAACCTTGTATTTCATCTGTATGATTTATCATATGAGGCTTCAGAAGGAGTCAGACCCTTGTATTTTTTTCATTAACTGAGTGTTACCCTAAATCTTCACACCCATCTGTAATTCATCAGCTGCCTTAACTTCTCAGAGTTGCCTTGATCTTAATCTCTAAATTCATTTTCAAAAGGGAATATGTACAGCTATTTAGGTTTACTGTTGTACTAGATTCAGATACTCTTGTCTCATTCATCTATGTTTGTTTCAGTAGCTCACTCATCATCAGTTTCTCTTTGTTCCCCAGCATTTAATGAAGTCCTAGTTTATGTTACTCTTATATTTGAGCTAGGGCGCAGTATTGCTGGCTGTGGAATTCTGGGAGTTGAAGTCCACATGCCTTAAAATTGTCAAGGTTGAGAAACACTGAGCTAGGCAGATAAAGCATTAGGGAGTCTTTTCCCCAGGACCTCTACTGGCAAGGTAGGTACCATCTGGGATTCAAACTATGGTCTCCTGTATCAAAGGTCACACTCTAACTACTATACCTCTAACTACTATACTATCCAGCCACTATATGAACAAGTACTGTAATAACATATTGGAAAAAGAAAAGACAAACACCACCAGTGCAAAGTGGCTAAAGGACATGAGAACAAACCACAGTAATTTCCCAGAACCACAATATTCCAGAATTCATAATAGCAGGCATCCAACAGTAGGTCAGGAATATGAAGAGCTGGGTAGCATCTGGCTCACACATGATCCCCACCTACTGGTTAAAGAAACTGAAAGCAGTGCATGGATGTTTACAATACACTACTGCCTCAATAATGCCTCATCAGTGGGACTGGGTGAATACTATTTCTGATATGTGTCCAGTAGCCTTGTTCACCAATGGACAAAAATGCATTTTACGCTGCACTGTCTAATCCATGGAGAAGGAAGGCAGATTTATTGAAAAGAAGAAAACAGTTTGGTCTGCTGCTATCAGGTCTCCAGCTCTTGGATAATCAGAAAAATGGTATCACTCTTTCTTATCTCCACTCATTGTATTTCTTGCCAACTTGAGGGAACCTGCTTCTCTCCACAGTGTGAGAAGCGGAAAAACTGGTTCTCTTGTCATACATCTTTAACTGCTACCTTCTGAATTAAAACTTCATAAAATTGCACAAGATTGCACAAAACACAGATTAATGTATGTTCAGTGATTCTCTGGAAGTCACTGAATAAAAAAGCAATAAAAATCAGGAAAATGTATGTCTCTCAATATATTTTCCTAAATAATGTGATATGATTAATGTAAGATAATTTTAGTGCAATATAAATAAATAAAAATTCTTGTCAAATCACTATGTAGAAAGAAAGAGCAAAATAATCACCAATCTGGGATTTGGGGGTGATTTCTTTGACTTCTGATATCTTTGATTCTGGGAGCCATTCTTGAGTTTTGTTCTTAGCTGCATAAAGCAAGAATGAAGGGATAGATGGGGAACTCATCAAATTTGCAGATGACACCAAGCTGGCAGGAATAGCCAACACTCCAGAAGACAGGCTTCAGATACAGAAGGATCTGGACAGACTTGAACACTGGGCATTAACTAACAAAATGAAATTCACTGGTGAAAAAAGCAAGGTTCTACATTTAGGCAAGAAAAACCAAATGCACAAGTACAGCATAGGTGGCACCATGCTCAATAGTAGTAACTGTGAGAGGACCTCGGAGTCCTAGTAGACAATCACCTAAATATGAGCCAGCAGTGTGCTGCAGCTGCCAAAAAGGCCAACACAGTGCTAGGCTGCATTAACAGAGGGATAGAATCAAGATCCCGTGAAGTATTAATACCACTCTTCAATGCCTTGGTAAGGCCACACTTGGAATACTGCATCCAGTTTTGGTCACCACGATGTAAACAAGATGTTGAGACTCTAGAAAGAGTACAGAGAAGAGCAACAAAGATGATTAGGGGACTGGAGGCTAAAACATATAAGGAACGGTTGCGAGAATTGGGTATGTCTAGTTTAACGAAGAGAAGGACAAGGGGGGACATGATAGCAGTATTCCAATATCTCAGGGGCTGCCATAAAGAAGAGGGAATTAAGCTATTTTCCAAAGCACCTGAAGGCAGGACAAGAATCAACGGGTGGAAACTAATCAAGGAGAGAAGCAACCTAGAACTAAGGAGAAACTTCCTGACAGTGAGAACAATTAATCAGTGGAACAGCTTGCCTCCAGAAGCAGTAAATGCTCCAACACTGGAAGTTTTTAAGAAGAGACTGGACAGCCATTTGTCCGAAATGGTGTAGGGTTTCCTGCCCGAGCAGGGGGTTGGACTAGATGACCTCCAAGGTCCCTTCCAACTTTACTACTATTACTAATGCAATTCTTAGTTTAAAAGGAAAGATATTTCACCTAGATCTGCAAATAAGGTTAAGTACTTGTAGTCAGGCTGTCTGAATCAGAATACATTGATTCAGTTTACTGTTTAAATCACTAATGCTATATATTTTGGTTTACCATATGTACAATCTAAATAAAAGTGCATGTATCTTTATTTTCAACTTTCATTAATATAAAAACTTTACCATATTGCCTGAAAATCTATTGTTTTAATGCAAATTTCCCAGGGAGAAAAATTATTTTATATACTTTCAAAGGCTTTTCTACATACATTTTCTGATGCAAGCTTTTAAAAAAATTAAAGTGTGTTTAAATGCTTTTTGAAAACCTATGTTTTTGCTAAATAAATCTATCACAGGCAAATGCTTTCTTTGTGTACATATTTGGAAATAAAAAGCCAAATGATAACTAACTCCATTCAGTCTATGTTCTGGTGGAAATTGTTTATTTAATAATAATAATAATAATAATAATAATAATAATAATAATAATAATAATAATAATAACATTGATAGACTTTATCTACCAAGGCAAATAGGTGGGCGTGGAATGCTACAAGTACATCAGATGGTTGAAGAAGAAAAAATGGCTTTGGAAGAATATCTGAAGAACAATGATGAAGATGCACTGAAATTAGTATATCAGGAAGGCTTACTAACTACTGGAGAGACCAAACTGGCCTACAAGAAAGACCAAATGAAGAACAGAATAGAGGCATGGGAAGACAAAGCACTACATGGCCAATACATGAAAAAAATAGCTGGGAAAGCAGATAATAATAAAACCTGGCAATGGCTAAGAGCAGGAAAATTGAAGAAAGAGACCGAGGAACTAATTCTGGCTGCACAAGACCAAGCCTTAAGGACAAATGCATACAAAGTCAAAATTGAGAAGACAGCAACAGACAGTAAGTGCCGCTTATGCAAAGAAGCTGAAGAAACAGTGGACCACTTGGTAAGCTGTTGCAAGAAGATTACACAGACTGATTACAAGCAGCGGCATGACAAAGTAGCAACAATGGTGCATTGGAAGATCTGCAAAAAATATCATTTGCCTGTAAGCAAAAACTGGTGGGATCAGAAAATAGAGAAAGTCATAGAAAATGATAAAATTAAACTGCTCTGGGACTTCAGAATTCAAACAGACAAGCACCTGCAACATAACCCCAGACTTAACAATTGTCGATAAGAAAGACAAAAAAGTCTGGATAGTGGACTTGGCAGTGCCTGGAGATAGCAGAATAGAAGAGAAAGAACTGGAGAAGATAACAAAATACAAAGACCTACAAATAGAAATAGAAAGACTGTGGCAAAAGCAAGCAAGGGTAGTACCAATAGTCATAGGCTCTTTGGGTGCAATCCCAAAACAACTGGAGCACTACTTGAACACCATTGGCATTGACAAATTTGCTATTAGTCAATTGCAAAAGGCGGCCTTATTAGGAACTGCTTCCATCCTGCGACGATATCTGTAATACCCTCAAACATCCACATCTGCCTATCCCAGGTCCTGGGTAAGGACTCGATAGGTAGACAAAATGCCAAATCCAGTCTGAACATCTGGCTGACTGTGCGATGATCCATAATAATAATAATAAAGTTTGAAGGCACCTTGGAGGTCATCTAGTCCAACCCCCTGCTCAGGCAGGAAACCCTATACCATTTCAGACAAATGGCTGTCCAGTCTATTCTTAAAAACTTCCAGTGTTGGAGCATTTATCACTTCTGGAGGCAGGTTGTTCCACTGATTAATTGTTCTAACTGTCAGGAAGTTTCTCCTTAGTTCTAGATTGCTTCTTTCCTTGATTAGTTTCCATCCGTTGCTTCTTGTTCTGCCTTCAGGTGCCTTGGAAAATAGCTTGACTCCCTCTTCTTTATGGCAGCCCCTGAGATATTGGAACACTGCTATCATATCCCCCCTTGTCCTTCTCTTCATTACACTAGACATACCCAATTCCAGCAGCCTTTCCTTATATGCTTTAGCCTCCAGTCCCCTAATCATCTTTGTTGCTCTTCTCTGTACTCTTTGTAGAGTCTCAACATCTTTTTTACATCGTGGTGATCAAAACTGGATGCAGTATTCCAAGTGTGGCCTTACCACAGCATTGTAAAGTGGTATTAATACTTCACGTGATCTTGATTCTATCCCTCTGTTAATGCAGCCCAGCACTGTGTTGGCCTTTTTGGCAGCTGCAGCACACTGCTGGCTCATATTTAAGTGATTGTCCCTTAGGACTCCAAGGTCCCTCTCACAGTTACTACTGTTGAGCAAGGTACCCCCTATACTATAACTGTACATTTGGTTTTTCTTGCCTAAATGTAGAACCTTACTTTTTTCACCATTGAATTTCATTTTGTTAGATAGCGCCCAGTGTCCAAGTCTGTCCAGATCCTCCTGTATCCTAAGCCTGTCTTCTGGAGTGTTGGCTATTCCTGCCAGCTTGGTGTTGTCTGAAAATTTGATGATTTCCCCATCTATCCCCTCGTCCAAATCGTTGATGAAGATGTTGAAGAGCACTTGGCCCAGAACATAGCCCTTGGGCATTCCACTACACACTTCCCTCCATGTAGACCACACGCTTTATTTTGCTACATTTTGCTGAGTTTGCCCAGGATAACAGTATCCATAGTAAATGAACTAAACATCAAATAAATAATATATCTAAACAAAATTATAGTAATTTGAGACAAACATTGTAGGCAAAATAAACTATAACACAAAACCATATCAAAACTTTATGTACATTCCCATTTATGAGTCTTAGTTTAGTTTAGTTTTTTTTAAAGTCTACACTGATTCCCTAAATATAATGATAGGGAAACAATTGAATTAGTTTCTGAAGCACATCATGACCTAAGCAATTTATTTCAGCACATTTATCACATAGAAAAATTGAGCAAATAGACTTTGGAACTTTTACAGGTAATAATCAGAAACATTCAGTTCATGGGATTCTTAAATGGAAAAAGTCATTAGCAGCAAATAAGACTTGGAACATCAGAAACAATCGTAAACTGCTCTCAGTTGAACTTTATCTACAAAGACTTACTTTTAAAGACCTCATTAAATAGCAATTTGTACTGTCTGGAGGTTAATTAATTCTGGAGTCATAGAAGAAGTTAGTCTTCTCCCTTATTGTCATAATATAATTCTACAATACAGAGTAATGAGGCTATTTGGGCATAGATCTAGCTGCTGTATATTTAGAGTTTTATCTTTATCCTTTTTTCTTCTTCTAGCCAATGTCTCAAAGACTGCCTGTACAAGTCCCAGCAATATTTTTGCCAAGTTTTTCAGAAGTGGTTTGCCATTACTTTCTTCCTATGAATGGAAGAAAGTGATGGGTCCAATGTCTGTCTTCTGCCTTAGGTCAGCATAAATTGTGGTTAGTTAACCAGGTAAGTAAGGTGGCCTTTTGGTAGCTGAGTGGTATACATCGAACAGCTTGTTTGCCATTTTGTATCACGGGCATGGTTAAACATATGCCACTCTTATGTACCTGAGAGAAAAATTCTATTCATCTAAGATTTTCTACTTACCTAGAATTTGTTTTGGTTTTTCAAATATATCGAACCTTGAGGAAGATGGAGGTTTCTCTTTTGTTGCATTGAAATCAGGAATAATAAGGTGCACTACACATACGAATAAATGAATCAGTTAATTATTTAGAAAAGTTTCTACGTTTCCAGTTCTGTAAAGATTAGTATCAGCAGTAGGAAGAGTCAGCTGGAGGAATAGAGGCAGGAAAAGGATTATAGCTTCAACTTATAAGTATAGAAAATGATGTATTTATTTTTCAATAACTGCCAATAATAGACATTCTTTACCACCCCAGAGAGGCTTTATGAAGTTACAATACATCAGCTTTTTAAAATCCCTTTACCTATTTTCTGGATATAGCAGAATCCCAAAACAAATTTTTGATATCATTCAAATTGTGATAATGCTAATAAAATAAAGCATTATTATTACCAGCAAAGTTGGCACTACCAATTACTGAAAACCCTAACAATCTATTTTTAATTTCTTTTTTATACAGTTCCATGATCAAATGCAATACAAGCTAATAAGAACTGGGTTAGCTATTAAATCCATTTAGAGCCTCCCAAAAATAAGTTGTGAAAGTAAGCCTATAAAAATAATGACCATCTTAATTACCTAATATTGGTCCTGATAAAGGAGGCCTCTGTAGAATTTCAGACTGTGTCCGATGTGTAATATTTTGAAGAACTATGGAAATAATAAGAATGAATCTGTTAAAAATCTATATATTTGTTCTAATGTTATAAACCTGACACACTATGGTTGATATGAAAGATTCTGAATGGTTCTTATAAGCTACAATGTTTTTGATTAAGTTATACATATACATATACATATATATGGTTAATTCTATATAAGTTGTTCCCATTGTCTAACTTTAAACCCTGACGATGTCGAAAGTTCCCGATGAAAGCTCGGTATTTATTAAAAATTTTCCAGTTTGGACTTTCCTGGTGGTCGTGATTGATTTATTTTATGACATGATATACCCAGGAATCGTATTTTCACTGACATTATATTTGTTATTTATGAAATTATGAAACACATTATTTAGTATTATGTAACATTATATAATGAAAATGTGGATTTGAAGGTGAAAAACTACCAGTCAAGGAAACTTTGGAAACTGCAGATAGGGCACTAAAAAAAAATCAAGGTGATTTTAATGAAAAAGATTTGGCAGATTTACACCAGGTCCAAAGTATGTTTGAAGAGCTTGGAGATAATACAAAATGTACCTGTTAGCTTATGTTGCAAATGAAATTTCTAAAAATGAAGGGGGAAACTATATTTGAGAAACACCTATGTGAAAGGGGAATTAATAACTTGGTTGTGGAGTAATTATGGATTATTTCTTTAAATTGGTATGCAACCCTTAAAATCAACCTTTTTCAACACAGCTTCTATCATCAAATATAATGAATAGGAAAATTGCATCAAGGAAATATATTGGCAGGCTAAAGGAATGTATAAGGATGCCAGCTCATTAAAAGACAAATGAGATGGGGCCAGAGTGAATCAATGGGATAGATTTCTATTCCTAAAGGATCCTGATACTTTATGTATGTAACAATATGGTATGTGTTGTTTCTAGTTAAATTTGAGCATACTTATAAAATATTCACCATTAATATCAGATGTATGGGTTCCTGATATAATGACCATATACAAAATTGGAGTAGATCTCACCAGCTCATCATCTCACTTTCCAAGCTTTCAAAAAGCTTTTGACCTATCTAATTGTTAAATATATGTGTGGCTATATAAATATTTTAAATTAAATAAATAAAATAAAATTAAATTTAAAAATGTTGTATTTCTGTATACCATTTTTGCTAAGTGGAAAGCTGGGGGGAAGGAGTTGTTTGGGAAAGAAACATACCAAATTATACCACTCGTAAAATGTGTCTAGAATGTTTTTAATAACCTACTTGATAAAGAGCACAGCACCTTGTGAATAATTAAAGTAAATATATTGATATCAATACAGTTTTATTTGCAAAAAGCTTGTGATAGTTATTCTGTATAACCTTTCTTGATTCATTCTTCTTTTTAAGGCTACATAAAAAGGGATTCTTGCTTTGTTGCCAAACCACTGGGGGGGGGAGACGATGAACTCAATCCAGATTTTGTTTAATTTTCTGCAAGGATGACAAACTCTGCTATATAACATGACAAATGCAAGATTTTTCTCACTCTAAGGGGAATTGTCTGAAACAACTGAATTTGCTGAAAGAGTTGGTATTTTAGAATATGTCCAGCATACTTAAGTTAAGCATATGTATTTTTGCTTCAATTGCATACAAGCAACACTCTTTTTTTCATGCACATTCTTTCCATTCTATAAATATAAGCACACAAAATCCCACAATACCTTGTTTGATTACTTTAACTGGAACAAGAGTTTTTGAATCTGGTATAAACTGAAGAAAAGTTAAAAAAAATAATGGATACATGAAATATCATTATATATATTTTTAAAGATACAAATATTGTTCTTTCCTTCTAAAATTTGTTTTTCTCAATAGTGCATGTAACTTTCATATGCACAGCAAGTGCATCAGATCACAGTTTAATTAAAATATTTTGTTTATTTCATAGTAAATGTTTTATGAAGTGTTTTAAACATGTCATTAATATCCATTCCAGCTGCTGAAGGGCACCGGAGAATAAAAATGGTGCAAAGATATTGTAATCTAAGCATTGAAACAGTTGTTGCCAAACTTTAAAGATTCTTAAAGGCCTTGGTCAGAATGTTCATTTGAAAAGAAATTCCACATCTATTCCCCTCACAATCCTATAACAGAAAAAAATATTTTTCCATTGTTTTTTGTCCAGTGCTGATAATCCAGAGCGGTGTTCTCTGGGGAATTTTGGGAATTGAAGTCCACACATTTGCCAAGGTTGAGAAAAACCTCTTTTTTTTCTTCAATGGCTAAATTATATTTTGGATGGAGCTGTGCCCCAGGTGTGCAGTTTGGAATTTGTTATCACCCTTTAAAGAGGCCCCTGAAACAAAACTTTCAATGTATACTTCATAGTTAAATAACAACTCCTATTTTAGTCTAATAAATGAATGATTTTTTGGAACCATTCCCACAACATCCAAATTTTATTTTTTTTGGCCTGCATTATTAAATCGGTATTGTATGAACAAAAAAATCTATGGATCCTTAAGGACTAACCTAACCTAATTGCCAAGATATTTTATACCCAAAATAAAAATCCATCACAAGTAAAGATATAGCCTTTAAAATTCATTTTTTCATTATATGTCAGGAACAAACAATATATTTTGAGAAAAATGCAATGGAAGATGAAACTAATTAATAAAAACTAAATTAATTCATTTTTTTAAAAAGTCAACATTCTCATTGCAATCCTTTTAATAAGTACTCGTACAATTCTCACAATTTATATCATTTGCATACAATAAGGGAAGATCATTTTAGTTATTTATTGAACAAGCCATGTACAAACCCGAATCAATGTTACATTTAAGTAAAATAATAATGGCTTGATCAAACTGATTGATTATCTATGAACTGTTTCACTAAACTATCCCCTCTCATCCCTACTCTCCCTAATAATTAAATGAATGAACAGGTTTTTGAGTGGAGCAAGAGTGCCTCAACAGTGGGTGAAAACTGGGAGGCCTAGTGCAGCATCAGCCCACCTGCTTCAGACCTCCCAAGGTCCCCTCCACCCCCTGGATATCCCATGTTTTGCTTCCTACCCTTGGATCCACACAGCCATTTGGGTATCCAGCTACTTCTTCATAATCAGTCACTTATCTTCTGAAGATCTCCAGACCTCAGGAAGTTGGAAAGGAGAACAGGATGCTCCTTTGCTGGACCACATGGCAAAATCCCGCAAGCAGATGGCCGCTTGTGGGATTGTGCCATGTGACCATTTGAGAAGCCTGTTCTTCCCTATCTGAGGTCTGGAGAAGTTAACTAAGCAATTGGTGACTGAAGTGGGGAGGAATGTGTGGAACCCAGTGGGGTGGCAAAGAAGGCAAAGTGCCTGTAGGACCCAATGGGGCAAGATGGGAGGGAAAAATAGGTGAGGGATTGTGCTGCAGTGTCTCTGTGGTTGATCACAAGAACTGTGGGAGTGCTATAGAAGCTGTAACTTGAAACCGAGTTGTAAATAACTTTGGGGTGTGTGTCTGTCATAACTTCATATGGTTGCTACAGAAAGTGACCTTTGTAAGTCGAGGACTACGTGTATTTTTTTCCTCACTTGATCTGCAAACACTTAGCAAACATTAATGGAATATTGAAATGAGTAATAGGCTGGGAATGTCAGATTCTGGATTCAGACAGGGGAATATATTAGCCAAGCTAGAATGTATATCTCAGCAAACCGCAATTTCCAGATGTCATTTGCCTACAAAAGTTAACTATTGTACAGTATAGTGCTTGAAATGAGTGGTCATATTATGCTAAGCCCCAAACAAAACAATCTTTGATATGACATTGTGTATAAATTTGGTCATTAAGTGAAGGTAGTGATAGATCTATAGTTGAACCTATTGACAAAATTGACAATAAAGAAACAGATGCTGTCCATTCAATTTGCACTCAAACTGGTCAAATGTGAAATTGATGTACTTTTAACAAAAATATGTACATACTGATACTGCATAAAACTACTTTAATAGAATAAAGTAGGTGATGAGCTAGGACTGGGAACATCAGGTGTGAGTGCCCAGCCCAGTATAAAGTTCATTAGGTAATTAGGTAAACCAACCAAAATTTCTCATTACAACCTACTTTGCAATTCAGACTAATTAAAATCTATCTTTAGTTATTCTTGTAATATTGCTAGTCTATGCATTAAAAGGAGAAAAAGAACAAACAAGCTAATTCTGTCTCATTCTCCGGACCCAAGAATCCTATCTTGAATAGCCTTGCCTTTTTTCATAGAACATGATTGTCAGTAGAAAAATACCTTGAATCTATAGTACTTAACAATTCTTAACTGCACAAAGAGCTTTCACAATTATAAAAACTTATCTATCAACAGATACCTTTCATAAAGGAAAAACTGAATGACAGCTAAGAGAGAATGAAGGAGCATGCTTATTCTTGCTCCTTTCTCTGCAAGTAGAAGCTACACCCTTGCTAACAATTAAAAAGAGCTTCTGCTCTTACATATGAAATATTTGGGGTGGAGGGGAAGAAAGATTTAAACATAGATACAATTTTCAGACACCAGTGTTCTAACTCTAAATATGCCAAGCCCATCATGAGATGAAAATCTGGACTATTCATATATAATATATTTAAATTCAAAGTGTATCGCCAATATGAGGTGGGGCTTTATTGGTTTCTGTCTTGCTCTATCTATTATCTTTGTAAGCTGCCTCAAGTCACCAAGAGTAAGTTGGATGGCCATATAAATTTTCTTAATAAACAAATTAATTAGGATATAGTAGCATGTAAATTAACTATCCTGTAAATTAACTAGGATATTATAAATTAAATGAATCACTGTATTACAACCAGTGTGAAGGAATTCAGCTTCTGATATTAACAAGATGATGACTCATGGCAGGAAATTTCCTTAAACTCTAGCGAAAGAAAGAAAGAAAGAAAGAAAGAAAGAAAGAAAGAAAGAAAGAAAGAAAGAAAGAAAGAAAAGAAAAGAAAAGAAAAGAAAAGAAAAGAAAAGAAAATCCATATAGTAGCCCTCAAGATATCTAAATAAATGGAACTCTCTTATCAGTTTAGTTAGAATTTCCCATTTAGGAGATTTTGGATAGCTTCATATTAACTTTTATGATCTGATCTACTTGTCTCCTTGAGAAGATGCCAATGACCATAACTGAGCTGTATATCTATTTCCACTTATCTGGAAATCATATGTTCGAAACAACCCACCAATCTCAGATCTGTGTTCCTGAGTTCAAGCTTCCTGTTCTGCTCCTTAACTTGTGGGTCCTTGACTTGGGTCAGCTGACTAATTTTTCTGGGATTTGATTCCCGGAGTGTAGTGGATCCTTCTCTGTCATGGCTATGCTCCACTTCCCTGAATCTATGCTCTGTTTGTCTCCTATGGCTTGACTTGGGGTTAGAGTCTAAACTACATTTTCCAAGGCATATATGCCTACATAGCCAAAATGTACAATAGTTACTTTTGTAATTAACTGGAATACTATTTGTCAATGAACCACTTGTAAATAGAGTTGGTGTGTTTGAACCAGGACACTGAAGATCAGACATTTCCAAGGTGGTATTTTCAATGGTCTCCAACAGCATTAAATACATAATAATCTAAAAGTAAATGTTGAAGTCTATAAGTGATGCTTATAGATTAATAATTGCCTACATGTCTGCATATTAAAATATTGTAATGGTATAGCTTATGATAAAAATTAAAATTAAAATAAGTATGTTAAAAAAGTAATTTACTGATAAATTAAAATAGATAACTAGTCCATACTCAGAAAAATAAAAATAAGTGAAGGAAAATATCATAATCTTATACATATCAAAGGTAAAATAATTAGAACGTTTCAGTTCTAAAAATCTTCTTGAATAATTCATATAATCAAAAATGTATTCAATATAAAATACAAACAAGCCAATTAAATCCAATTTATCTTCACCTTGATCTATAATTGGATAGAATATAGTTTTGATGTGAAAAATGAGTTATATTTATAGATTCCCTGAACAAGATTTAATACCAGTATTTGTATATATTATTAAATTTTATATGTAAAAGGAAAAAAATTCAGATTCATATTTGATATATGGCATACAGGTAGTACTTGAGATATGACTGGTCATTTAACAACCATTTGAAGTTCATTTAACATTTGTCCCAACTTTCAGCACAATGGGCAGGCAATTTACCTGTATAGATAATATGCTAAATAATAAAGATAAAAATAATTTTCATTGCATACCTGTGTATGGATTTTAGGGAACTTGTAGTTGTTCTGGAGCTGTCCATTTTCTTTGTTTTTACCTGATATAAATATATATGTATGTATGTTAAACCCTCCAATAATCATATAAAGGTACATGTACACATTAATTTTGTAATTCCAAATGTAATGTGATCTCATACAACTTTCCATTGTTTATGTCACAGTTAATGATAATTTTAATGAATGTATTGTAATGAATGTAATGAATGTATTGCCCTGTTCCTCAACCTGTTTAAACTCCAGCTGATTTCTGCAGTTAAGTTAGTGATATACCTAACTAAACTGGGTAATATTTATGAGTAAGTACTCTTATTTTACTTCTTTATTACATTCATAGCCCATCATTTCTCTATAGACAATGCTATAAGCATATACAAATAGTAACTAATTCAAAAAGTAAAATAATCAAAAACACACAAATTAAAAAATGTAATAATAATCTTATAAAACGAATTGCATATCAAGTTGCCAAAAGCTATTGGCATAAACACGCTATTGTTTGGCTGTCCTGTATCCTATAGCAAAATGTTTCAAAATCTAGGCTCAGTCATTGTATGAAGATCCTCTCTCATCTTCTTGCTGAACATATTTCTGGTACTAGCACAATGGAAAGGAATTCCCAAAGATTGTAACTTGAATAGGCCCATATGAAAAAAATCCAAAAATTCAAGTAACCTTGGTTTAGGTTTTATGCAACTTTATAAGCCATAACTAGCATCTATACATATATATGCTCAGAAATAGGCTATTATTAACTGAAGAAACAAGAAGGATGTCTCCCTCTCTCATGCTTTCAAAATCAATTGCCTGGGTTCATCTAAACTAAAACATTTAAGAGTTTTCATACTCAGCCCTTTCAAAAACGTGTTATATTATCCTAAAACATGGGATGCAACAAGATTTTATATAAACAGGAATGGGCATATTTGGCATAGTAGGTTTAGTTATACTAATGAATCTTTTGTGTATTTCACTAATTTCACTTTATTTCTTCTTTCTTTTGTTTTATTAGCCACGGTTTTCTTGAAGAGCTGTAGGAAAGACCAGAAGTAGATGGGTTTATAAATATATCCTGGATAGGGGAAAAATAGAACAGAATGGATGAAAAAAGAAAAGAGAGAAACAGATACATAAGCAATGAAAAGAGCACTTTCATTGTCTTAAATACTGTAGGTAACTTATTCTTTCATAGAAATAAACAATATTTAATCTGACTAGTTAAAATGTTGTTGGCAACAGCTTATACATTTGGTAAATTTAAGAGCAGGTAGTCCTTGACTTATAACCATTTGTTTAGTGACCATTCTAAGTTACAGTGGCACTGAAAAGGTGAATTATGATTGTTTTTCACACTTATAACTGTTGCAACATCCCTTTAGCCGCATGATTAAAAGCTTGATAATTGGCATGTATTTATGATGAGTGCCGTGTCTGGGGTCATGTGACCATCTTTTGCGACCTTCTGACAAGCAATGTGACCATTTTTCATACTTAGAATTGTTGCAGCATCCCCATGGTCATGTGATTTACATTCAGATGCTTGACATCTGACTCACCTTTATGACAGTTGCAGTATCCTGGGGTCATGTGGTCACCTTTTGCAACCTTCTGACAAGCAAAGTCAATGGGGAAGCCAGATTTGCATAACAACCGTGTTACTAACTTAATAATTGCAGTGACTCACTCAAGAATTGTGGCAAGAAGGTTGTAAAATGGGGCAAAGCTCACATAACAACTGTCTTGATTAGCAACAGAAATATTGGGCTCATTTGTGGTTGAAAATGGACAAAGTCGAAGACTACCTGTACCATTATCATGTTATGTACAAGGGAATAAATTTCTCTGCAGCTTTCTTATTTAAAGGCAGGAATGTGCAACCTGAAGACTCACCGCTCCCATAATTGCCTCACTTCCAAAAATATTGTCTTCCAAAAATGTAATTATGTAAGCCACCAAATATTGCTTACCTTAAGTTATTCAACAATGGTATTTCTGCTCCAAAAACAAATAAGAGTCTCTTGTTATGAACCTTAGCTTTGCCTAGAGAATGTGTGGATGCATTGATTATTATAAGTCCATGTGCTTAAGTTGGCTGTATAATATTACAAATAAAAAAAATTAAAAAGCAGAGCAGCCATCAGAATCTTTGCCTTCATAGGTAGAGGGAAAAGTGACACTATAAAAATATACTAGAAGCACTTAAGAGGTTATTAATTATGATTCTCACTGCTGTCCTCACTGCTTCCATAATAGAAAGATAAATTGGGTGTGTCATATCTCCATTTGTGGAATATCTTGTTCTCATTTTATTTGGTTTCCAAACACCTGTGTCATTAGAAATGCCTCTGAAGATATGAAGACTTACTGGCCTGATGGGATAGTTACGTGACAGTTTCAACATTAGAAAAAGTGATACTGTCTTTTATTGTTCCCTTACTAGAATATTAAAATTTGGTGGGGGGGGGAACCAACTCATAAAATATTGAATATAAAGATTTGACTGCAAAAGATGAAATTCAAATAAAAAAGCTAGCATGAAAATAATCTGTAAAAATATGGAATCTCTCAGAATGTAAATTCATAAAGGTCAAGTCAACTGCCTGGAGTAAAAATCTCTTCAAAGCAATAGGGAAAAGTGAAACAGAGTAAAAGAATGAGAGGTGGTTGTATTCCACTCTCATATGGATTTTATTTTATGTAAAGAAGAGATCCACTAATCATAGCTTTTACTGTATGTGATGAGAATGATACATGAGATTTCCATGTCAGTAATTTACAGCATCGCTAGCCATTGTTGAAGTGATATAAATCCACATTTATATGAATCTCCTTAGGCATAAAATGTACATCCTCCACCAATAGTATGTATGTGTACATATATGCATGTATTACCTAGCTATCATCTATCTTTATCATTTGTATGCTTCCTGGGCAATTCACTAGTAAAAACATTTTTAAAAGATAAAATCAGTAGTAAAATATAAGGAATAAAAATAAGGAATAAAAGATAGCAAGATGACAGAAACCCAACTGGAACAGGAAAAAAAGAGAATAGAATAGAGCTGGAAGGGACCTTGGAGATCTTCTAGTCCAGCCCCCTGCTCAAGCAGGAGAACCTATATCAACTCAGAAAAGTGATTGTCCAGTTTCTTTTAAAAAACCTCCAGTGATGGAGCACCCACAATTTCTAAAGGCAAGCTGTTGCACTGGTTAATTGTCCTCACTGTTAGGAAGTTTCTCCTTAATTCCAGGTTGCTTCTTTCTTTCATTAGTTTCCAACCATTGTTTTTGTCCTGCCCTCTGGTGCTTTGGAGAATAATTTGACCCCCTCCTTTTTGTGTTAGCCCCTCAAATACTGGAATACTGCTATCATGTCACCCCCCTTTTTTTCTTTTCTTTAGACTGGCCAAACCCAGGTCCTGCAGCTGTTCTTCATAAGTTTTAGTCTCCAGGCCTTTGATTATTTTTGATTATTAGTTGCTCTTCTCTGAACTTTTTCTAAAATCTCAACATCTTTTTTGTAGTATGGTGACCAAAATTGGTTACAGTATTCCATGTGTGGTCTTACTAGGGTTTTATAAAGTGGTACTAATAGTTCATGTGAAGAATCCAAGAGTATTTTATTCAGCTCTTCATAGCTCTTCTAACAACAGCAGGGTGATGGCTATCCACATCTTGGGGTAACCTCACTCTAGAAGGCACACTTCCAGGATCCCAATGTATGACATTGCTTAACTGAAAGAACCTAGAGCATGCTAACCTGCCAGATTGAACTGGACAGGCAGATACTATGAGGATAGTTTATCTAGTCTGGGTATTATTCATGTGTGGTTATGTTATATGGTTATGTTCCTCTTTTAAATTAAATTAAATTTTAAATTTTAAAAATCATTACCAACATAGATTCTCTTTGGAATCAGGCAGCTTAAAATCCAATAAATAAATAAACAGTAAAAGTTTGAAACTGTTACAAATTATTTACCAGGAATGACCACTTTATGAATGAAACTCTTACTCCAGATCCCATCATCTATATTGTCTTTCACTCCAAATTCATAAATAGTGTTGGGTTTCAAATTATCCACCACTGTTTCTGTAGATGGACAAAGCTGCAGGATCCACTTCTTACTCTTGTCCTTTTCTCTGTAGCGCACTGTATAAAATCTAGTCAATAACAGTAAACATAAACTTTAAATCTCAAGAAAATGCAGAATACAAAAGCAAAATACAAATTTATTGTTTGTTATGGCAAACTTTATGTGTGCACTCCATTTTCTTTTTAGTTCAGGCATTCTTGAATTGTGAGAATAGGAACCTGAGATGGTGAGATTTGAGTTATTAGACAGAGTAATTTCATTGCCTAAATTGAGTTAAGTGCCTTGAATCAGTTCAATTCAACTATCCAGGCTCAGGCAAATCTGATCAGTGCTCCCTCATACAGTTTTCTTAGCAACCTTGCTAAATTAGCTGACCTACATTATGCTCTATGGCAGAAGTCTCCAAACATTTCAGTCTGAGGGCCAATTGGATATTTTACAAATATTCCAGGCCCTGGGGGGGGGGAATCAGTGAATAAATTAGTGAATAAAATTTAATGGAATGAATTGTTTCAATTTTCTCAGTATGATATGATTCACAACAGCAGCAAAAGAAATGGGATAGCTACAAAAAAAGCAATACCATGCTTGTACGGACAAATGATATAAGAAAAATGTCAAACATTAGAAAATACTTGAAGAAATGATAAATTAATAAGTGCAACCCAGAAATGAAGGCTGTTCTTTTTTTAAATACAATACATTTACACAAATGTATTTTTAATACAATATTTTTTTAATACATTTATACAAATTTCACAAATCAATGGAAAAAGAGAATGTAGCACAGATCACTTCCACCCACGCTCACAAGCAAAGTAAGCAACCCTCCAGCTGGCTTAAAGCCGGCACAAATTTTAAAGGGGAAGATGCTTCTCCTTCCTCATCCAGCAATCCTCCAGCTGGCTCACAACCCTTCCCACCAGAGAAATCAAGAGAACCCTATCTTCCTTTCTAAAGAGTGGTGAATTTTATTGTACAATCATTTTATTGTAAATATCTTTGCAAATACAGAGCTTTGTAAACTTCCCATAAAAACATAATATAGTTTTCTCATCTGCCAATGTTATTTCTCTGTATAACATGAGTAATCAAGATATATTTAATAACAGAACCTTTTTTGCAAACTTAATTTTAGGAACTTGGCTGTGGCATAAAAATATTAAAATATATAACATTTCCTCATAATTTATGATAATTCCTCTATTTAATCTAGCAGTTTTTATTTAATCCCAACATGATAAAAATCAGCCTCAAAGCATCATAGAAATTATATGAACAAATATGTTGAAATAGCACTATATCTACATCAGCATACAAACCGCAGGCTTATTAGTAACTTAGGTAGGGGCCACATGATAAATTCCTAGCTGAATTATTGTCAGTTGCAGGTTTGTTGTGTGAATGACTCTCAAATTATTGTGCTGTTACAATATTCTTTCATTTAAAAAAAATATAGCATATTCATTAGTACTGATTAGATTCCTAAAAAATATCTTCCCAACTATTTACTTTTTTACTGTTTGTAATTTGTTTTTATTCACTTCCTGTGAAGATCTTATTATTCTTCATCCATTCATTTAGCAGTAGTGAAAATATGAATCTGTTTACAAGTTTATTCAATTTATTGCATCAAAGATAGCTGAGTGATAACATTTGTAATTGTATAGGGCACCAGGGATTATAGGACTAATTGATATTGTGGATATATGAGGTCTAGGTCTAAAACAGAATGAATGTAGTTTAGAAAAGGATAATAGTGAAATAGTTTTACTTAGTTATTTTGTTATATAAATAGTGTGTGGTCACAGTGATTTATATGGGTCTCTTATTGTTCTATTCCCCATCAACAAGCTGAGAAGTTGGGCTGAGAGGATGTGATTGTCCAAAGTCACCTAGTGAGTTTTTGTGGTTGACGATGGATATGAAGCTGGTCCTGCACAAGTCATAGTCTGAAACCTTAACCCTTATACCATATTATCTTTTAAATATATTTAATATGTGGCAAAGTTGCTCAGAGTAAAGACATTTTTACCTTCACAAAAAGAAACATAGCAAGAACTTAATTATTATAGTGCAGACCTATTCAAACAGTAATGTCATGAATGTATATGCATTTTTTGCATATAAAACAGATGCATTATGGGAAAAAATTATGGTATCAGTCCATTCCATTACCTGTCATTTGGACAGTTATTCATTGTGGTCCAGTCATGCTTTGGATTGACTAATATCCCCCAGGATAGGAAGACAGATGTTGGAGTTAAAGTGCCTATTACCAGTTGAAGGGGTTTGGGTTTCTTTGTTTTACCTACATAAGAAATACAAAATTGCATAGTGTTTTACATTCATATATATATTAAGATACTGTATATAAGAAGGCTTCTAAATTTATCATATAAAATGTATATGGTCTGTATACTATGAACCATTAGAATGCAATATACCTCTTTTATCATTGCTAAAATTAGATATTGATGAAGAAGGTCCAAATCCATAGTTGATGAGCTATATTCAATTTAGAATCACTTAGTTTAAAAATGGGAAGATTACATATCGTGTATTTCAAAATGATACAGTCAAAGGCAGGTATTTATTGCCAAAATGTCTATAATAGAACATGTTGATAATCAAAACCAAATCATGTTGTTTATTCTGCATAATCAATTATTCATAATTCTTTCACTACAGACTGGACTGTCAGCTTCTGCTTGAGGAGTGGGTGGCAGCTGTGGTCAGAAAGCCTTATGCACAGATATAGCTTGTTGCCAGTTGTGCTCATTCCTAGTGGGAGACTCTGTCCATGCAATGATTATTTGAGGATTAAACTATTGCAATGAACTCTACAGGGGGATACCCTTAATGACAGTTAGTCCAGCATATGGTAGAAGCAATAATGTAACATCTCTGCTGCATGAGCTTCACTGGTTACCAGTTGGACTCCAGATGAGTTACCTACTGTATAATCCCTAAATGTCATAACAAATAGTTAGCTGGAAGACTGTCTCTCTCTCTCCCTTCCCCACAGTATCTGTCCATTGTGTGTTTTCTGACAAGGTTGGCTTTAGTGAGACCCAGGAGACAAGCTTTCTTTGCCTTTTGGAACAATATCCTCCTGGTGAGCCAGATGACTCCCACTTTGCCAATTTTCCACTTGCCTTTAAAAATGTGACTTTTCCCGCAAGCCTTGAGTTAAATTGATGAATGGCCTGTAGGAATTAAGAGGAAATTAGAAAAGCTTTTTTTGCATAGAATTTAATGCATAGAATTTATTGCTGAAGATATTTTGTATTTATTGTATTGTTTTTAATTTTGTTAACAGCAAAGGTCATTTAGTTAGAGAGACCTACAAAATCAATAAATGCAATTCAGCTCAGTAAACTTGTCTGACCTACTTGTCTGGCTTCATATGCAGGAAACATGCTAATTCAAGATTGGCAGTGGCCCCTTGTCCTCAGATCATTGGATTTGCAGGTAAGCAGAGTTTTCAAAGATATTTTTTTCTAGAAAACAGATAGTTGACTATCTTGTCCTATTTCCAAGCTCCTGCTTTTCTCCCTTCCCTTCAGCATCTAAGGTAAAAAAGCACCTTTCTTTCATCTTTTACAGTTGCTCTGACTGTCCTGTACAAAAGCCAGTTTTTTTGTTTTTTGTTTTGTTTTAGTTTGCTCTTGGCATAAATAGCAAACATAGAGAATTAGGATAGTAGCATATTTGCAGCTCCATGGAAGATAGCGCTCAGCAGTTCCAGCACTTATAGCAACATGAAACTCTGCTGAAATAAGATTTTTTTTTTGTAGTTTGTTGTCAGAATTGATTGTCATACATTTGAATAATTGTGTTAATTATTTCCCACTGTTTATGAGCCTAAGTGAAAACATGGGCTAATTTGTCTCCAAATTAACAGCAGAAAATGCTATTACTCAGATTTGTGAAACAACAGAGCAAATGGATGCATGTTATATGTCAATGGAATGATGCTTCTTTTGGTGCATTTCCAAATATTCAGTTACATCATAAGAAAAAGGAAGATGCTAACATAGGTTTGATTTTATGAAGATGAAAAATATATAATTCTTCAAAATATTGCTGAGTTTGCTAACATTGGTTTCTTCTTAAAAAAAGGTTGAATAGGTTGGTTCATGTCTTGAAATTGTACATATTTTTATGATATAATAAATGTACATTTATTATTTTTTATTTGTCAAATTTATATTTTGCTTAATTCTCGATTGAAACATGGGTCTCCTGAGTTTTTATGGAAAAAATTGTTTAACCTTTAGAAATACCTGAGCAGGATTTCTTGTTATTAGGAACGGGTGCTGGTCTCACTACAATCAAGTATCTTGGCTCTGCATCTGGAAAATATAAGTTATGACTGTTTGAAAAATCAGGGAAACAGGAAATACTTGAATAATCAAAACCATATCATGTATTATACTATTTTTCCCACTGTATTGCTAGTGTTTCATTAGCACTACATTTAGGTTATTCAAGTCCATTTTCAAAATACATAGAGAGTGTAATAGCATGCAAGTTTTGACTTTAAGATATCTCAAATCAGTGGAATGCTTTAGTGATGCTTATAATAAGCATAGCAGCACTGAATTGCCTAATAACTTCCTATTTCAGTAAAATAATATTTTTAAAATTCATGATCCATCACCTTTTCATTGTAAGAATCTCTTTCCCTAAATAGAATCACATGAATCTGAAAGTTTAGCTGTAGAGCTTGTATTTTCCATCAGGAAGAAAAAATGAATCTGGGATAAAAGTTGTGAGCTGGAATAAAACAATGAAATAAATGGTGCTACTTAGAAACGTGGAATCTTTCCTTTTGATAGATGATGAACAAAAAGTAATGAACCAGTAATTCTCAAGTAAATTTTTTCCTTTGGGGTTTCAACACTGATAACATTTTCATTTCCATTTACAACACAGTAAGTTGTAAAAGTACCTGAAATCTTAACAGACTCCTGTCCTTTTATTTGCCCCAATTCTGATACTTCCCAGGCCAGTTTTTGCAACCGAAGCAATTACACAACTCTAGTTTAGTTCAATGTCATGTGGATGTATATCATAAATGTCCTTTTCTCTTGCAGGAAAAAAATTCATCTGATTGAAACTATAAAAACTTTTCCAACCAAACATGGAAACATAAAACAAGATTCACAGCAAAATTAAGTTATATAAGCACCATTTCCATAAAGAGAAACCAGTCAATCAGATAATTATTAATTTTTTAAAAGGTGAACTATTTTGGATTACAAGAAAAAGTTAAATATATGCTTATTGCCTTGACATAATAGCAGTCATGTGCATACATGATTCTTCTTTCTAAAACTAACTGCAATTTTTTGGAATAAATTCCCTTTTGACTGAGAACCAGTTTTCAAATTCTTCGGAAATCATGGGTTTTTTTGGAAAACAAAGCCAAATGTGCTGATATTTTTACTCACAAGCTAACAAATTCTTAATGGATTTTCTATTCTCTGGAAAAACACATGGCAATAGGCCATAAATTCATTTAAGGTTTCTTATTCAAAAGCAGTTAAGTCATCCAAAGCTTAATCAAAATAAAAACTGATTAAAACAATATTTAGAGAGAGAAATTAGTTTTTGTATAGTAATGTGTGTATAAATATATATAATTTATCAATGGATAAGAGGCAAAGTTTTAATTAAAATATTTTAAAAAATTAACCAAAATATTTACCTTAAACTCCATACTTATTCAAGTTATATTGGGCAACAACGGTAAAATGAAATATCTTCAACGATGATTTAATTAAGAAAATAAAAATTATTTGGAATTAGAACTTTAAAATAGTAAACATGTTAATCAGTGTACTATTGTATACTCAGAATACAGGAATTTCAGGTCAGATGTAAGTCCTTCCAGGTAGACTAATCAACTTCCTGAGAAAGTAGAAACTACTTTTATTGAAATTGTCTATAATAATATATCTTTCCTTACTTATAGTTCAGTGAATTAGGGACATTACTCCAAGCTCCCTTCCAACTCTGTTTCTATTCTATTCTATTCTATTCTATTCTATTCTATTCTATTCTATTCTATTCTATTCTACTTTTAAATATTATCTTATATTGTAGACTGAAAATATGTTTTACTACTTGGCAAGGAATTTTATCGTACATCCCTCTGACAAAGTTATCTTTCTTACTTTCTACAGCAAGTATGGCAGGAACTGTTTAAACATTGGCTATGTTTAAGAATTAGATATGTTTCCTCTGAAAGCTCAGGGCAGATTAATCAGAGCCTTATCTCAGATTCTAGGATCTAGGATGAGTACTGATATATCTATTTACCTCATCCTTTTCTTCCTTTCCATCCTAATGTAACTTCTGTTAACATTACAGTAACTCTATGCTTATAGGCCAGTAGTAGTTCAACTTATATAGGGAGAGTTTAATTTCCAGATCATAATCACATTATAATGTCAACTAGAAAGATGTATAAAGAGGAAGATGTGTAGTTCCAAAATGTGTATTTCTTCACTAATGCACTTTTTTTTCATTTTTTGTGAAATACACAAGAACTTTATCAAAATTATTCATTCATAAGCAAAAACAGATTCAGAAACGTAAAGAATTGGAAGATGAAATTAAATTAAAAGAAAAGTCTTTGATTTTAAATCCTTCTGATGAAAGTATTAAAGAATCTTTAAAGTTGTTAAGAACACAATTTAATATGTTGTTAGCAGATCAAGCTGCAACCAATTTATTGTTTATGAAACAAAACACATTTTGTAATGCTAACAAGCCAGGGAGATGGTTGGCTTATCAGTTGAGAAAGAAACAGAGACAGAGAACAATAGATAAAATAAATTACAAGGGTAAATTAGTTTCTCAAAAGGAATTGATTAAGAAATCTTTTTTGGATTATTATCAAAAATTATATAAATCTACTAATGTGCAAATTTTAGAGATAAATAAATACTTAAGTGAGGTTAGTTTCCCTAAATTGACAGAGGATCAGAAACATGAAGTTAATGGTTTAATTACTAAGGAGGAAATTTCGCTAGCAATTCAACAATTGAAACCAGGGAAAGCACCGGGTACGGATGGGTTAACAGCTGTTTATTATAAAGCCTTACTGGAGGAGATGACTCAACCATTAGGTGATCTTTTTAATGGCATTTTACAGGGTCAAGAGATTCCTCCCTCATGGCGTACTGCTTTTATATCATTGATTCCAAAGGAAGATCAAGATCTTACTTTACCTAAGAATTATAGGCCTATATCTCTTTTAAATGTGGATTACAAGATATTTGTAAAAATCTTAGTAAATAGGCTTATGAGGGTTGTGCACCACCTTGTGCATAAAGATCAATCTGGGTTCATAACTGGAAGGTACATGAAAAATAATGTCAGACAAATTATTAATTTATTAGAATATTTAGATAAAAACAACCAAGTTCCTGCAGGGCTGATATTTTTAGATGCTGAAAAAGCTTTTGATCAATTGAATTGGCATTTTATGTTAAGAGTAATGGAAGAGATGAATTTTGGTGAAAAGATATTGCAAGCTCTTATGGTAATATATCAAAAACAAACGGCACAACTTATCGTTAATGGAGGTTTGTCAGAGGTTTTTACAATAGAGAAAGGTACTAGACAGGGCTGCCCATTATCACCGTTGCTGTTTGTCTTAACACTGGAAATACTGTTGATCAAAATTCGAGAGTCGCAGGAAATTAAAGGAATAGAAGTTAATAAAAAAGAGTATAAGTTAAGAGCTTTTGCGGATGACTTGGTCATCACTTTGTCGCAACCTACTTATTCTGTAGTAAAATTATTACAGCTGATTCATAATTATGGTTTGGTTTCGGGTTTTAAGATTAATGTTAATAAGACAAAAATTTTACCTAAAAATATGACTAGTCGGGAGAAGCAGACTTTGGTTAACTTGACGGGTTTTGAAATTGTTAATAAGGTAAAATATTTGGGGGTGATGCTATCTGTTTCTAATGCAAAATTATTTAAAAATAATTATGAAAGGTTGTGGGTTAGGGTACAGAGAGACTTGAAGAATTGGGAAAAGTTGCAATTATCCCTCATGGGAAGAATTGCAGTGATAAAAATGAATATTCTACCCAAGTTTCTCTTTTTGTTCCAAATGATACCGATTTTGAAGAATGAGATCAATTTAACTGAGTGGCAGAAAGGCCTTAATAAATTTATTTGGGCAGGGAAAAAGCCAAGGGTTAAGTTTAAAATTATGCAAGATTTCCGTGAGAGGGGAGGACTCAAGGTGCCGAATTTGAAATTATATTATGATGCGGTGGTTTTAACATTAGTTAGTGACTGGGTAAATTTGACAAATTCTGATATACTTCACTTAGAGGGATGGAATTTACTTTTTGGGTGGCATGCCTATTTAATATTTAATAAAAAAATGGATTGGGCTTTTAAATCTCATATCTTAAGAATTTCTTTACTTAGGGTTTGGAGAAAATATTACAAAAGTGATTTCAAAGTACCATTATGGGCCGTACCTTGGCATGCAATAGAAGGAATAAAAAGAGGGGTTAAAATGGATATGGTGTCCTATAGACAGTTACTTAAATGGGATGGACAAAACTGGCAGTTAAAATTACGGGAAGAGTTAGTACAAGAAAATATTATTTATTCTTGGTTCCAATATAGGCAATTATTAGATAGATGGAAGATGGACTGTAAGGTGGGTTTTTACAGAGAGATGAAAATCTTATTAAGCAAGTGAAGGATCAAAGACAAACCCACATTAAGAGGATCTATGGGGTTTTAGTTGAATTGGATTCAGAAACGGAACTAATTAAAGATTGTATGATTAGATGGGCGCAGAATTTTGGTGAGCCAGTTCCATTGGACACCTGGGAAATTATTTGGGTGAGAAATGTCAAATTTACACAAGCACAGAACTTAAGGGAGAATTTTTATAAAATGTTTTATAGATGGCACCTTGATCCACAAAAAATGTCTTTTATGTACCCTGACTTACAACCTAAATGTTGGAGATGTGGTTGTATGGATGCTACTTATTATCATATTTGGTGGTCGTGCAGAGAGATAAAAGTATTCTGGATTAAGATATGGTGGAATATCCAGAGAATTTTTAAAAGGAGGGTAAAATTTACTCCACAATTATTTTTGTTAGGTATAGTTACTGATTGTGACACAAAGGAGGTTATATTGATGTTAAACTTGATAACAGCTGCGAGGCTGTTAGTAGGACAATATTGGAAGAAGGAATCTTTGCCTACATTGCAGGAATGGTTTCTTAAAGTGTCTCATTTGGCGGAAATGGCAAAGATTTCGGCTTTCTTAAAGGGACAAACGCAAGAGAAATTTCTTG